AACCTTGGCGTGCGCGGATAATTCGCTCGGCCGTAAATTAGGAGGATAATGAATTATGTGTAGCTCATTGTTATGGCAGAATACGAATAAGGAATTTAACGCACCAGTTTTTTATGGCTCGAATAACAAAGGAATGCTATTTGTGGTTTCTGAACAATTCGTTAACAAGGAAGCCACAAGTAGAAAAAAAATTAGTCTAATTAATTGTTACAAATGAAACGATCATGAGAAAAAATTCTTCATTAAATTCAACATTTATACAACTTTATTTAATAAAAAGTTTGAAATTGACAGAATTATTATAAATTTATATTATTTATTTAAAAAAATTTGAAATTATTTATATTACTACCAACAAAAACCGACTTTATTTTGAGCTTTTCACCGATTTATACTAGCGATCAAGTGCAATAAACAATAGAAGATTTTTTTATGCTTACTCAAGAGTAACTAACTTCAAATTATAAATATTAAAATGAGACATATAAAAATAATGACATAATTTATAACTTGAAGATTCTACCGACTTCGAAAGATTGAACTGCAATTCTATATTTTAACTGTGTATTTTCTAGTTTTTCAACTCGCACGATTAGCTTTGCACATGATTTTTCACCCATTTAAAACAAAACGTGTTTGTGTTTGATCTGCTACAACTTTTGAAATTTTTGGCCTTAATTATATAAATTTTTGGTAATCTCATATCATTTACTTTGAACTTTTATTAATGATGGAACCTTCGTTGTGAGGCTTGGATTTCAAGATATTCTTTTTACATCAAGTGGAAACAAGAATTAATTAAATTTTTTAACTCAAAATAGGGATTTTTATAGATCTACTTAAGATTTACTTAAGTAATTTAACACCATTTTAACTATGAATTTCTTATTTGTGATTCGCCCGATAATTATCTTCAAAGAATAGTTAAAATTAAAAGGAAATCAGAGTGAAAATGTCCAAATGGCATTGAGAGTGAAACATATATTTTTTTTATCGTTTTTACATTTTCAAGCAAAGTTTGCACAAAAATCGATCGTTCCCACGCCATTTAAGGAAAACGGCGTTAGCACACACTTAAAAGGTGCGGGTATAAGCAAAAGGTAGCAATTATTGCAAAAATAAGCTGACCAGCATTTTTAGCACCGCTTTTTAAGAGCCTGTAAAAGTATCGATTCTTATCTCCGCGGTAAAATTTGTTTGGTGTCCTAAATCCAACTAATTATCCTATTGGAGTATTGAAAGTTAGCGTACATGCAACAGATAATATTTTCTTTCATCAACTGCTGACGATTTGTTGGCACGTGTGGAGAGAAAGAAAAAAAATGCAAATCCCAGCTTTACTCCCACTGATAAAGAAAGCTGCTCTCGTTGTCCCTTTCACGCATTTTAATCAGGAAAGGGCACGTCTCTCTTGTTTTTGTTGCGGCATAAAAACAAATTGATGTTCGAGAAAAAGCACGGCCATTATGACGTTATGTGTTTGCGCTGACGAGAATAATGGTGACAATCGGCCGTTCCGAAAGCTTAAAAGCTTTTGAGCAAACTAGGGACGAGGCAAAAAAATATCACTTGCGAGAAATTGCTACATTTTTGCTTGAAATATATTGTGCGACCCTGGAGAGCGAACATGACAGCAGAATGTGTGCGCTCTGAATACTAAATTCTCCGCCGGACTTTGTCTCGACGAGAGAGACATGCAATGTACCTTGACGTGAACATTAGGCCGGCGAAATATTAAAAAATAAATTTTATTATAATCCACATTGTATCTGAGGCCTTTTTTCTAAAAAAAAGCCATCACTTTGTATAAAAAAAAATTATATATTTTTTCAAGAGCCTGAATTTTTTCCTAAATGCTAATGTGCTTTTAATCAGGGTCGGACTAAACTCGGCTTGTCCGGCAAATTGCGTACACGCGTGAGATGAAATCTTTATTTTGCAAAGTACACCCAGCAGGCATGAATGTTGTTAGAAAATGTTCTGAAAAGAGGCAAACCAACATTGTTATTTGCTAATTTTTTTTTTAACACGCATGTCACAAAAGCTAAAAGGAGGTTGATGTGTGCAAAGTTTGGCCGCATTAAACTGTGAATGATTGAAATTTCATCAACCTGATCAACCTCGACCGCACGCAAATCGTTATACAGATCGGCGTAGGTTGATAAAGGAACAATCAAGAAAGGTTGAAGCGAAAAGATTTTAGGGCTATTCAAATTTAGTCGGAAAACAGGAATTTTATTTTACACACAAGTTAAATTTTTATTGAAATTTTATATATTTTTTTCAATAAGAGATAATTTAGTTGCAAAAAACCTATTTTAAACTTTATTTTAATAGTTTAAAATTATAGCCAATTGTCCTTGGAAGATATTTAAATTGAAAGCAGATTTCTTTGCAACATTTATTAAGCAATATTCTATAAAAATAATAAATTTGCTCTCAATTTCAAAGAGAAAATCGTTGAAAACATTAAAAAAGTGAATAAAGTCATTGGTTTCTTCTTGCATTAAAATTATAAATGATTTTAAAAAAATGATTAACGGTTTCATCAGATTTGGTCACTGTCAGACTATAAAAGACGCAAAAATAATTTATTTTAGTAAAAATTACTCTTTTTTAATTAGGAGTGAGTGTAAATTGATGTAATGTTAAATATCAAATGCAGAATTCCTCATTCCTAAAAAATTAGGAATTAAATTATTTTGAATAATGCCTTAAGAGAATATTTTGTTTCAAAAAATTAAGCTTTAATTAAGGAGTTTGCTCTTTATTCCATTTCTAAATATATGTATTATTTTTTCAAATTAAATTTTTTTTTAAATTTCATTCAATCAAATCGAACAAACTTTACTAAATTTTAAAGTAAAATTCCTGGGATCTTCAACGTTTGAAGAAAATTAAAATTTGACCCTCATTTTTTGATTTTCTCACAAAACGGAGCAAACCGTATTTACGAACAAGCCTCAGAGACTTTTCAGAAGCATGCAACGCGAGAACGAGCAAGATAATAATAACAACCTTTTGCACGTGCACATTATCACAATAACACACCGGTCAACGATTGTCAAGCGGTGGCCGCAGCGCGATGAAATCGGCCAGATAGGGAAATATTCGGCTGATCAAAAGGGACGCTGCTGCGAATAATCTCGTGCAATCGGTTCCGTGGGCAGGCAGGACCGCGGCTGAAAATAAAAAAGGCCGGAGGGCATTGTGGCCCGAATCCGAAAGAAAACACCCGGGCTTATTTCCTCTCTCTGATAAAATTGTATAATCGCACACCGCGGGAGTCTGTGTGGGTGATTTCAAGCAAGCGGACTTCTCAAATGAATTAATAATAATCAAACGACCTTACTCGCGTTCGCGCCTGACAGCAGATAAATATTGATCATATTTTCGTGCTTGAAATACATTAAAAATGGCAGCCCTGCAAAGGCTCTCTAATGTGCTTAACGAAAGGCGTCGGCATTAATTTTGATAACCGCGCATAAATCTTGCAGCGGCCGCTCCGCTCATTGGACTTTTACACTCCCTGTCTTGTGAAATTATACAAACGCACTGCACGTTTTTCGGTTGCGGAAAAGTTAGTGCGGTGGATTATATGATTAATTACCTGAAATTATTGCTCCAACTTTCCGCGATACGATCAACAAATTTCGCCTCTTTCAGCGAATGCTGCGTTTGAGCGATTACCTGCAGATTTTATTTTTTAGTCCGCAGCATCATTACTCTCTCAAGGATATGCGATTACTAGAAAATTGCTGCTATTTTGTGAGGAGGAAGTGGACTGATCGTATAAAAAAATAAGATATTTAGACATAGAGTTGAGGAAAGTACAAATTTGTTGGAGAAACAGCAGACATCCTATCTCCAAAAAATCATGTTTTTTTTATTTTATTTTTTAAATGGAGAAAAGTGGCCATTAATTTTAATTCGGAGAAATAATTGCTAAATTGGGATATAATATTCTTGTTGATTGTGCAGAAAAAGTCTAGTTGAAAATGATTAGCATTTAGAAATAGAGTCAAATTAATTAAATTAAAACATCTAAATTTGGACAATTTTGGACGGTGCCTTACTTTGAATTTTTCTCTCCAAGCTTTTAACAACTTAATTTCAAAAGAGCTGGAAACACTAAGCAGGCGTATCAATTAGCGGAAATTATGAAAAATGGTATTTTTCTCAAGAGCCTGCCCGCCGCTTAATATATTCATGTCTGATAATTCATATTTACTTCTTCAGGCATACTCTTGAGTGAGCCATTTATCCGTCCCCTCACGCTTTTACTTAATAACTCAGCAGGACATGGGAGCAAATTAAACGAATTATAAATCTACTCTCGCCGGCCGTTTTCGATTTTGAATTTCAGTCGTAACTTCACAATAATGGCTCAATTTAGAAAAAAAAAATTAAATTTTATGGGAGAGACGCGAGACATTAACTCTTGACAGCGTGTCGACCTTGCATTCAAATCACCTGAAAATTCCGCAACTATTTTGCCATTATATTTCATATATTAAATGCAGGCGCGCCTCGCAGATTGAAATTTAATTTCGCGCTCATTTTTCGGTTCATGTGAGTGACACATGCGGCCGAACTTCTAATTTGATCGCTACCGCCGATTCTCCTGTAGCAAGAGGGCAGTGCGTTAAGGTCAAATTTTGAAACAAACTAAAATATTGAATTTAAGCGCAAGGACATTTTTTGCTGATTTTTCAATTCTAAACCGAATCCATTGGAATTTTTTCAATAAATATATGTATATTAAAATAGCGAAAAATAAATTAAATAAACACAGACAAATTATCATTTAAAAAAATTAGTGTTTAAAAATACACTGAAAACTTAATTTTCTCTAATATGCTTTCAGTTTATGTTCCGCAATCTGCTGCAAATATTTATTTTTTAGGCCCTTAACTTCGAATACAAGAATATTTAACTATTGATCTCTATGGAAAGATGACAAACAAGCAACTCGGTTGTCAACAAATTTTGTCCGTGGTCTTGTTTTTGGTCAAAGCAGGTCAAAGTTTATCAATTCGCTTCTGATGCTAAACGACCAAAGAATACACATTTCTCTCTTATCTTCGACACGCAGCAGATCTTCATTTCAAGTAAGTCAATTCTTTTTTGTTTCACATGAAATATCCTCACCTAAATTTTCAAAAGAAAAGCATATTATAATTTTTTAAACTTGATTGAAAAATCTAAAGTCGAAATATTTTTTTCCGCAGGAATAAAACTTTATAATGGATTCTGCATATTGGATTTTTATTCTGGCGATCTGCAGCTATCGTTCTTCTGCCCAGCAGATGAGGGTGGAAAAGTTTGTGGTGGGAGCTCATTTAATTTAATCTAAATACATCCATTGAAGCTTGTTTATAATATTTTTTTTTTTTTTTTGTACAATCGCAGGGTTCTTAATATGACCCCGCATAGTTCTCAGATGGTCTTTGGACATATTTTAAGTGAAAATGGCGTGATTGACCTAATTATTAGAACCTTGAATTTTTAAATTGGTACACGCTCAGTATTTTTGAATATGTACTTATATATTGTTGACCGAACGCACTAAGTTATAAGAACTAAATTATGTAATATTAATACTATCTATTATTCCTCATTAAAATTTATAGTAAAATATTGGTATTTAACAAAAGAATAATATTATAGCTGATTTTTTTTGTCCATATTGTTACAAATACACTGTTTACATTCAATTTTTAAAAATAATTACTTAAGAAAAAGAGATTGTTGGACAAAAAGGCATCACCACTAGCAAAAATTTTGCTTAAACTTCCGAAATAAAAAAGAGCCCATCCGGCGCAAAAAAAAAAGAAAGAATTGGATCACTTTTCCAGATTAAAATGTGAATTATTAATTCTGCTAAAAGTTTGAGAATTTTAAGAACTGATGTCATGATATTATTAATTTCTTTTTACAAATAAAAGTTTTTATTAATCGTTAGTTCTATTTTGCTGAGCAAAAAAATTAAAATGAATTATAAAGTGTCTTGAAATATTTAGTTTTATTATAAATTGCACAGAAAATCAAGATGAAATATTGCTGGAACTACGAAAAGAGAACGTCCATTTTTGAAACACCAGGTATGAAAATTAAATTTCTTTTGAGGCATGTGAATTATTTACTCCAAATAATAATTAATTTTACAAAAATGCTTATCAAATATAATTATTGTTGGATTTTGAATGAAGTTTTCAGCTATGCCGGCAATGACAATCTAAGTTTCAATAACTGCGGCCGATGGGAGCAAACAAAAGCAGGGTCGAACCCTCCGTGGGACGTTTTCCTCGTCGCCGTCATCGACGAAAGATTGCGCAAACTTTACGGTGCCCTCGTGTCCGATCAAACAATTATCAGCGGTAAGAGTTTATTTATAAAATTTAATAAGTTCATATTTAAAGTTTGGACTTTAGATGGAAGCACGTGGGACGCAGGTCATTTCAAAGCCATTGAGCGAAAGGAACAAGTCAAGATTTACGGCGGAGAATGTCGAGAAAGATCAGACGGAAATAGTTGCTTTATCAAACGAGGATTGACAAATCTAAAGGTGAATTAATTTGACCTCTAATTATGAAATAGAATGATTATAGAAGCTAAAAATGGGGGCCCATAATATGTCCGAAATAATTGTGTCCGAATCAGGAAAAATAAAGTGTCCGAAAATAATGTGTCCGAATTTTTTCAAAATTTTCTAAAAATTATGAAAATATACAATTTTTTTATTCAAAAAGAAGTAGTGTTTTATTTAACAGACGATGGTTTCAGATGCTAGACGTGAAGGAGGTGGAATTGAAGCACGGAGAATTTTATTCCAAATCGCTTCTTGTTATACGAATTGAAAGAGTTGAATTTAAACCAAGTTTGCAGCCGATTTGCTTGTGGAATCGAGGCAATCAGGACGATACAAGCCAAAATTTCTATTCGCAAGATATTTGGAATGTACGCAATTTAACATTGCTCTTTTCTTTTGACAAAATTTAAAAAGTTAATTTGCATTGCACCTTCGTAATCATAGTGTAAAATTTTGATGTGAAAATTTGATATTTAACTTTTCCAACTTTTCTATTTTTTCAAAAGTATATGAGAAATTAAATGGTTTAGGTTTTAAAAATCAAATAATTTCTCTCTAGTACAAGCTAAAAAAGGTGGATTTCCTCCCCGAGCAAAGGTGTTTTTATTCTGGTCCTGGAAGCGAGATTCAAAAACAGTACTGCGACGCGTACAGCAATTCAATCTGCACATCAAGATCATGTGAGAAAAAGTTTTAAAAAGCTGTGAAAAACTTACATAATTAATATTTTAATTTGTTTCCATTTTGCGCTTTGTTTGATATTCCTCAATCGATCTTTGTAATGATCGGTTCATTTCATTTCAGGGGTCGATGAAAAAATATTTTTGTACATTGAGAGACTAGATCGATTCTATCTTCGCGCATTCAATCCCTTTTTATCCGGAGCTTCCACCGAGCCCTGGGTCGATTTGCTGCCCTTCACAAATCAAATAGTCTCCGCCTCTGCAGACTTGGCCGCGATGCCCAAAATTCCAGACCTGAAAAGAAAAATAGGTTTGTGTCTAAATTTCTTTAAAGGAAAAATTTTACAAATGCTTGGATTTCAAGATTTTGGCCAAAGACAAAGTTTTCCCGGATGCGGACAGAAGTCTGGGGAAAACTCAAATCCTTGGCACGCTATTATTTCAAGAATTGACCCCATTCATGAAGGTTTTTGTGGAGCAACTTTGATTTCTGAAAAGACTCTCGTCACAGGTCTGCTTTTTTGTACCAAAATAAAAATAAATTAATGCAGATTTTACAAGGAAAATAATAGCAGAGATTAAACAGTTGAATTGTTAAGATTCATGACAAATTAAAGATAAAATAAACTTTTTTAAAATTATTTTCCTAGCGGCAAACTGTCTTTATGATCAGCGTGGAACTGAAATGGAAGCGAGCAACTTGAAAATTACGCTTGGGTTGCATAGCTCGTCTAAAAATCATGAGGACTCTCAGCAGAACATTATGGTAAAAATGTTACAAAAATTTTATAACAGGCCATTTTTTTTCATATTTTTTATTTTTAATGCGGATCCCATCAGGTTTCATCCATAATTGTGCATCCGGAATTTAATTTTAACAAAAGTGACCTAAAAAGCGACATTGCCCTCATCATCTTGCAAAACAAGGCTCAATTAATTGAACAAGTGGTGCCAATTTGTCTGTGGAATGACGAGTACGACCTTAGCAAAATAGTGGACACAACGGGCACGGTGGGAATTTTTTTTTTAGAAATTTCAAATAAAAATTCTTGCTTAGGTTGTCGGCTGGGTTCGGAATGATAGTCTACAGGAGGTGCAAATCCAACCGATTTATTATCAACAATGCTATGAAAGTAACAGGCCCTTCTTTTCCAAGTATTTGCATCCGCGAGAAAACTTCTGCGCTGGATTTCCGCACAACAGTCAGTTTTAATATTTGCTAGAAGATCAAACCAAGAAATAATTTAATAATAATTTTGATTATTAGAAACTGGTGCTTGCATTGGAGAGAACGGAAGCGGATTCGTCATAGAGAAGGATAATAGATTCTTTTTGCGAGGAACAAAATCTGTTCCAGTTGATGTAGGAGGAGAAGAGGAAGAAGTGAAGACATGCAACCCGCAACACTTCGCCCTGTTCACGGACGTCACCAACTTTTTAAAATGGATTGTTGATAACAAGCGTTAATAATACCAATTGAACAAAATTTCAATACAATTTAGCTCAAACTACATATTTTAACAAATATCTTTTGCATTCTTGCGTTAAAAAATTCTTATATAATTTTTGCAATTTTATTTGAAGTTATTTGTCCTCTGCATCCTTATAAGTCGGATGAAGTTTTCTAGACTATTGGTCAAATGTGATGTAAAATCGAGAAACATTTTAATCCTAAATATGAAAGTTCAATTTTTTAAATAATTTTTGATAAAGGGTAAATTTCGTGGAAAAAATTTGAAAGCAGTTTAATAAAATTTATTAGTTTATGTTCATATATTTGGAAAAATATTCAGATATCTTTAAAATTTTTTAACTCACTTGACTTAATTGAAAAAAAAATCACGGAATCACAATTTTTTAAATTAATAAGAGCTTTTTTAAATTTTAATTTATTTTAATATTATTTTTATTTATTTAATTTTTTTATGTTCAATTGTCTCTGTATCTACCATCAGAATTGTAGACATTTGACCGACTTTTAATTCTTGATCAGAAGCCAATCAAAAATTTTCGCACTCCCCCGAGAGTGACTCAACGTTGCTGCCAGATTTTCCATTAAGATCGCGGCCGCGCATTGTGCGGCTGTCGATCTCCATTGTGATGCGCGCACACCGACGTTTAACAAGCGTTACACATATTCGTGCCGAGCACCAAATTGAAAACGCGCGGATTGTAAATCGAAAAGCAGCGGAGAGTCGCTGCGTAACGATTTTATCGCGCCGTGAGCCGCAAACAATGCACGACCCGCGCGTGTGATATCCGCTCTCCTCCATAAGCGTATAAATGACTGCGCGAGAAATAGCCGAGGATGAATATAAAGAGATTAGTTAAATTACTCAACTTGCTGCTGCGCGAAGAATGGAACGGGAAAATAATAAAACCAATAAACAAACGAAAGAAGCTGCAATCTTCGCCACGGATCCGTCATTATAAATGTGACGTGAGGGCTCTTCAAAAAGCGTGACCTAGTTGATCATAATTAAGTAGCTTGTCTCGAAAATGATTGATAATTTTTTTTGTTAAATCCTCTTGCAAACTGATGGACGGTTAAAGGATTAAGTTAATGAATAGAATTAAAATATATGTTTTTATGCAAATTTTGAGAATTGATGAAAAATCAGTGGAGCATTTAATTGTAAATTAATTAAAAAAAGCTAAATTTAAAATTTTGAACATAATTCAGGATAAAAAATGGCTTTAGTGGAAAAAGCGACTTATTGGTTCAACGATTTGAAACTAATTAGGGAAAAACTCTAAGTAATGCAAAAAAACAATTGCTAGAAAGTATTTCCAAAGAAATATAAATTTGTATCAGCTTTTCTTAAAAAAGACTTTTAAATTCAGAAAAAAAGGATTAATTTCTCACGTTACTTACAAGCATTATTATATTAAGTCCCTCAATATTATTTTGAAATTTTCAAATTCCATCATTTATGGGTAAAAAACTGACGAGACCATTTTATTCGTATGACTCTAATCATGCCTTAAATTAATGAACTAATCAAATTATATAAGCAATTAAAAAAGTCAAATAATTGTTGAAAAAATTGTAAATATGGGCAACTCCGAAATTCACATTCAATTATTTAATTAAAATTTTCTTATTGTTAGCCTTGTAATTTGAATCGCCCTGGCAGTTTTAATAAACACACCAATCTTGTCTAAAGTGGAACAACTATTTTTTTTTCAATCATTTTTCATTCTTGCTCTGTACTTAGTACTTTGCTGATAATGAATTTTAATTAAAAGCACGGCAGAGAGGCCGAAAACCGCAACGTCGTGAGTGAAAGCGGGATTCAATTAATTAATTAATGGCAAACAAAGGGTGGGCGCCGAACACATGTGTGCTCATGAAAGAGCGCAAGAACAAAAGTGAGTTTGGCCGATCCGTGCGCATCTGCCGTGCTTTTCAGCTCTCGCGGGTAATGAAAAAGTGCACGATCCGAACGTCACGGCCTTTTTGTTAGTAATTCAGTTTGCATTTATGATAAAGTAATATTAATGTAAACAGCCGACACGAGACCCCTGACACGCGGTTGATGTAATGAATGGACGATTATGGCGCGCGGCTCATCATCATCACGACGATGATGGGGCAGCGCGCACGGTCGCGTGTTGACTTTTAACACGTTTTATTTTTCACTAATGTAATATTTACCTGTTGTCAACAAGAAGGATGACCTTTGCCGTTTTCTCTCCCCTGCATGTTTGCGTGCGTTGAAAAAAGGAAAGAGCTAAAAAAAAATAATGCTTTACGCTCGGGTAATAAAATGCTATAAAGAATTAAGAAAAATGAGCCACGACCTCTTGTGTCCTCCAAAAGTAAATAGTTTTGAACTGCGTCGCTAATTACTTTCTCAGAAATGAATGGCCGAAATAATAATTTTGTTCTATGAATTTGTTAGAAGGAAAAACTTTAATTATATTAATTCTATTTAGTAAAAACATTATTTAAAAATGATCAAAGAGCCTCTTAAGAACCAAAATTGTTAAAATTTTTTTATTTAATTATAGGTTTTTATGAGAAAAATGAAAATTGTTGGACTATTTCAAAAATTTGTCTAAAAGTTGTTGAATTAAAAAAGAATTTCCTGAATAAAAAATAGCTCAGTAATTTTAAATTTAAAAAATCATAAAATTTAATATATTAATGAAGTGTGAAAAAGGTAAAAGTATTTAATTAAGCAACTTTTTGCTGTCTTTAAATTTTAAGCGGAAGGCAAGGCTCATGCACAACTCTCTTTTATTTTTACGATTTTTTATAAAGACAACTCAATTATACCCAAAAACTTTTACGATACATTTTCCAGTTAATTACACTAATCCGTTCAAGGCAATATTTCAAACATTTTTTGCTCTCATTTCCGTTCGCAGAAAAACTTTGCTCTCGCTTTTTTCAGTTCATAATTAAATTTACAGTTAACACCTCTGCAAAGGGCGCCGCTTGTGGAAGCATAATTATTGCAAAATTTGGCCCCGCATAAACTTTTATTGCCTCTAATGCAGTCCGCGACTACAAAATTGATGTAAACAAACTAAGGAGCTTTTGTGTGTTGACGATTTCGATTCGCAAGGATAATTCTATTTTACAATTGACTCGGGGATAAGTCGTGAGATGATTTTCTAGTAATTTGGCCCTTAATTGCATTTGTGAAAGGTCGTAGATTAACATAATACCGGTGCAATTAGCCGTAATTTGATAATATCTATTGCCGCCATTTTTTCCCAGGGCTAAATTTTTTAAAAGCCGGAAATAAAAACAAAAGAAATAGTTTTTAATCCCTCAAGCAATGGCTTCAAATTGCAATTAGCTCAATTGATCGGGCTTGAAAGGCTTCAGAAGTTCGTTTAATTAGCAAATCGTTTTATAGCACGCCGAAGAGATTGTTTTTCTTTGATTGATTCGAGACATTCGAGACAAAGTCTGTAAATCGATTTTCCTTTCCGCCGAGAGACTCGTTTGTTATTTCATCACGAGATACAAATCAGGATGCGGGAGAGATGGATTTAATCATTAATGGAATTAAACTCGATAATGATCTGCATCGATTACCTCTGCGTGGATGATGATTGAAGGTTAATTTTGTTTGATCTGCCCATATGAAAAATACACGCTCTCTGCATATTAAATGATCTTACAAAGGGGTATCCCTTATTGATCAGAAAAAGATAAATTTTCAGGAATAATTTTTTTTGAAAATGCAAGTGATTTGCCAAAATATGGTCCGCAATAATTTACAGTTTTTTATTATGAAAAAAAGAGCACTAGATTTTACTATTTTTTGATACTTTTAATTAATTTTTTGGATTCTTGTAAGAATTATGTAGAATTTTTTACAGTATTTTATTCTATTTGTTATCAGTTTGCAGTGCTTCAAACAAATTTCATTAAACTTAATTGAAGCAAATGATTTCATTTATTCAGACGAATATCAATTTTTCTTTTTAATTTATTCAAAAGCCAAAAGTAAAATTTAATTTTTCCTCTTCAAAAGAATATTACAATCATTTTATCTCCTTTTATTCAAAAAGATTTTTTTAAAGTTTAAAAAAGCACAATAAATGCAAAAAAAATTACTTTTTTCACCAGTCTTCATATTTTGTTAAATAAAAAGTTATTCATGTCTCTTCTTTGCCCAAATGATTACATCACATTGTTTGCATTCAATTTTGTTGAAAACATTTTATGTGAAATTAAAAATTCAGAAAAATGAATTCCATCAATTTTCGACATACAATTTTTAATTAATTTAAATTTTCTGATCAATTAATATATAAAACCTGCGTTTTCTGACAAATGAAATTTCAGATTAATAAGGGCGACTCTCATTGTCAGAGAGAGAGAAAGAGTGGAGCTAAAACTCCTTGCGATGCAAAACGAAGAGCGATCGACGGAGAAGAATTGGAGAACCACTTTTTGCGTTGGCGTCTCTCGTCGTACCGTCGAATGCACTTTGTAATTCAAATTCGGGCTGATTGAGATTCCAATCAGCTCCGCGCTGTGGCGATGCAAAACGCTTTATTATTATTATATGCGCCTCAAATGCACTCGGCTAATCATGATTCTTATCAGGTCGGTGTGTATATGAACTCTTTCTGCTGCAATACACACCATCTCTCGTAATTTATTGCCAAGATACGCTTGCTTGCTTGCTCGCTCGTTGGAGAGAAAGAGCAGAGCTTTTGTACAAACGGCATTAGTTGAGAGAAGTAACACGTTTTTCATCATCGTTTTGTGTTGACCTGACGATTACTCTTATTGCTCACGCTGCATTTATTTGTTTCAATATACAACAAACAACAATGTGCAGCAACGAAACAATCTCTCCTGCTCTGGAGAGAGAATATTATTATTTTATTTATATATAATATATGGCTTCTCCGTAAAGTGCTTTTCGACTTTTTTCGAGTGCGAGTCGGGCTCCCTTTCATCCTCTCAACATATATGCAAAGCGCCAAGGTGAAACCAAAAGCTTTTACTCGGAATCCTGCTCTGGCATTTTTACAGTAATTTTATATTGTGTTGCTGCAGCACAGCGTCTGCCGCTTGCGCTTTGATTAATAAGTTGTGGAATGCGGTTGCGTTGGAGGTGCTCGTTTTTATTCGAATATGTGCGGTGGAAAATATAACGAACAATTCAATTAGTTCCAGCTGACGTTTATTGGACTTTTTATCAAGATGGATGGTTTATTTCGGGAGTTAACGACCGCGGGAGAAAAGTTTTGAATTAGCATACAAAACAAGATGACGAATAAAAAGATTTGCTTGCGTTCGCCTTTATATGGAAACGTAAACAGAAGTAGTTGCCTTCCTTTGTCACGCACAACTTAAAAAGAAAGCATTCACTTAATCAAAAGATAAAACTGCTGAATGGACAGATAAAAAGAAAAACTATATCATTTCAAAATTTTATAATCTTGTCTCAAACTAATTCTCAGAAGTTCAATAAAAGCTAAAACAGTGCAAGCAAAATCAAGATTTTTGCAAGCTATTCATTAATTTGATTAAATTGCATTCAAACTGTGTCTTATATCTTTGCAATTTTTTTATAAGCATTAAGACTGGAAAAATCAGAAGAACTAGTCCGGGTAGTATTTATTTTTTAATAAAATCAAATTTCTTAACAAGAAATTATCTCTAATTTAAAGAAACTGATTAAAAATCACCAAAAAATTTGATTTTGTTTACAACACAAAGATGAATTATTTTTAAATTATTAAATTAAACTGATTTTCCACATGATAATTTTAAAGTAATTATTTTATTGAAATTACTGGTGATTCCAAAGTCAACAATTTGGTGGTTGAATTTTCCAATTGTATTCTTATAGTTGGGAAAAAAACAGGCGTTGTTGTAAATACTTGATTTAATAAGGAGTTGACAATCTAATTGAATGCCAAAAATTGACAAACCAAAAAAAAATTGCTTTCAAACTCTTTGATTTCATGAAGCAGATAGAGAGCAACAATGTAAAATAAAAGGCAATAAAAAGTTCCGAGTTCGAAGTCTAATTTTTTTTCACACACAAAGCATAATCAAACACAACTTAATATCCAGGAAAACTGAATTGTCCTTTATAAACTACTTTAATTCTTGAAATTAAATACATAAAGAAAAATCCATGAATAAATTATTGGATTTTCAAGACCATTTTATTTAGATTTTGACTCTTTTTGAGTGGGTTAAATTTTACAGCCCAATCAAGCAAAAACCCGCTCAAAATATAATTATCTAGTTCATTGTGGGGGGGATAAAAAACTTGTTCTCAGTTTTCGAGACAACCATTAACCTTTGGCAAACTCTCTCATAATTATTGCTCGCTGTTCGTTTTTAGACTCGCGTGTCACATGTTCTCAATAATTCCATGGCCCAACGAAATCTTTAAGTGCATATCTTTGTTCAAAGTCGATCGACAAGCGTTTTATTATTATTTCCCTCCACTTCCTGCCGAACGAAATCCTTGCATGATAAAATCCAATCTTTTCATCGCCTGTACAAAAAAGAAGGTCCATAATATTATTAAATCGCCTTCAGCCGCACATACATAGGAATATAACGACCAATATCTGAATGAAAACGACTGAAAAGCTCATATTTCCATCCGAAACACCGTAATTTTGTTTTCACGAAACCAACGAGGATTTCCATCAATTCCATCAATTATCTTGCGCCGATATTCTGCGCCGCTGCCGGGCTCGTCTTCTCGAACGCCGCTGCAAACATAATTAATGATTGCCAGTCAGAATGTTGAGTCTATTATTATTTATTACACGCAAATAAACAAAGTCGGCTTGGCGTGCGTATGAAATATGATAAATTAACGCGCCGATATAAAGAAGAAGAGAAAACGCGAACGCTATTTGTTATCACTACAAACTCGCCACACGGATTTATTATCAAGTCCTTTTGTTTCGGCAATTGAATTTAAATGGCGCCCAACAGCAAAATGTTTTCAATATGCATGCAAAATTAGAGAAATAATGACTGCGTTCTTGCAGGACCTTCTCGAATGAGCGATGCAGTATTAGTTAATTTAAAAACAACTTGAATAAAATAATTACATACATTAAAATAAAATTGATTTAAATGATATAAAATATAATCATAATTATAAAATGAATTTTAAAAAAATATATAAATATTAAGAATATGGCACATTTTCTGGAATTTTTATTGTCAGTTATCAATAGTGCTCAAGTGAAACTATTTATTTTTATTATCAATATTATCATGCTTATGAAACTAAAATGAAAAATAGTATTAATTAATTAATTTTTTAAATAAATTTTGGCAATTTGTTTAAAGATTAAAATATTATTAATTCAGCTCTCGCTTTAGTTCAACTTTTTAGGGCCGCCGATATACTGGAGGCGGTCCCCATTTCATGCGTATAAAAGTCTTCCAGTCTCCAAATTCAAATTCATCAGAGCAGCACCTCAAGCGATTAATATATTTTTTCGGCTCGCCCGCTCTCGCTGTCTTGTCTGCCAAAACGAAAATGAGTTGATTAATTTCGCGCACGGCATTGCGACGCGTCCCATGTAATTCAATTATCCACGCAGCCCGAATCGCAATTTATTACAATGTTGGCCGTAATTACCACCTTGAATAAATGAGGATAAATCGACTAATGTGACTCTTTGGCGACAAGAAAGTTTAAGTATGTTAATGGCAAAATGTATAATATTCGCGGTTCAATAATAATTATTATTTTGCTCCACGCCTTGAATTATTTCATAAACGCCACTCATCCAATTTTTTTTCTGCGTGCACAAAAACCTTTTCCGATCACCCGAGATGATTAAGATTTATTTATGTGCATACAAAATGAGCCCATTTTATATTTATAAGACGTCTCAATCGATATATATCGGCACATTAATTTTTTGTTGACCATCACGCGTCCAAATTGCTTTTTAACGAACCTTCAATTTTTTTCCGCTCTCCACAATATGGATTATTTTTAAAAGAGGAGAGGCGTAATAATTGTAAATAATAATCTATGCGGAAATGAGAGAAGGCGAGGCCCAGCTGCATTATATATTATATTGTTGTTGCTCAATCCGCGCGAGTGTGCGTTCAAGATCACAAATGTCGGTGCCAAGAGCCTCCGAATTCCTCGGGCATGTGATCTTTGAACGCGGAAAATCTTTCGAAACAACGCGGGAGAGGCGCACGTTGATTTATTAATTGATTCTGACGTTTGGATTTTCATTGTTTTCGAAAATGGTCACGCCGAATAATCTCTTGATGTCGAAATTTGTATATCGTGCGCAGGGTCCAAAGGTCACCGATGTTAAAATGCTAATCACATCTAATTTAATAAATTTGGACAAGGTTGTTTTTAATATATATTTTGTTCACATAATTAGCTGTCCGGTTTCTCTAAAAAAGGTTCTAATTTTATGATATTTTAGCGAAATAAATTGGCAGCTGACTCTCATTAGGATTCAAATGGATCCAGTTTTATTAGGCAACGTGCTTAGGATGTTTTATTTTTTTCTTCCTTGAAATTTTTGCTGCGCATCCCCGAAAAAGGATGATCTTAAGTGGTCGAGTAATTAATATTAGAGACTATAATTTAAATAACAAGTTCTGATTCTCACTTACCTTGTGCAATTGAACATAACACGTGTACTGAGAGAGTTTGAAAGTGATTTCCACATTTTTAAGGTGTGCCATCAGAAGAAGACTCTCGGCTTTCCTTGAATCTTATTTCAAAATTAATTTAAATTTAAAAATTGTAGTTTTTATTTCAATAAATCATGGATGCTTTTCTTTATTTAATTCTTAACTAATTTCTTTATTATTTTTTATAGATTTTGTTTCATTTTTTCAAATGAATAAATTCAATTCAAAATCAGATTAAATTTGATCGAAACATTAATAAATTTATATTTTATTTAACGTGATAATCTTTATGTTCTTTTAAGCTTTAACAGAAGTTGAAAAATTACCTTCAAAATAAACGTGAGCCTCCTGAAGTCTATCCACCTGATTGCTAAAAGAAAAAAAATAGAGGTGCGTATTGTATTATATTACAATTTCATCTTTTTATAAACTTACATCGCATTCAAAAATAAAAAGTATCAACATTTGCGGTTTTTAGATAACAATTTTCATAATAAAAAGTAGACATATCATCTGTATATAAAAAAAATAGTTCATTATTTTTCTAGTTTAAAATGATTTTCTAAATGGTTTTGAGTTGTTTAAAATTCCAAAAAATAATCAAAAACCATAATATAAACAGTATTATTTTTTAATATTTTTATTTGTAATATTAAAGAATATTATTTATAAATTAAATTGGGACATAATATTCATTCTTACGCCTCTCTTCTTTTAATAACTGGCTGAGCTTCTTATGCAGCTTAGTAACAATTAGGAACACAATACCATTCGCCTGTTCGTAACGTGGGCACGTCCTCCTTTTTATTATTTGTCCGCACACAATCCTTCATGCATAAATATAAATAATACATGAAAAGTGCCAGAGCTGAAAGCAAAAGGAAGGCGTATCATTATCACCATTAAAAACTCGCCACTTGTGTAACTTATGCGAGCACTCGCGGGTTGGGCTATTAGACCTGTTTTTCTAATTAGATATACATCCTTATCAGCAATTAGCCAATTACACCGTATTACGAATGCATTACCTCGGCCAGTTGCCGTACAGAGTTGTGCTTCCATGCGGGGACGGCTCAATATAATTATGCCCACGACGAGTGGAGGTGCATTTACGATTCCAGTCCCTTATCTATCGGCCTGCTTTTAATTGCACTCAGCGGAGAGCATCTGAAATTAACCCGCAATAAATTGACTTGTGTGCATATGCACGCGGACGTGTGCAGACAGAGAGACCCGTTCCAGCAGCAGCCTGATCTGCTGACCGAGAGGAAAATGGAACAGGTTAAACGATTCTCGATAACACAGAAAAAGTCTAATTGACATCGCCAGATTGCGAGTAAAATGTCTTTTGGTTCAACCAAGGCCGAATGAAGATTTAAAAAGAAAAAAATTTTGAGAGCTTTTGAAAATTTCTGGAAATATCCCAGATTTTATTTGTTTTCACTATCTTGATATAAAATTACCACTGATTTTTACTTTTTATTGGGCATATTTAAAAATTTTTGGTATATATTTTAGCGATTATTAAGGGAAAAAATGAAAAGTTTGATCTTCTTAATTTATTAAATTTATGAACTCTTGAAAGTCGAAAAGTGATGGAAGATTTAAATTATTCCAACAAAGTTAAAAAGTGGCGAGGCTTTAACGATTTTATTATTATTAATTATTATTTTTATAGCTAATTTTTTAAATCCATTTGCTGAATTATTTAAAATAATTGAATTTTTTTCACATAAAATTAATTCCTGCATTGAGGATGATGTTAAAATCTTTTTTAAAAACTTTCAAAACTTTATTTTAAAATGAAATTTTGAGTTTTTAATTTGTTTACCCTTTTTTTATAGTTCCATTTGAATCAAAGAGTTTTGACTGAATAAATTTAGACTACAGGTTTTAGATTCTCTCATTTATAACCAAAGGAACATAACAGCTCCCTATATACGCTCACACATTAGTCAGGATTAGACAAGTTATTCTTACGTAATTATTCCCTCGACGGATTCTCCAGCAAGCTCAGCACTTACAATTAGTACATTCGGCGCGGCGTGTTCGTACCCTGTAATTTGCATAAAATGTCCTCAGCTTGAATTGATTCCAGAGCGCGCGGCGACGCGGCGAATGCTGTAATTTAGTTATTGAGAAATTAAATCGACCATTATACATTTTTATAAACTTTCAGAGAGGCAGGTCGTAATTAATTTATGTGCTCAATTATTAATTATTATACTTGAGAAAAAGTTGCACGGGGAAATGAAAATTATATAGTTTGCAGATTTTTTGCAGAGTCGCTGAAATATGGGCATGCTGGAACGATTTTAACTTTTATCGTGGTTGTCATAAAAACATGACAGGTTTTAATGTACATGTTATATTTTATTTTATTTTTGTTCTAATATTTTTACCAAATTAATTTGTTCAAAATGGACGAGAAACACTATTTTTAATAGATTATTTTCAGCAATGCTCATAGAAGAAAAAGATTTAAACCAATGAAGGAGTAAAATTACTTTTAAATCATCTCTTTATAATTTGTGAAAAGCGAGACTTTATAGAACTATTTTTTTTTAATAATATATAAAATATTAAATTATTTAGAATTTAGTTTTGAACTAAATAGAATAATTATATGATTCACTTTTGTTTAAAAAATCAATTATTTCACAATTCCAACTGTAAACAAAAAAACAAGAACTATTCATTCCCTACTTCATTGTACCTCATCGCAAACCCATTTTTTAACAAAGAATTTATTTTTAGAATTTAATTTCGGCATGTTGCACACAATAGATGAAGAACAAAGTGAGGCGCGATGAGAGAGAAACAATGGTCGCTCTCACAATCGGTAGCAAATTTATCAGCAATCCAAGGCCCATTCTGTTTCTTTCCAAACAATAATGCTTAGTCTCGATCTCAATCCAAAAGGAAGCGAAATTATTTCAAAATCGCGGCCGGCGTGCGGCGAGGAAGCGAGGTGGGGCGTAATTAAAAAGCTGCAGCGTCCGTTTCGAGAAGATGAATTATTTTCCAATCATTTTCTCAAGGTGAGTCTTACAGCTTTGCTCTTAATCGCCGCTTTTTGTGCGTCGTCGGGTGCTCGTCCACGTATATTTCGAGCAGAGAGATTACTTATTGCATAAACACGCGCTCTCGGCCTCTTATGTATAATATAATGCCCAAATCATGAGTAGGCAACTTTTTTAATGCCCCGACATTGTGACTGGCTATTGATATTTATCGCTCGGCGCACAAAACTTCTCTCTCGGACACGGCAGCATTAATCAATAACACCAACCAACGGCAGCACCGACTGCAGAGAGACCTCCTTTATCACTCTCTGCACATGCCAGTGTGCAACTCTCGGTGCCGTCAATCACCGCAAGAAGTACAAAGAGTTGTATGAAAATTATTGACTGAGATTTCACACTCCCCGATCCTCTCCTAATGCATTGTAGCCGCGACTGCCAGTTATGCTGAAAATCGCTATTCGTGACCGTGGACTAAGTAGACAGATTAGTGGTTGAAGAAGCTCTGAATTGGCTCCAATTTGAGATGATGTTGCTCGTTAAAAGCTCAAGAGACTTGGAATTTGGCATTCCTAGCATTGAAATCTCCGTAAATAATAAGATGAAAATGAAAATGTAAAAAATTTATAGAAGTGAAGAACTCGGGCTTTATCCTCGTTTATAAAAATTGTTTTTTATTAAAAAAAAAAACGACTCTCTAACAGTTTTTGTCACGGTCTGCGACCCTATTTCATGAGAAAGAAAAATAAAAAAAATCAATTTTTATTTAAAAAAAAATCCATGTTCTTGGTGATTACTTTTTATCTTTCTGGCTCATGAAATAGGGTTGCAGACCGGGATCCGTGATCGAAATTGGTAGAGCCGTTTTTCAAAAAAACAATTTTTTAAAACAAGGAAAATATAGGCCCGAGTTCTTCACTTCCATGATCATCTCCTCAGGAAAAAAATTCATATTCCTTAATCAATCATTTCAAACAAATAAATGAAAATTTGCGCAATCTTTGAACAAAAGTGATAGATATATTAAAATTTTTTGCATTTACATCTTAGTTAATATCTCCACATTATTTGCATTAATTTATTAATTCCTACTTGAGAAAAAAAATGATATTATCAAAATCGACCTTATCAGTTTATTCTTAAGAATTTTAACAATTACTTTGTTGCATAGTTTTCTTTCCCTTAGAATAGATCTTGACAAAATGTTTTAATAAATTATGAATGTTTTTCTATTATTTCTTGCTCCCTACAAAAATCTTCAACTGAACAACACTGAAGGGAAAGCCGTTCCTCACATCTTTGAAATCCCAAAAAAATGGAATGTATTGTTTAGAGCTCTCGGTACTTTTCGCGCTATACTTTATAAAAGCCCTGAAAGAATTTTTAAACGTTATTTAGTAGTAAAGATGAAACATATATATATAAAATTTTAATTTTTCTTATCGTTAATAATAAAATTTTTGAATGAGTGTCGTACCTCTATAAGATGGAGAATAGGAAAAAGATATTAAATAATTCCATCATGAACGTTCAAGTTTTGTCCAATTATTATTTGGCAAATAAAAATGAAAGTACGCACGTGTGGGAGTATTATATGTTCATATTCATACACAAAGATCAATATACAATTTACAAAGTGACTGATCCGTTATATGGAAAGGGACCTTGCCAATTGCGAAATATAATTTACGCGAACTTTCACTCTCCTCCCGCAGCGTTTGATGCTCGGAACAAAGTGGACAAAGGCGCGCTCGAGATCGGCGAGTCGGTCTCCGCACAATGGTGATATAAATTTTCAATTTGTGCGATGCAGGCCACACAAGGAAGAATTCAAAGTCTGGGGGGAGAGTAGAGGTGAATTACCATTAGCGGCTGATAATGAGCACATCATTCACCTACATTGTTGCGAGAGAGAGATAATAATAAAAAACGCGCGCGCAGATGGCCGGGGATTTTTCAGGAAGGAAGCGGCGGCGAAACGCGTGCGGGGTCGAAGGAAAGACCCTTCTTGCCACGCAAATGTACACAAAACGCGGCGCACGCGACGCCCCCGCTATCTGACAGCTCTCAAATTGATAAATTACACACCCACGGACGATTTCGGCCCCTCACAGAGTGCCCCCTTCAATTAAAGAGGAGTCACGTTGACGGTGCATGTTTGGCGGAAAATATGCGGCCAAGTGGCCGTAAAAATTGTGGTTTATGAAACTCTTTTTTTTATTCAAAAGAACAATTATTAATTCTTTTTATTAAATACCAACGGTATACAGACACATACATGAATATTAATTGTTTATGCATATAATAATAGTAAAAACTGAAGAGGTAGTAATTGCACTAAACTTTCATAGAAGCTGCTTTAGTTAGTGTTAAGTCACTCTTTTTACATTCGAATAGGTGATACATTCCAATTTGTTCACCACATTTTATACATTTACAGTTTTTGTTTGCTGCACAGTGGTAATCTTTATTTTCACATAACAAATGATGAAAACCATGGCAAGCATACCTCGTAAAAAGGTGCCGATCTTTAAAGTTAGTCTCTTTCCATTTATTTTCAGTCATTGCAGGAGTGTTGTAAAATTGTGGGTCGATTTCTGCATTTGTAACATTTTTTACATTTAGGAAATTCTCGTATTCAGTCGTGTTAGTTAACGAGAATGTATTACAGAGATCAATAATGAGTAAATTTGTACATGCTAATTCATATGCATATCTCGATTTTGTATATTTGGAAAGACACATAAGCTTTTTTAAAAATCTTGATTTAACAGTCTCAAGTTTAATAAGGTCATTTTGGCTTAAAAATGGCCAAATAGCCTCAATTCCATAACTAGCTATTGGTGCTATAGCCAAGTTGAATAGCTTAATTCCTGCTGAAATTGACGATTTTGCTAGTGAGTTTAGTTTCGAGATTGCAAAGATTGCAGATTTGACTCTCTTTTCAATATGTTTTGTAAAGGTATTGCCTGATGATTGAAAAATGACTCCCAGGTAGGAGAATTCTGCGACAAATTCAATTGACTGACCATTTATCATCAGAGAATCATCTTTTTTATATCTGCCTCGACCCTTATTTCTAAATTTTATAATTTTACATTTTCCTAAATTAAGTTGAAGTTTTCTTTCTGCAAGAAATTTTTCAATTTTTACCATTGCTTTTTTCAATTCTTCTAAGTTTTCACTTAGTAACACAACATCATCAGCATATAGGATTGCTTTGACATTTAAGAATTCTAGTATTGCATCATTAAAATCACTGATTGCAAATATAAATAGGAACGGTGATAAACATCCACCTTGACGGACTCCATTTGATTGTGTTATGGTTTCTGACAACGACACTCCGTCATTTATTTGCAAATAATTGAGGTCCAACATTGTTGCTAACAGATTCAGTTCTTCGAAAGTAAATTTGTTGGATGCAATCAATTTCTCAAATATGAAGGTTCGATCTATCGAGTCAAAGGCCTTCTTTACATCTAAAAATATGGCATACAATGGTTTCTTTTTAACATAAACACTATCATTTATTTCATTTAACAGTTTACACACAGCAGGTATCGTACCCTTGTGTTTAACAAAACCATATTGATTAGAGGGAATGAGCTCTATTAGATATGAGTATATTCTGTTATTCAGCACTCTGTCTAGTAAGTTATACAGGGTGGAACTTAAACTAATTCCTCTATATGAATTTACATCGGACAAATCTCCCTTCCCCTTATATAATAGTTTTAAATTCGCAAATTTCCACGGCTCAGGAAAAGAGCCAGTTTCTAGGCAGAGATTAAAAAATGCCGTAATCTCAGGTGCAATGTGAAGCCACAGAACTTTAAGATTCTCATTGCTCAAAAGATCAAATCCCGTTGCTTTCTTAGTTTTAAGTTTTTGGATTGCAAGGGATACCTCAGCTTCCAAAATCTTTTTCATATGGATTGATCGTGGATAATTTTCTAATAATCTTTTCAGATTTAGTGATTCTCTAGGTAAGCATTTTTTAACATTGAAAATATTGCTGAGCTCTTCTTCCCATGTACTAATGGAAATATCATTTTCCTTATAAATTAAATTTCTATTTAACCTTAATAATTTATAACACGTTTTTTCAGCTTCTAACAGAAGCTTTTCTTCCTGTTTTTCCGCAAAGGATTTCTTTTTTGATCGAATTAGTCGCCTGTATTGCTTTTTCGCTTGAGCAAAAATATTGAGAACCTCACTTTTTTCGGACGCATGATCACAAGTAAGAGAGAATGAATCAATAAATTTTTTTAGGAAATTAAGGTCTTGACGAGATAAGTAGCACTCACTATCAAACCATGGTTGACTTTTACGTGGCGACCTAACGTTATCAAATTTCGAAGCGTCAATAAGCTGTAAAATATCATCATAAAATTTACTAAAATTCTTATTTTCTAAGTCAGTATTTAGTACTTGTTTAAATTTATTTACAAGCAAGTTTTCCAACACGTCATAATCTACTTTCCTACGAACATTATTGTGGAACTGGTATTCTATTTTGTCCCATAGTTGAAATTCAAGAGAAGTCAACCTATGCTTTCTCAGATACGAGTCACTAATAAGAAAGTTCTTTCTTTTGATTTTTTGACCCACGAATATTAAGTCAATGACACTACTCCCTTTTTCTGAGACATATGTTTTCTGTAAAGGACTTGAATTAGCCAGAGCTAGGTCGTTAAATTCTCCAAAATCCTGGATCAAAGTTCCCTTTTTATTTTTCTTGTCAATTCTGCAGTTGAAATCTCCAGCATAGATTAACTTTTCCCGATTTTCCACAAGATTAAATGAGTCTGTTAACTCCTCCCAAATTTCATCTTCATTTAAGGTTGGTTCAAAATACGCTCCTACAACTGAGAGAAATTCAAAATTTAAAATGAGAGTATTTTCTGTTTGCTTATAATTTTTTAGAGTGCCAACCTTAGAGTTATAATATACAGCAATGCCTCTCATTGGCCTTCCCAGATTATTTTCGTTTCTAGTGCCAAGAATGTGTTTCCCATAAAAGCCCGGGATAGAGAATTCTTCAAGAAGAAATGTTTCAGTTAATATAAGAATATCAAAGTTGTGAAAGTTATACTGGCCAAAATCTTCGTACATCTTTTTAAGGCCTTCAATGTTCCACAATAACAACTTTAAATTTTTAACATTTTTTATTTCAGGGCAGTTTAAAAATTTGGGATTTTTGATGTGGTATCGGTACCACTTACCGTTCCACTTTGGTTCACACATGTCACTTTCTCTTCTTCTTCGATGGCGATAAGAACTGAAACATTGTTACTGTTTTCTAAACGGGAGGTCACAATTGAGTCCTGTGAAGGTGTTGTTCCTGGGGGAGGAGGTGTTGGTGCTGTGGAAAGCATTGGGCCCTCTCTAGTTGACTGATCGAGCCTAGTTTTTCGTCCAGTTGGTGTGGACCAAGCAGTAGGTGATTGAAGAGCTGGAAAGTGTTCCTCGTAGCTCATCTGTCCGTTTTCGGAGTAACTGGAGCCCTCCCTGATGGCAAGTGATGGGTGAAGGTGGGTTCGTGGTGACCTTGGGTACCCTCTTGGTAGATGGTACACCTTGACTTTTACATCCACGTCTTTGAGGAAGTGGTGAATTACATCTCGAACGTAAAGCCAATTCATCTGATCTAAACCTGCGCACAGGTGAGGGATAGCTATTTCTTTGATTTTATTTCCTATGATGAAACCAGCTAACTGTTCGATGGCATAGATAATATCTTTGCCAAACTGATCAAAGTTGTGCCGAGGTTTGTGCCAGAAGCATTCTTTCGTGACAAGAAAAAGCCATGTTGACCCGTTTCGACTTTCAACTGGCAGCACATCTCCAATTTGCGCCCGTTTGCCTTTCAGAGCGGGGCGACCAACAGATTTCACAACTTCTGCTGCAAGCCCGCGACCACATTTGAGTTCCGCCGAAACTGCGTGAGCCTTGAATTGAACGTTGGATTTCAGAATATCACCTTCAATCTGAACAATTTCACACTTTGAATCCCTCAAGTCTAATGGAATGTAACCCGACCTTCTGTTTCGAGCAAGTCTTCGACAAGTCGTTCTGTATTGCTTTTCAAACTGGCTCAGAGTACGATGCCTTGGTTGAGCTTGAGTGGGGGGTGCAGGAGGGAGTTGTGTCGTTGGCGGGCTATTACCCAGTACTTGCGTTTGAGTTGGAGTTTGAGGGATCGGCCGCTGGCGGCGCTGGTTAGGGGGTGTGTCGCCCTGAGTTGTGAGGGGTGGAATTTCAGGTGATATTCCAGTTGGCAGCAGTGGTAATTTAGGTGGCAGCAGTGGCAAAGTAGTTGGCAGCAGTGGATATTTGTCGGTGTTTTCGCATGGAACCGGTTCGTTCTGTGTTGAGAACCGGTTTTGTACTTGATAACCGACGTCCTCTTTTTGCCCTAATTTCGCCAAAGCCTCATTTAATTTTTGCCGGAGAATGTGAATTTCATGTCTGCAGGACGCATGCAGGTCAGGGTGCGCTCCGTTGAGGCTATGAGGCGGCCCCTCCATGGTCCTCGGAGTTACCTGGACCCCATAGCCTTGGCCCCATGCTGGATAATTTTGCATGCACCCTGGCCCGAATCCAGGGTGCGAAAAATTTTGGCTTACAGAAATTTTGAAGGCCGGTGCACTTCTCCGTCAGTGATTTAGGTCTAGAAGTCGCACAGGCTTGATTTTCCAGCTGAAATTGATGAATAAGTGACCCGGGTCACATACTGTGTTGTTAACCGGCTGGCGCTACCAACCGAAAAAACCAAAAGAACAATAAAATAAGTTTTTATTGTGGAGAGGAAAGGAGATTGTTTTAATGTTGAAAATCAATCAGTTGGTTTTTAAACAAGATCGTATAAAATTGTAAATCAAGTAATAAAAAAAAAAAATCAAGACTATCAACTTCATTTGTCCATTGCAGGTTTCTTGAATTTTGATTTTAATCATTTAATAATGTTTTGTTTATCCCTATTTTTGACCCAATTTTTATTTATGCCAATACGCTAATTATTTATTCGCTTTCTTGTTAGTGTTGCAATAAAATAATTAACGCGCCATTATCTGCCTAATGTCTCGAAAATCCTGACAGAAAATAAAAAAGGTCATAAAGGATAAAAACAACAATGATGGCAAAATGAAGGTTGATAAATGCAAAAATAACAGGGACTGCAAATTATTGAAGGAGAAAGAAATACAAATATTATTTAAAATATTTATATAATACATATATGAAAATAAAAAAGGGAAGAGGAGAAAAAGAAAAGAGGAAGAGTGTAGTTTAAAGATACTTTCTGTTAGGACAGTTTTTTTCGAGAGTTTAGGATGATAAACGCTATTAAAATTGTAGATGTTTCTGCACATTTATATTTAAAAGTACAAAACCGGGAAATAATGAAAAATATTTTAGCGTATGCGCCCTAGGTAGAGGTAAAAAGTAATTTTTTGTTTTTATCAATTTTGCAGCACCCAAGAAAAATTGTCTGCGGCTGTCAGCGACCCAGTTCTCAGCATTGATAAGAAATTTTAATTTTTATATTACCTTACAATTATAAAGCGTGAAAGATAAATTTTCAAGTTTTTCGCATGATATTATTTACCATTAGAGTACGGAAAATTTTACTCACCAACGTTGATAAGAGAATAATTACGGTGGCGCGCATATAATCTTATCAATTTAGAATTTATTATTGCATGCAGTTTCCCCGTGCACGTAAATTTTGCGTATATATGAGAACCTGAAACACAGTTTGTCACATACTGGGTGTCATGATGCGGTGTCTCATCCTTCTGGTCTTTTGCCCAATTCAGGTAAACGTTTCTATATTTTGATACATATTCTCAGATTCTTTAGCTTCAACTTGATATTTATTGTATTGGAACAATTAAATACCTTTGGGGCTTTTTAAGGGGATTTGAATGTACGTTTTGATATAAATGTTTTTTTTTTAAATTTTAGAAATAAACACTTGGCCAAAGGTTAAAGTCATCCATAGCCAATCGCAATGTTCAAAATAATGTTTGATGGATAATACATACTACTTTGCTAACTAAATTTAATTTTGTTCTGAATATTCAGGGTGGCCCATATTTATATAATATAATGCATGGTATATCATTCAATTTGGCACATCCAAGTGATGCTCTAAATAGTTCTTTATCAAAATTGAATCATTTTTCCAATTTCCAGAGCAGTTTGAAATTTGAAACTTTCTTAGTGCTCTTGATGTGCTGAATTAAATCAATTAAATTATGCCTTTACGAGAACGTTCTGATTTTCTCGCAAGAGGTTGGCAAAGTCGGCGATGGCGGTAAAACAGCTAAAGGAATAACTCTGAAATTTAATATGATATTGTGTTTTCTCAAATTTATAAGTTCAGTCATTTTGTGCGTCAAAGTTAAATAATTAATTACAGAATAAGTGGTGGAAACCGCGCATGTTAAATAAATTTGAGTAAATTTTTTTAGATTTTGGCAATTGATTTTACTACGTCGGGGCATCGAAAATATGATGTCGAGGGTCACAATGTACCAGACCGTACCGCCACCGAATATTCGTGGATTCAACATGCAATCATTGGTCGAAACAGGACTTCGAACTTGAATAGTATGATTTAAGTGCATCTAAAAAAATTTAAAAAAAAAAAAAAAAATTAAAAATTCCTTTTAGGAGTTCGGCGCTTTGACATTTCCGCTCGCATCTACGGCGCAGTATATGCAAGTTTGGGCCAGTTTCCTTTCTTTGCATTAGCTACTATAGCTAGGACTACTATGTGCGGTGGGTCCCTCGTCACTCCGGAATGGGTTCTGACCACAGCTTCTTGTACAAGGTATCAATCGGAACAAAAGCAGACAGGAATATTAACGATATGTGTTGTTTAACTTCTGAGCAGCACTAGTCCAACTGGAAATACTGTAGTTTTGGGAAATATAGAGAGCACTCTTGGTTTATATTCTGATGGATCTGTCACTCGAACGGCGATAGATGCCATCAGACATGAATCTTACGATCCGTTGAATTTTCGAAATGATATTGGAATGATCAAGATCGCTGCAGTTTCCCTAGGAGGTATTAAAATTTACTTATCAAATTCTTTGACTTTGAAGCATAATTATTTTATTTTTTTAGCAAACATTGCATTAGTAGATCTAGCGCCTGCGACCGACGCTTCACTTAATTTTGCAAACGTGCTAGGAACGATAATGGGCTTTGGAGCTGTTAATCCAGCGACTTTTCGTATGTAACGTCTTAAATATTTTTACTATGTTTTTATCTCAAAAAGCAGTCAAACATAGTATCAAATATAATTGCCACTAGACTCAAGAATGTGTAATGTATAATTTTGTTTCTAGGATTTTGCGTGTAAAAACTTTAATTTTGAATTTTAGATACTTTAACAATTAACAACAATCTTGTTTTTATCAGAATACCATTGTCATTTCCCTTATATATTTCAACAAAAATTAGCATCCTAACTGTTAACAGTATCAGAGTTTATTTTCGTTTCATCTCGAACAACTTTCTTAAATTGAACATATAAATTTTGGAGCCCAAAATGAGAGGAATTACTTAATTATTATTATTTTTTATTCTTCACTTGACATGCTCCTGACATTGACAGACACAATTTTTCCTATAATTGCAGAAAACTATACTTTGATGAAAAGAAATTTTTTACGTCATTCCATCATAATTGGGTCTCCTTTTTCAGTTTGGACAATATTTTTTATTTCAATATTGTTTTTAACAGGATCGTTCATCAATTAGATGTAAAATAAATATTTTTGGTGAAATATGATAATATATAATTCAGCATTATAAACTGAAATCATCTAAATTTCTGTGCTTCATGCTAAAATTTTTAATATATGATGTAGCATCACCAAGCCCACTTCTTCAATTTGGGCAGCTCACTATCAACAACGGGGCCAGTTGCACATCAGATTTTGGAGCTGAGAATTTCACCAATCTAAATTTGTGCGCGAAACATGTTGGTGGCACAATTGGTCCTTGTGGGGTAAGATGAATTATTATTTGTTGTTTATTCTCTGCAATCTTACAGTTACTTTCATTCTTTGTTATTATTATGAATGGTTGCGCGAAAAATCAGAAATATTGCGAGAATATAAATTATAAATGATAAATTTGCTAAATAGGTGATAGCAATTAGAGAAAAATAGGAATATTACCCAATCTTATGGGCTCAAGATTTAAAAATTCCATCTATGTACACACATAATACGTATTACTTTCCCAAATGCCAGTTGAAAACATATAATATTTTTTACATAATTACCTCAATAAATAAACTTTTTAATTTTAGTTGCAAATCAATAATTTTACAGCCACAAGATAAAGGAAATCCGTTGGTGTACGCAAGCAGTGCAAATGGTGTGACGCAAATTGGAATCACCTCCATATATGATACGTCATCAGCTACTTCCTGTTTGTTAAAATCCACAATCTTTACACGTGTTGCTGCTTACAAAGCGTGGATTACACAAATCATTGCGCGTAAGCTGTTCAAAATTATTCTCTACACGTAAAATAAAAAATAATTCAAAACTGCAGTAAAGTAATCAAATTCTTAATGTATGTGTCGTTAGCAATAATTTTCAATTTCAATTTGTTTTATTCTCTACATAACAAGTCAAAATAAAATACAAAAAAAAAATGAAATAGGCAAGTCATTAAGCTATGAACAATATACAACCTGTCAAAAATAGCTTCTTGCCCAAGAATTTTTTCTCCTCCTGATCTCCTCTAAGAAGTTTCGGTCAATACGCAACGTGACCAAAACCTCTCGTTGACATATCCCTTTTTGTTGCACGTTATACATAAATATTTTAAACCCCTAAATTTAATGTTCAAAATGTTATTGAGTTTGGTTCGTAGAGATATTATGAAAATTTCAATATGCAATTAAGACTTTTGAAATAAATATTAGTTTTATCATAATACGGACCTGAAGCGCTTCAAGAAATGACCATAAAATACACTCATTTTCCCTTTCTTAAGCTACGACTGCCGCACCAACAACGACTCAGCCCACAACGACTGGGCCCACGACGAGTGGGCCCGCAGCAACTGGGTCCACTTCAGCTTCAACTACAACTGCAGTGGGTTCAACTACGGCTGGACTTACAACAGCTGGTTCGGCAACACCTGAACCCACTATAGCTGCCGTCACGACTGGGCCTACTGTAGCGGCAACCACAGCTGGTTCTACCACAGTTAGTGCTACTTCTGGAACTTCTACTGCAGCGGGTTCAACTACGGCTGGACTTACAACGGCTGGTTCGGCAACACCTGAACCCACTATAGCTGCCGTCACGACTGGGCCTACTGTAGCGGCAACCACAGCTGGTTCTACCACAGTTAGTGCTACTTCTGGAACTTCTACTGCAGCGGGTTCAACTACGGCTGGACTTACAACGGCTGGTTCGGCAACACCTGAACCCACTGTAGCTGCCGTCACGACTGGGCCTACTGTAGCGGCAACCACAGCTGGTTCTACCACAGTTAGTGCTACTTCTGTAACTTCTACTGCAGCGGGTTCAACTACGGCTGGACTTACAACGGCTGGTTCGGCAACACCTGAACCCACTATAGCTGCCGTCACGACTGGGCCTACTGTAGCGGCAACCACAGCTGGTTCTACCACAGTTAGTGCTACTTCTGGAACTTCTACTGCAGCGGGTTCAACTACGGCTGGACTTACAACGGCTGGTTCGGCAACACCTGAACCCACTGTAGCTGCCGTCACGACTGGGCCTACTGTAGCGGCAACCACAGCTGGTTCTACCACAGTTAGTGCTACTTCTGTAACTTCTACTGCAGCGGGTTCAACTACGGCTGGACTTACAACGGCTGGTTCGGCAACACCTGAACCCACTATAGCTGCCGTCACGACTGGGCCTACTGTAGCGGCAACCACAGCTGGTTCTACCACAGTTAGTGCTACTTCTGGAACTTCTACTGCAGCGGGTTCAACTACGGCTGGACTTACAACGGCTGGTTCGGCAACACCTGAACCCACTGTAGCTGCCGTCACGACTGGGCCTACTGTAGCGGCAACCACAGCTGGTTCTACCACAGTTAGTGCTACTTCTGGAACTTCTACTGCAGCGGGTTCAACTACGGCTGGACTTACAACGGCTGGTTCGGCAACACCTGAACCCACTGTAGCTGCCGTCACGACTGGGCCTACTGTAGCGGCAACCACAGCTGGTTCTACCACAGTTAGTGCTACTTCTGGAACTTCTACTGCAGCGGGTTCAACTACGGCTGGACTTACAACGGCTGGTTCGGCAACACCTGAACCCACTATAGCTGCCGTCACGACTGGGCCTACTGTAGCGGCAACCACAGCTGGTTCTACCACAGTTAGTGCTACTTCTGGAACTTCTACTGCAGCGGGTTCAACTACGGCTGGACTTACAACGGCTGGTTCGGCAACACCTGAACCCACTATAGCTGCCGTCACGACTGGGCCTACTGTAGCGGCAACCACAGCTGGTTCTACCACAGTTAGTGCTACTTCTGGAACTTCCACTGCAGCGGGTTCAACTACGGCTGGACTTACAACGGCTGGTTCGGCAACACCTGAACCCACTATAGCTGCCGTCACGACTGGGCCTACTGTAGCGGCAACCACAGCTGGTTCTACCACAGTTAGTGCTACTTCTGGAACTTCTACTGCAGCGGGTTCAACTACGACTGGACTTACAACGGCTGGTTCGGCAACACCTGAACCCACTATAGCTGCCGTCACGACTGGGCCTACTGTAGCGGCAACCACAGCTGGTTCTACCACAGTTAGTGCTACTTCTGGAATTTCTACTGCAGCGGGTTCAACTACGACTGGACTTACAACGGCTGGTTCGGCAACACCTGAACCCACTATAGCTGCCGTCACGACTGGGCCTACTGTAGCGGCAACCACAGCTGGTTCTACCACAGTTAGTGCTACTTCTGGAATTTCTACTGCAGCGGGTTCAACTACGACTGGACTTACAACGGCTGGTTCGGCAACACCTGAACCCACTGTAGCTGCTGTCACCACCACGGCCGGGCCTACTTTACCTTCAACCACAGCAGGTTCAACCACAGTTGTCCTTACTACAGCTGGTTCTACAGCTGCACCCACGTCTGCTACTGGTTCAACTATACCTACGCCTTCTGCCACTGCAGATTCAACCACGCCTGGGCCTACTACGGCTGCAGGCTCAACTACGCCTGCATCTACTACAGCCTCTGGTTCAACAACTCACGGGGCTACTACGGCTGTTCCTACAATTACTGCTGGTTCTGGTTCTACTACTTCTGTGCCTTCAACGGCAGCAGGTTCAACAACTACCGGGGCAAATACGGCTGCAGGCTCAACTACGACTGTGCTTACTACGGCTGCAGGCTCAACAACTCCTGATCTTCCTACTGCTGCTGGTTCAACCTTTCCTGCTACTGCTGCTGGCTCATCAACGCCTGCTGTTTTAACAACTGTTGCACCTACTACAGCTGCGGGCTTGACTACGCCTGCGACTTCCACCACATCAGGCTCAACTACGTCTGTGACGACGATTGGGATAACCAATCCTGGTGGTTCAACACCTACTGTGTCCACTGGTTTATCTACGACGGGGCCTACAACTACTGCAGGTTCAACCACACCTGGGGCTTCCACTTCTGCTGGGTTAACAACGCCTGGGTCTTCTACTCCTGCTGTTTCAACAACGCCTGGGTCTACTATTGTTGCTGGTTCAACGACGACTGGGCTAACCACTCCTGCTCTTTCAACAACTTCTGTGTCTACTGGTTTAACTACGATTGGGCCTACTACTGCTGCTGTTTCAACAACGGCTGTGTCTACCACTGTAGCAGGTTCCTCAACGCCTGTGCTTACTACTGCAGCAGGTTCCCCAACTACTGGACCTTCTACCACTCCTGGTGGTTCTACAACGACCACTCTAGGTTCAACAACAACCAGGCCTACCACCACTGCAGGCTCCACAACTACAGAGCCTCTCCTCACTGCCGGTTCAACAACTGTAGAACTATCTACCTCAACGACAACGTCCGGACTTACAACAATTGCAAGCATTTCAACTTCAGAGCAAACTACAGTAGCCCTGACAACATCAGTGCCTACGAAGGCTACTTCTTCAACGGTATCTCCAAATCAACTAAAAAACTGTCCTATGAAGAGTTATGCGGTAATTGTGATTTATATCCTGATATATGTCGTTGTATTTTCTAAAAAAAACTTGAATATTTTCTCCCTAGAAAATAACTAAGTGCTGTGTGAATCCACCAAGTCCTCTGGTATTTTTCAATCGTTTCGAGAAGGCTTGCAAGATTACCAAAGGATCTCTCAATGCGTTTAATGTTTTCTCGTTGAACAAGCAGCAGAAGTTTGCCAATTCACCGGCCAACTCAATCATGTTCCAAAGTAAAAAAGTCAAAATGGCCTTAGGCAAGGATGCTGTAAGTCCCTTTTTAAAATTTGTATTGTGATTGATGGTACTGCTATAAAAATTTAGTGCTTCGTCAACTGCTACCTAATGGATAAAGGAGCCGTAAGTAATATTTTTTATGTTTTAGTCTTGTAGACCACATGATACGTTGAATGATTTTAGATGTTACCAAACTATGTAATAAACCAGGCTGCTCTGACCGATTTTCTCACCAGCACGCAAACTGATGAAACATGGAGATCAACTATCTCAGCTGCGATAGCTGAATGTGTTTCCATAGTAGAGGGTAAAGTTTTATTTATCTTTTTTAATAGTTCTAAATAATTACAACTGAAGGTCTGGCCATTCCGGATTTTATTTCACAAGGATCAACATGCCCTGGCAAGGCTTTTGTCGTTGTGCAGTGCGTTCTCTTAAAAACAATTAGTGTAACTTGTTCATTATGAAATATTTCATTTATTTAACATCAAAATTTGTTTTTAGAGCTGTCCTAATAAGGGTAAAATAACATAATATTATATTTCGATATTTAAAGATAATAATTGTACCCTTTTCTTAGTGGTAAGCAAATCGTGCGCAAACACGTACAATCTATTCAATAGGTGCTCTGGAAACGTTTTTGCCCCTCAGACTACAAAAAAGAAAGTCAAGGACGAAAATAAGAAGAAAAATATGAAAATAAGAAAGGTCAAGGAGAGCATGTTAATGAAAGTCGATAAAGAAAAAATACGCAAGAAGAACAATAATGGAAAGAAGAAAAAGAGAAGGAAAGAGAAGGAACAAGTCAAAAAGGGAAAAGGCAATAAGAAATCGTCGACAAAGCAAGAAAAATTAACGAGAAAGGATGAAAAGGAAAAAAAATTCAAGCGAAAAAATACAACAAAAACATTGAAAATAAAGTGAAGAATCTCATGAACATTAAAATAACGAATATGTATATTTTTGAAAAAGAATTGCGGAGAATCTAGATGTGGCATAAAAGCAAACAGGATAATTTATGACGAATCAGTAAAAATGAAGAAGTCGCCCAGATTTGAAGACCGATTTATTCAATTTTATGTAAACTAATAAAAGGAATGCTTAAAAAATTATGCACTACAGTATTTTTTGTAAAAAAAATTCACAATAAAATCTAATGCACTTTTATTTGATTGGAGAAAAACTATTTTATTTGTGAAAAGGTTCCTGCTTAAATTTTCACCCTCAGATTTTTTTTCTGTAAACTACCACTACCAAGCTCTTTTATTATGTTTGTAAAAAGTCTTGATTTTTCAAACACATTGAATCGTATGGTGATTTATTTGATAGGAGAAGTGGTCTGTGAACTAAAAAGTAGCAACCAACAAATATGTATAATTGGGTAATTCGAAAATAAGTTGTCAACCCCACATTTTTGCCTTGATGAAAAATATCATTGCTGATTTAAATTTAGATTAATCGCTTTGACACGCGCATTTGGTTAGTTGCTTTTATTACGCCGGAAGTAAAAAGTTAAGTGCAAATAGCCGCTAATATACCCGTAAAATAATTTATTAAATGTATTCAAATAAATTTTTTTCAACACCGACGGTATGCTAGTTTTGAAAATGCAAGCCTGGCTTAAAATAGAAATTAAGACCGCCGTTCTGACAAGTGTCGATAAAGACTGAATTTTAAAGCTCAACCGATCGTGGGATGGAGGTTTCAGCTCGACGATTATACTGTATGAAGAATATTATAATCACCACGCCTTTTAAATATATATGCAAAATCATTTTGTGTCCCTTGTGTAATTATGTTGCTCTTCAGGGAGCAAATAAAAGAGAGTGCCAACGTATGAACTAAATAAAAAAATAAAATAAAAAAACCAAGACGTAAAACAAGCGAGTTATAGCATGTTCTGCGGTTGATGGCGATGGTGATACCTTTGATATAATACTGTGTTCCGACGCACCGACATAATATAAAGGAAAGAAAACTCCGCAAAATGGATCTTGGGTTTCAAATTTTTATTTTTCATCAGCTCACCCAATTTCTCCGTCCCAGGGCAACTCCATCTGCATAAAACGGCTGCCAATTATTCACTCGGTCGCTTTATCTGAGCGTTGGCTCGGTTCTTTACGAGACGCAATAAAAAATTCTCGCCAGCGAATTAAGATCATTATTGTTAAGGGCCGTCGAGGCTGCAATATTCTGCGTGAACATTATTAATAAATTGTCCGTGAACGCGCTGCATGCAGATATGGGTCGACTCCATGTTGATTATCTCCATCATCTCTCAAAAATTACGAGCTACCCATGCGTTTTGCAAGCCGAAGCGTTGAAAAAAATGTTATGGTCAACGGAAGTTGAAATTTTATATTCCACAAATTGTTTTCTGGAAGACAATTTTCAAGCAATAATCAAGCAATTTTTTTGTATCTTTAGGTAGTCGAATATATCTGACAAGCGAATCGAAATGAACTAAACTTTGCCAGGTATAATTCGGTGCGTGTCTTGTGCGTGCCTTCTTCCTGTATATAATTTCACCAACATCACCTCACGCTTCGCAAATCATCTTGATGGTCGAAGAGCCGCAGCCATAAACAAGTTCTGCGCATTATAATCTGTTCTATAAATAGCGGTCCAGCGCCAACGGTCGTCGGAGCCTTGTGGGTTACCTTAAATATTACTTTTGCAAGGTTTTGCACCGGAATTTGCTTCTACTGCTTCTTTTTTATGATTGCTATTAGTCACATTCCTTAGAGAAAAAGCTAGCTAGAAAAATTCCATTACTATTTCACTTATTTAATTTGTTTAAAATGAAATTGGCGGCTAAAATTTAGTGTCTTAAATTGTAAATTTTTGCTTTAAAATTTGAAATTTGTATAATTAAATTCTAATATTTTTGTCTAAAACATACTGAAATAAAACAGAAATTTAATAATAATAAAACATACCAAAATAACAGAAAATTTAATGCTAAAAATTTTGTTGAAAATGGCAAAATTAATGAAAAAATTTCATTTTAAATAATTAAATCTAGTTTCAAAAAATTTATAAATTGCCATTCAAGATTAGTGCAAAATATGAAAATTAAAAATTAAATGAAATAAAAATTAAATCTGCTAAATGTTAAATATCAAACCGCCTTACTTCTTCCTTCTTTTTTGCAAATTGGTATCTTTTATATTTTGTTAGCTTCAAAATGTAATAATCGAAGGTGTTCAGACCAAATACGGTGACTCGCGTGTGCTTTATTACCTCTTTTTCTAGAGCGCAAAATTGATTGATGGCCCATTTTCGGCACTCTCGGGGCTCAATGTCGCCGGCCGCGACGTGCAATTAGCGTTCGAGTATCGAACCTAATAATGTACAGGTCATTAAGAGAGGCCGTGCGCGTATTATCGACGATCTGATGGCAGCCGTGGAAGGCTAGCAGATTTTGCAGTTCGGATTGTAATTATGAAATTTGTTATTCGAGCGAGAGATAGAGGGTGTGGCCTTGGCAAATAACTCAAATCCGAGGGCCCGTCGGCGGATGAGCCACGCTTGCGTTTTATATATTTTTGTGCGCATTAACTTTGGATTAAATTTTTCATGCGGCGGAGAAATTCAATGAGGTCGATATCGGCGATCTGCATCGCGGATTTGCTTTTCGTAATCTTCTGCATGAGCCTCGCTTTGTGGAAAGCCAAATCCGCCGACCGAAACAAAAAGAAACGGGTTTGCTTCTCGCTCCTTTTTTATCTCCCACAATGGGTATTATTTATCCTTCGAGGGCCGCGGGGACTTGGCGCGAGTGCTGCTTTTTTTATAAATATAAGTACACGCGTACTTTTGGTAGTGCCGTACTGGACGAGAATTATTGAAGGTCTTCAATTCTTTTGGTGTGGTTTTGTGCTAAGAAAACGGATGCTGAAACGGCCAGAAATTACAGTGATTATATCAAAAGCGCACCGAGACGTGAAATTTCAGCAATATGGGGATAAATCTGCCAAGTTAAGAACTCAATTGGACCACATTCCTTATTCAAAAGCTTCAGAATTTCATTCTAAAAGTCCATAAAATGAAATTACTTCGTATTATTTCAAAATTTATATATTTCAATTTTGACAAATTAAAATTCATGATTATATTTCATCGTTTTAAATAAATTTTGAAAGAATTTACAGCCCATTTTTTTATAATTATTGAAATTCTCATTAAATTTATCAATAATTAATTTGAAAACCTCTTAATCTGAATGAGTCGTGGGACATGTACAAATGAGAGTGATTTTTAGCTTTGGTTGTAAATTATATGGTCATGTTTGAATTTTGCAGGAATTTAACCCCCTGTAAAGCTTCTTGATGTAAAAGTTAGAGGAAGTTCAAAGGAATTGATTTCTGAATGAACATCATATTATTGTTATAATTTTTTTTTATATATTGCATTATAATTTATCTATATCTCGTTTTTTTGTAAAGAGTCAGCTCTTTTTTGATCTACTTTAAATTAAATTTTAAAAAATTAACAGATTTTGCTTAGATCTCAATTATTTATATTTCTATCATATTTAATAAAACATGCAATCTTCAAGCAGTTTTAAATTAAAAATAACTGGCCGCATTATAAGTAAAAAATGCTACGAAATTTTATTTAATTCAAAAACTCTGAGCCTTCGATCTGCGAATAAACTTTTACTGCTACGATTATTGACTTGATAATTGCACACCTTGCGACTTTTTCTTACCGTCGGCTCGCACTTCAAACGTATTCGTCGATTACACAAATAAAAATCACAGCGGTGCGCCCTTTAATTGGTGGCCATCGATTAATTGCGTGTGGTCTCGCCTGGATATATCTTTCATATCAGCGATTTCCGCCGCTCTATGCGACCGGTTTTTCTAGATTATTCATTAAGTCGTAAAGTGATACATAAATCGACAAAATATAACGAATCACCGCTTTTTAACTATTGTCGTAAAAATCAACTGCATAGTTCAATTTACGCCCAAATTGAATATTATTTATTTCCTTTCGAAATTCCGTAGATGGAAGATAATAAGGTCCAAGAGCGTGCAACTCTCTATAACTAATTCGATTTCGCGACGGAACACACAAAAGTACTTATCTGGGAAATAATATATTTCAGGCTTTAATCGCCAATAGCCATTGGGGGCGGGCGGACAAACGCAGAGAGGTGTGCAGCGCGCGGCAGCTAAACGATAAAATCAGGCTGCAAGGCTGCTCGTTCGGCGCGCGTGTTGTATCATAAAAATATAATACTCTCAGTCGGAAAGATTAGCCGCACACATACATATAAAAATGGCTAATTTTCCGCCGCGCCAATAACATTCAAGTCCAAATTGCCTCCTTCTCTCCGCTTCTTATGAAACGCGGCGTAATTTCAATTTGCAGGCGTAGTGGGTGGCCTTCTTCTGCACTTTGTATACATCCTCGTTATATTTATAAAAACGTTATTAAGTATGAGAACGAGGAAGTCGAATGCAACAATGGCGCGCTAATAGGATTTAATGAGTGGAAAGCGAACGACAAAGCAAGCGGCTTTGCAGCGTTCCGTAGAGGATAATATTTTTCTCGCTTCCTCTCTGCAGGTGGGTAGGCAACCTGCGTGACACGCCTTCAAGCACACCGGCTTTCCATTAAAAAAAATCACATCGGAATCATCTTGAATTGGATTCCAGCTGTGAAAATTCACTGCGGAATGTACTAGAAATTTCATTCATGTGAGAGAGAATTTAATTAGAATTTGAATGTTCGAGTTGGATTAGCAGAATAAAGAATTAAAAGGAGTAAAAACTTGAATGAGTTATAAATTATAGGAATTTTGGAAATAATAATTCTTTAGAAATTTTAATTTCACCAAAATAGCTAATTGATAGTTGTAAAAAAATTAATATTTAAATAATATATGATTGAAAACATAGAATATTATGATCTCCTTTCAGGTCAAAATAAGAATTATTACTAAAAAATCACTAAAAATTTTAAAATTCAACTGGTTTCATAACTTTATGCCTTGTCATTAAAATTGCCAAATAAAATATAATTTAATATAAAAAATATATAACCCCGTAGCCGCCGCTTTATAACAAAAAATAAAAGAAAGAAAAATCGTTTTATCTAAACAATAAATTATATCATTTAGAACATCAGTATTTGTCCTCTTAGAAACGAAAACAGGTCCTTTGTTTATTAAAATTCAAATTAAAATGTGGTAAATTGAATATTTTTTATATTATACTCAATCGGTATAAAATCACTGAAATTATCAAGGAAGAAAATGCATACTTTAAATTAATATAGTGACTTTTTACAATAATTGGAAAAAAGGCGATCGAATAAAATGAAATGCATCAAGTTTACATTAAATGGTCCCTGATTGTAAGATTAACAAAGTTAATCAAGTTGTATATTGCTTATTTTAGCAACAATGAACTTCGTTCTTGGAAGTATTGCATGTTGACTTTTACTCTGGAAATCGCTTCAGGGGACCTGTTCGTTTGCCCATAGAAATGCGATAAATTGTGAGATTGGAAAACGTCCAAAAGACTACTTTTGTTCGGCCAACGATTGTGTCGTTAATTAATTGACCGGATTAATCGCGCCGATACAGAAATTACCGGCGGCGATTGGATCGTGCAGCTGGTTCGCTGCGCGGTTTTTGGCCAGCTCGCGAGTGAAACCGCTGGCTTATTTTTTTTATGCATGTTGCGAAATTCAATTCAGCCGGCTCGGGAGCCTCATGTTTCACATTTAATTGGACGTGATTTAAGAATGGTCCGCGGCAAAGTGCAGAGGTGTGTACGGCCTTAATTGAGAGTTAAAAATTATGTCGATGCAAAACCGATTTCCAACATTGGCAGTTTAAATAAATTCTTATCTCTTAATTTATGCCACACTTGAGAAAGGGCTTAAAACACAGATTTTTTTAGAGGAATTTTATTTAATCCAAGCTAATCCGACAGCATGCTGAAAAAGGTGGTCAGCACTTTTGCTATGTCTGACAGAGGTGATGGACCACCGGATCCCCAGCCTTTGAACAGCGACAGAAATGAGGACAAAACATTGTCCAAACTGGAAGGTTCAAATCCAAACTTTGAGTTGGTCGAGTTTTTAGATTCATCCCGTGAGAAGAAATCGTCTAATAAAGTAAATTTTTAACAAACTTTTGTTGATTATTATGAAAAATTTCAACCATTTTTTGGTAGGTGCGCCAACGTCTGAATCTTATCGGATATCAAAGTGAATAATTTAACAAAAAATTAAAAATATTTACAGTCTGCACTCCTAAATAGATGATAAAAAAGATTGCGTAGCATTTCATTCTCTGTTGGCGTAGAAATCAAAACTAAATTGCTTCAAAGGGTCGTATCGGAAATTGAAAACTGAATTCAAATTGAAAATTTGAATGCGTCATCTGAAATATATTTATTTGAATTTTTCGTGAAAAAGTGAATATTCCTGGAATACCCAAGTGACATTTCCGAAGTCGGCATCATTTTTTTGCTCAATTTCGTGGCCTGCTGTTTTTTAAGGTTCATTTGTACTTAACAAATAAATTTCTATCATCCACATGATTTATTATTATTTTTTCTTAATTCATATTCTTGAACTTTAGCTACACAATTTTTGTATCAACTGAGAATAATCAATAATAATGTAATTTGAAAATTAGAATAATTTTTAATATTAATTGCCATTAATTTCACTTTCATAAAATAAACGAGTTAAAAAAGAAATTCAGAAAATTCTTTAAAATAAGAGCTTACAATTAGTTGGAAAATATTAATTTAAAACAGTTTTGCCTATAGTTTTAATAAGGAAGTAAATTTTTATGGGAACAATAGAAGTTTATTTGAAGTTAAATTTTTATTCCCAAAATTTTTACATTCATATGATATGAACTACTTATTTAAAGTTTAGTTGTGCTTGACAATTCTTGTGTAGTTTCAGAAGTTTTTTCTGTAGAATTATCTGCTTGATCTGTGGTTTCATTTTCCTAATTTTATTTTATATTAGAATTAATTTGAAAAAGGATTTTTTGTTTGTTTGAAACCTCGCATATGAAAAAATGGAAATCGGGGGCAGTGGCTCGCCGGAGTCCGCTGGCCAGGGTGGTGGCGGACAAGTAGAGGACCGCGTTCGGCTCGTCCTGGTTGTAAAACAACTCGTTGGGCAGCCACATGCTCAACTCCTCCAAATAAGTGTCCTGCCCACACCAGATGTACTTGTTTGGGCACTTGAAATTACTTGCGCTGGTCCAAAAATGATTCCCTTTTAAAATAGGATCTAAATTCAAATAAAATTAAACCAAAAATTGTCAAAAAATGGTTATTTAATACCGAACTGCAAGTTTAGGATGCAGTTAAATTCCTCCATAGTCTCAAGACCGAGCAGAGTTAAATCTTTCGAGCAGCAAATGTTTGATGCTTGGACAAGATTCACCTAAATTTTTAAAAAATGTATTTATTTATTTATTTTTTTTTTTTTCAAAAGCACTTTTTGAAAGAAAAAATAGTAGGTCTTATTGCAGACGGTGCGAGTCTGGATGACATTCGGAGGAATATCTACAATTGATATTTTCACAAAAAATTTATTTTTTAAATGAATAAACAACTGTAATTAATGGTTGAAGTGCACGAAACGCATTTCGGAACGCAATCGGCGCCTTCATCTCCGATAGACTCCTTCCAAAATACCTTTTCTGAAAAATTTTCCTGCCAAAATTTGTTAGCAAATTAATATCACTCTAATTTCCTTTCACTTCGCATATGTATTGGTGATTAGCTTTGCAATACGTTGGTTCCAAGGAGATCACGCCATTCGAGTTCATGTAAATTGTAAGGCAACCGTCAGAATTGATTTTCGATTTTGAGATCCATTCCGGTTTTGCTAGCATTTCATTTATTCCGCACCACGCGTACTTTCCTCCGCAGTTTTTCGTCGCTCTTCCGCTCACCCAGAATCGTTTACTTCCAAAAATCTTCTTTCCTGAAATAATAATTTATTTGAAATAAGTTTTTCTTCATATTTTATTATCCAAAACTGTTTAAGAAGTTCTGCATGCATTTTAATTTGGCCTCCGTTTGAATTGTGGCTAAAGATAATCGGCCTGAGCAACAAAAAGAATCCACCGTTTGCTGGTCACCCTATTTAAAAAAAAAAAATTAAAAGGCTTTATTTTTTTGTTAAAAAGGTGCGTTTGTCTCACAATGCTTTTGCCCACGTAAAAGGAAGTGTTACAAGCAGGTTCTGGTGGAGGGTTTAAAGCCGGAACTAAAAGTTAAAATAACCACAATGGTAGATAATTATTCTTGATTGCGAAAGTCTACATTTTATTTATGGAATTCTGAGATAAAAAATTTTCAAATAGCATTTAAAACATTTCTGGTTTCAATATAATCCAGTTTAGACTAATATTTCAACGCAAAATTTAATTTATTTAATAATATAAATAAATTCAAAGTTCTTGTAATGAAAATTCATTTCGCGGGACAAATAGATCAACTTTTATTTTATTATAATTTTGTTGAATAAGAAATTTAGCAGACTTTGTTTTGATTTATTGGTTGTTCAAAACAACTCACATTGTCTTTGAGCCAAAAGAGCTGCAGTAACCTCCTGAAAAAGCACTTCTTGATTAATTTTAAAACAAAGAAATTCCAAATTTTGTATCTCACAGTACTGGTGCAGGAAGAAAGAGGACAAGCGTTCTGGATGCAAATCAAATTCTTCTCCCTGATTTCTGTTTCCATTTTCAACCGCATAGCAGCCAAATTCACGCATTCGACGTAACAACTCTGCGGAAACTCGCAAACGAAAATGTTCTTTTCGGAACATATTCCGTTGGTCACGTTAAAATCTCCCGAAGTGCTAAAATATATACGAATTTTTTGTCTTGCATTTAACAAAATCATTCGTAAATGACCTGATCGGGCATAAAGATTTTTTGTTCTTAACCAAGACGCCGTCAAAAGTGTCAATCCAGAAATTCGACTTAGCTACGAATATTTTTATTTTAAAGTTTTAAAAGTGGACAAAATATTCATACCCTTTGATGTTAGATACAACTTTGTTAAATTATTATCAAGTTTCGATGACAAATTCAGCAAGTTCATTCCTCTCTTGGCACAAAATTTTGTAGCATTAAACCATGAAGTCTGAAAATTATTTTAATTAAAAGTTCTTACAATTAGTAATATTATTATAGCTCATACTTTTTGGTAATCTGGTGAGAGATAAATTCGCATTCCTCTCAAATTTGTCACGTTTAGGGGATGAGCCCTTCTCTGGCAGTAAAAACTAAGTTTCTGTTAAATTTTTGTTTTAATTCTGTCAATAAATTTAATGAAAACCGAACTCTATTCTCTTTATCGCAACTGTTATCAGCCTGGAAATTGCTAATGATCAAACACTGCATTACGCAAGAAAAATTATTGTTTGTTGAAAGTCTTTCGATCCAATCTAAAAAATTCTCATTACTTTTGTGAAATTGTATACTAAATTGTGTACTTTTTGCGAAATCTTCAAATATAGTCTGATTCGAGGACCCAAAAGTACTTGATGTTATAGACTGAAATTAATTTTTTTTAATGAAAAAGCCCTAATCAATTTTCACTTACCAAGAGTATAAGTGCTGCAAAATGTTCCAGCAGCATTTTTCAAAACTTTCTAAAAAACCACTCTCCAGCAGAAAATTGAATTTATTTCACTTCCGGTGAACGGGAAAATTAGTTTGAAGTTTTTCAATCAATTTTTTGATTGGGTTTGTTGGAAGAAAAAGAGTATAATAAAATTTTCTAGTTTAATCAGATTTTATTAATTTCAAAATACAAATCATTCCTTCCTCTGCTACTCCTAAAAATTTGAATTAAAAAATATGACGTTCTTGTTTTAATCGTAATTTTAAAATTTTTACTTCACAAATGAAGAAGTTATCTGACGTGTGCGATTCCCGCCGCAGACCACTGAGAGTGGAACTTTTGGCCAAGTAGAGCAAGGCGAATTTTCGTTCCTGATTGTAAGTCAGTTCTTCGGGCAGCCAAAACATCTTCTCCGTAAATGGCGCTTTATTTTCGGTGGCGCACCAAACGTAGCTGCTGTGACAATTGTAGCTACTGGCGCTGGTCCAGAAATGATTGCCCGCCACAGTGGGATCTAAATTTTTGTCCACTTTTTAAAAGGAACAGAAATTTTTGTTAATTAACCATCTTGAAGAGTAAGCAGACATTGGAATTCCGACACAGTCTCGATGCTCAGCAAATTCATATCTTGAGAGCAGCAAAAGTTGATAGCATTTCGGTATTTTAACTGATTTTATTTTTAATTAGAATGGTACAAAATTTCTAAGAAATTAATCAACTTGATTAAAGTAAATATGGTATCGTTTGTTGCAAATCTTCTTCTTCATAACACTAACTTTATTTATAGAAACCACTGAAAATAATAATTTAATTTAATAAAATTATTAAAAAAAAAGCCTAACCAGCCCCTTTAGAACAAGAAATGCACGTAGGGGTGCAAGGAATTTGGTCAGTAGCCCTTGTAATTGAAACCAGTCTATCCGTTTTGCTGTCCTATAATATAAAATTAATTTATTTTCTTTTAAATTAAATAAAATTAACCTCGCAGAGATATCTCAGGTTGGCATCGCAGGGCGCAACTTCGAATGCGAGTTGCTGCTGCGACGAAAATCGGAGGCTCAAACACATTTCTCTGGCAGCGTTTGCCATTTTAATGTTGGAGATTCTCTTCGTCAGAAAAGGGTCTTCCAGAACTTCGTTGAGGCCGCACCAAGCAAACTTTCCTTTGCACTCGGAGGTGGTTCGTCCGCCAATCCAGATGGCCAAATTCGAAACAGTCTCTTTGGACATTTCCCCTGATTTTGTTTATTTTTTGCTGCGTTCTATGAGAGAAATTTATTAAATAATACCAGTTAAAAATTCATGGACGCAATTCAATTTTTCCTTGGAGTTTATAACAGCCAAGGAAAGTCTCTCCGAGCAGCAATACGAATTCACAACGAGGTGGGTGTACTTTAAAAAATTATGTTTGATTGAAAATAATTAAACAACTTACTGAGCGCTTTCCAAGAAAGAGACTCGTGTTGCACATTGGCGTGTGGGGAGAATTCAGGGTAGGAACTAAAAAAAAAAAATCAATTAGCGCTGCATGTATTGGATTTGAATTTTTCTTTTTGTCAAACATTTCGCATTGGCTTGAAGAACATTTTCGACCTCCTTATTCGTTTTAATTTTTAATTTTCTATTTAAAAAGCAAGGTTTCAAGTTTTACGCCGATTGTGCAGGTTGTCAAAGGACAAGAACTTAAAGCGCATTTCGTATTTCTCTCTCGCGCTTCTTGGTTAGCTTGAATAGATTGTGAGTTGTCGGAAGCAATTGTGAATCCAGTCTTTTTCCTTGATACGTCTTCAGCAGTTGTTGTTTTTCGCTCCATACTTGTAGTCTTTTTAAAAGTTTAATTTTAGCACAAATATTTAAATTTAAAATTTTATTTGGTAAACATTTTCTTTTTTTATGGAAAATAATAATTTATAATTTTAAATAAAAAAACCTTGTAATATTTAGAATATTTATAAAATGTCAACAATTATACTGAAATTTTAAAAAACCATATAAGTACAACTAAAGGTCATTTTTAATTGCAATTGTAGAGCAAAAAATATGTTTAATATTTTGGAACTATTTTAAAATGGATTATTTTTCATTACTTCGCAAATTAAATTTTAATTTTATCCCATTTTTAAACCTATCGGACTAAACAGATAGCATAATTTTTATTTTAAATTTTAATTCATTAGTCACTGCAATTTTGGTTGTTTCTGCCTCCGTGATGGTAGTTGGTGCAGGAGTTGTCGTAGTCGTGGGTTCTGGTTCGCATTCTGAGTAGCAATTAGACGGAAATTCGCAAACAAAGATCCTCTCCTCGGAACAGTTTCCAGCTACGAAATTTAACCCAGACCTCCAGCTACAAAAAAATCCAAAATAAATTTGGTCCGAAAATAAGTATTTGATTAAACTTGTTGGCGAAAACGCAGCTAATATTAACAATATTTTTTATTTGAATTGAAAACGTTCTTGATATTTCCTTGGAGGTTGAACGCCAGTAGAATAAATTGTCAGATCGCATAGCACCAAACCAAACCTCTTCTATGTCCAACCAAAAACCTGAAAAATTTAATGATTATAAAATTTAAAACTTTGAAAATTAAATATAAAAATACTTTGAGCCAATAAATGGGCCGTTAAGGTGATTTCATCTGCTTTGCTCTTTACGTGGGCCAATCTCATTCCATACTTTGAGCAAAATTTCTCAGCTCCGAAAAAAGTTTTCTATTTAAGTTAAATAAAAATGAATTATTTATATTATGAATTTTAAAAGCAAGTATACTTTTTTGATAAATGAGAAGAAATATTGGTCGTTGACTAAAGTTGTCAACTGCAAATCCTTAGCTTTCAAAATGCAATATTTTGAAAGTTTTGTTATCTATAATTTATTTAATATTTAATTAAATTTTTAAATAAGTCTAAATTTTATAAAACAAATTATACCAGCATATTGCATTGATTTTCAAATACGCTATATTCTTTGGACAAATTTACAGCCGGGATATTTTTTGAGAAGTCGGACACTCCAAGAGCACGGTTCATACAGGTATTCATACATGACTGGTATGAATTGGAAGCGATTTCGCCACTCCAGCCTTTTAATTAAACAAAATATAATTTGATATATTTTTTATAAATTGATAAAATACTTTCAAATTTGCACTTCATGTGAGCAGACAGTAAGTGCGGCAGATCGTCTGTCCCGTCAGCTTTGATGACTGCAAACTTTTCACAGGTGTTTGTAATTTAGTCCTTAAAAATATTAAATAAACACAAACCATAAAAATCGTAAAAGGGAACGATTGAGTGACGCTGAACATTTTTATATTTTATACTGGTTGGCGAGCGGCAATCTCAGTCCATCGCTGATGGAAAAATTTAAAATTGCACAATCAGGAAATTCAGTTTGCGCGAGTTTATTTACAAACAGTCGCGAACGTGCTCCACTTCACAACTTTGAATAAAATCTTTAGTAAACGAATTGTGAAATTTTACAATGTGCGACATTTTTATCTCTGCAGTGTGATGAGTTCGTTTGTGTCATTCATCAAAAGAGGATGGCACCTTTTGGTCTGCTCTTGGCTATTTTGCAAATTTTTTCCCTGGTCGAATCCCGGCGACTCGGAAAGAATACGCAAGACCTTTGTGGAGCTAGAGCCAGCAATAAGGGTCGTGTTTACCAAATCCACGTGCATCATTTGAGTTTGGGGCGTTCGGACGAATCTTCTTCATCAGAATCCTTCAGTTCATCCGAAGATCCCCGAAGAAGAAATAAGTTTACCTGCTTATCCAGCAGTTCCTCGGACACTTCTTCTGACACAAAATGCTGCAGATTGAAGTGCAACAAAAAATGGCGTCCTTCTGAAAGATCTCGTTCCAAAAGTTCCTCTTCAGAAAGCGCCTGGGATCCTTCATGGGATGCCTGTGATTCCTGGGACTCTAAAAGCTGCATACTTGAGTGCAACAAAAAACAGTCATCTTGTGAAAGTTCTGTCGACAGCAATTGTTTCAAAAGTTCCTCATCGGAAAGCACTTGTGATTCTTCATCGGATAGAAAATGCTGCAACAAAAATCGGGAATCTTCTGAAAGTTTCTCCAAAATATCCAAAGATTCCTCTTCAGGGAGTTTTTGGGATCCTTCATGGGAGTCTTGGGACAGAAAATGTTGCAGAATTGAGTGCATAAAAAATCAGCCATCTTCAGAAAGTTCATGCGATAGCTCTAGTTTCCAAAGTTCCTCTTCAGAAAGCACTTCTTGTGATACTTCCTCAGTCACACAGGAAAGAAAATGCTGCACTTGCTGCAGACTTGAGTGCAACAAGAAACAGCTAACCTCAGAAAGTTCATCAGACAACAACTCTTGTTTCAAAATTTCCCTTTTAGAAGGATCTTGTGATTCATCCTGGAATGGAAAAAGCTGCAGACTTCAGTGCAACAAAAAGTGTTCTGAAAGTTCATCCGAGAGCTCTTGTAGCCCAAATACCTCTTCAGAAAGTATTTCTGATTCTTCCTCGGACAGTAAGGACGGAAAGTGCTGCAAACTTCCGTGCAACAAAAAGTGTTCAAAAAGTTCATCCGAGAGCTCTTGTTGCCGAAGTTCCTCTTCTGAAAGCATTTCTGACTCTTCCTCGAACGGAAAGTGCTGCAGACGGAAGTGCAACAAAAATAAGTGTTCTGATAGTTCATCTGAGAGCTCTTGTTGCCCAAACTCGTCTTCAGAAAGCACTTCTGATTCTTCATCCTCGGACAGAAAGGACGGAAAATGCTGCAGACGTAAGTGCAATAAAAAGTGTTCTGAAAGTTCATCTGAGAGCTCTTGTTGCCCAAATTCCTCCTCAGAAAGCATTTCTGATTCTTCCTCGGACACAAAAGAAAGAAAATGCTGCAGATGCAAGTGCAACAAAAAAAAGCTATCATCTGAAAGCAACTGTGATTCTTCGTCATCTTCTGAAAAAATTGTAAAAAAGAAGTGTGCGAAAAAGAGTTCATCCTCGAAAAAATGCTCACCTAAAAAGAAGACAAAGCAATGTTGTCGCCAACGAAGAAAAGTTTTAGCCCGATCGTCTGAAGATTCCTCAATTGGACGCAGTCTTGTCCAAAACTCGAAATCCGATTCATCTAGTGAAATTATTGATTTCGGCGAATGGAACCCTCTTGCATGGGGCTCTTATTAAGTTAAAATAAAATTCAAAATTATTTTGAAAAATAATGAACATCATTTTTTGTTTAACAATTCTGTATCTTTTATTGCAAATTCAACATTTTTCTTCTAAACGGTGAAAAAATTTTTCAATTATTTTTTTTTCGCTCAACAGTATAATTATTGATTGACCCTTAAAGTTATTGAAAAAATATGTATATCATACAATAGTATTTCTCTTTTCATACCAGAGACTTATAAATTATACATTTTGTTTTCAAACAGCCGCTGTAAATTTTATTGCAAATTCAATATATTTTTAATTATTATAAAATATATATAATAATTAAAAAATTATATTAAAAAATATATTTATATTATATTATAAAATATATATAATAATTAAAGAAAAATAATAAATATAAGAAATAAAAAAATTTTTAAAACTAAAATTTGGTATCAGTATAATAATATAGTATTTTTTAAAGCATTTATATAATTTAACAACAACCTTTAATAAAATAACATCCTTCATTTCTGTAATTAACTTGCTGGCCATCATGTAGTCAACTAATTTAAATATGTGCGGACAAGTGCAAATTTTCGTCGAGAAATAATTTAGCTCGCGGAATGCAAGCGAAAGAATTTAATTTTAATTGCGTGCGTCAAGCCCTCTGATAATAAAACGAAAAGTCATCAAGTTTTTCTCTCTCGCAGCATGACAAGAGTTTGTGCAGAAGAGCCGCGCGAATCAGTGACAAGGACAGAGTACAAGTCTCGCGAGAAAGGTCTGCCCCCACTCGCCATTAATTAACTTTTGGGCTTATGGTAATTAGTTTCTTTCAAATGTTGTCAATCTGCCCTATACAACAAGCTCGCCTCCATACTACATACATCTCGTTTGGTGTGTTGTTAAGTGGTGTACGTACCACCTGCTGAACCGTCAGCCAAATAATAAAGAAAGACGTTTCTAGCTGGCTGGCTTTTGACACACGCTCGAATATATAATTAAATTTGTTTTAAGAAGAAGGTCACTGAAAAAAATATAAATTAAACAGACCGCGTTATTTTCAAATGCGAACCAGACGTTTTTTTATTTTACATCTTTTTTCAAGCTGGAATTATTGGGCATCACACGGTTTTGAATCTGGGGTGCTGGCGGCGCAGGGTTCCTCTTCAGAACTACTGGAACTACTCGAACTGCTTGAGCTGCTGGACGAGTGTCGATGCCGATGGTGGGAACAGGAGGAACTGCTTGAATCAGAGCTGCTGCTGGAGCTTGAGGAACTGCTGGATTCTGAGGAGCACGATTCCGGCTTTGGTTCTTTAATAATGCTTTCTGGCGCATCGATGATTTGGGTTCTGAAAATTAATAATTAATTAATAAAACTTCTATTTACTCAGTCCTTCTGATCAATATTTCCTTCATTATGCACTTTCAAGGTAAAGTGAAATAAATAGATGAGAACGTTTTAATGGGATCTTCTCCACTATTAAATATAAATTTTTATTAAAATTAAAATCTGGAATTGAATTGCTAGGAAATTGTATTTATTTAAAAATCATTTGAGTAAAAATTTTAACATTTTTTGTAGGAAAAAGGAAAAAAATAATTCAATGCACTGCTAAAGAATTGATTGAATTCCTCGGAATTCTTCTTAACTTGTTAATTATTAGTGATAGTTTTTTTTTGTCGATTTTTTTTAAAGCTTAATCAAAATTAAATTTTAGAAATTTCTCTATTCCTATAATTTGGTCATTTGAAATTTAAATATTTTCAAAACACAAAAATCAATTTCTTTTTATCAATATTTTGGAGTTTTATAATTTAAGGAAAGTCCATTATTTGAAATTTAGTATAATTTTGTATTTAAATATCTGATTAAAAAGTATTCGATTCATTTTAATCGTCCTACTAATTGGAATTCCACATTAAATTTCCTATTAAAAAACGCGCAACACATTTTGAACTTTAAACTCAATGATAAAAATATTTTCAACTCTTCGTGCCAGAAGAAATACTGTACTTACCCCCCTCGCAGCTCTACGGATTTCTCAGTTCCCTCTTCTTTGTCGTTGGCAGAGATTTGAGCGGCTTGTTTGTCGTCCCTGCTTGTGCGCCTGTGAGTGGCGGCGCCGGCCACAAAAAGAGCCAAGCACGCCAAAATCAAGACCAGTCTCTCCGTCATTGTCTCGCGAAATTAAAATCACCTTCTTCCTCCTGCAAGAACGAGTTTGAAGCTTTCAGCTCAGATTACGCCGCTTTTATCCCCAGCCGATTTTACCTGACATGCAGTTTTTGGAAAACATTTCCGGTTGTTAGTGACGAACGGGCCTTGTATAAGGTCGGAACAACAGACCGATAAACTCAATAAACTGCTGACCAACTTCTTAAAATTATGTCAGCAAAATAATTTTGACATTGAAAATTGTTTTTCAAACAAATGGTTAATTGTTTCTCAGTTCTCACTTTAAACTTACACGAGCCTAAATTTTTTTTATTAATAAATTTTAATTATTATGAATACAATTATTTAATTTGAAAAAATAAAAAAAGTTCAAATTACCTAAATTAATTAAAAAAAAAATAATCGTTTCTGAATAATAGAAATTCCATATCAAAATAATTAAAAAAAAATTAATTAGAGTAAATAGTTTCTAAGATAATTATAATTTTACCACAATAAATTGCGATAAATTGTTTACATCCGACCATCTAATGGATTACCTGAGCAGACGCAATTCGCCAACTTTTAAATTTCCTGCCACTTTTGGCGCCATCGCGCTGCACGGCTGCACCACTTAAACCACGCCCCCTTTTCAGACCAAAACAATCCACGAAGGAGCGAAATCGTGCAATTGAATTAATATTCTTTTCGAGCGCTTGGTTTCTTCAAAATTGTGAATTGAAAATGTGAACTGTAAGACAAAATCTTATAATTTGTTCGTTGTAATTAAGAAATTTTTATAATTCTACAGAGCCAGTCAAGAGTTCAAAGTTGCCTTGCATGTTGTATGGCTTTAGACACAATCGACGTCGCAGTTGCAGTTTTGTTTCCAATTTTTGGGTCACTCGTCAGCCTTTATTTTACGGTTTCCTTCTTGAAGTTTGCAACACCCAATGCTTGGATGAGGCAAGTATTTAAAAAATAAAAAATCACAAATATGTATTATGTAATATAATCCATAAATTTTTATTAATAAAAATATGTAATTAATTTGATAAACTTTGAATCAGATTCGCCGCCTGGGAAACTGAAAGAAAGTCCTCGGTCAACCGGGAACCATTGAAATCAAGCTACTTTGAACTTACGAGAATATTCTGCGAGTTAGTCAGAAAGGAAGAAAAAGATCTGACCATTTTGGAAATTGGCTGTGGCGGAGGTAATATTTGATTTAATTTAAATAAATATCATCTAAATAATTAAAATTTAGGAGTAAACCTGCAGTTCTTTCCTCCGAACAGCTCTTTGCTGATGCTCGACATCAATCCCCACTGTGAAAAGTACCTCCGAGAGAACCTGAAGAAACATCCGCACCTAAATCTACGAGAGTTCATCTGCGGGTCTGCCGAGAACATTCACCAGGTGCAGTCAGGGTCTGTGGATGTTGTGGTCAGCTCGAGGACGCTCTGTTCGTTAGACGAGTCCAAAGCATTGAAGGAAATTTTCCGAGTTTTAAAACATGTGAGTTAAATGGAGCTTTTATGTGGTTACAAATTCTTAATCACAATAAAAATAATACTTATCTTGATAGACTCAAATAATGCTAATTGAATAATCAATTAATGCCAAAAAACTTCAATAAGATTAATTTATAAATAATTCTTTTTTTTATAAAAATATTTGTGTACTCATTCCTTCATTTAAATTTGATTTTATGGTACTTGTTAATCATAAATTTTAACATTTTCAAATTTTCAGAATGGAAAACTTGTTTTTGAGGAACACATTATATCTTCGTCCAGGACCTGGAGAATAATTCAGCAATTTTTATCAATTTCTAAGTAACGCTGTAAATTTTCCCCAAATTATTATCTTATCAATTAATTTTTTATTTCAGAATTTCCAAAACTCTCTGTTTCGGCTGCAGACTCAACAAAGAAATAATAAGTGCCATCAGCCAGGCCGGATTTCACAAAGTGCAGCACAAAAGGATTGACCAGAGTTTCTCGTTGGCAGGCCAACTGCAGCCCTACGTAGTCGGAACAGCGACCAAACCATGAGCTTATCATTAAAAATGGAAGAATTCAATTTCGAAAGTGAACTTTTTGAAAGTGAAAAGCCTGACCCGCTTTTGAACAAGGAAAAACCTCAGTTTAGACCGTTATACTTTTTCCCCAAAGACTACGAAAGCATCAAAGATCTCGATGAAAAATTCAAGTCGGACCCGAAGTTGTTGAAGCAATATGCAGACTATCTTTACTTCAAAGGCGAGTACACCGCCGCGCTTGGCGTTTACAAAGAGCTGGAAAGTTTGTACCGAGGAAACTCTTTCATGACAAAGTGTGTGCAGGAAAGTGCAGCGTGGTGTTTGGCTAAATTGGGTCGGTGTGACGAGGCTGAGACTTTAGTTCAAGGATTGCAGCCCGATGCCAACACATACGAAAGCAAGCACGGACTGGAATTCTTCTTGAGCAAAATAAAACACTGATAAATTTCAGTTTACATCCATACCTTTTATATATTTATTTAAAAAATATTTAATTTCAAAATCATTTCAAGCTGTAAGACAAGGAAAATTAAGATTTTAAAAGAAAATTATAATGCATTAATTTTTTTGGGATTTGTATTAAAATTAACCATTAAATCTAGACATTTTTTTTATAATATTCGGTCAGATGAGTCTGACTTTAATCTAACTAAATAATTAAATTAGTACATAGTGATGAAATTCAAAACATTTCCAAATTAATAATTGCGTCAGTAGCACTCGCTGGGCATTTCGCAGATGAAATATTTTCCTTCGTAGTTGCAAGTATCGACGTGCAAGTCTTTTCTCCATCCAATCCTGATATGGACGCAGCCACCCTCTTTGAGGTTAGCCTTTGGTGCCCACAAATCACTAGTTTCCCCCAACTTGGAGCTGTCGGCCCAGTGGTATTCTAATTTGCCGTCGATATGGTAGCTTCGCGCCGACACCCAGTAATCCCAGGCTGAAAATAGAAAATTTTGTATCAAAATTCTGCTTGATAATTAAAAGATTTTTCAATAGATAGACTTGTTGAAGTAAGAAATCTCTCAGTAGAAAACAAAATCTCACCGCTAAGTCCCTCTGCCATGTTCCAGACCACTTGCAAATCCTTTGTATTGTTCAAAGTTGCCAAATGGAGGCCCATCTTGATACATATCTTCCTAGCGTCGAACCAGTTAGTCTATTTGGCAAGAACAGTGATCAGAAAAAGTAAAATCCAAATGTTAAGGTTACGACATACCTCAAATGGATGCGAGAAAAAGTACTTTTTTCCATTGGACGCGGTCGTCAAGTTTGCGGAATCTGATTAAGCTTTTTATAATAAAATTTTTGTATTTAAATATTTATTTTAAAACTTACGGGCACGGGTGCATTTCTGGAAAAGCAAAATTAAAATAAAAAATTTAATCAGAAAATTTGTAAAACGACATTATACATCTTTTTTCAGCTGAATAACCCTTAGAGCGACGGCGGTCTCGTTGTCCCAGTGTCCCTTCAACTCTTCCATAATCTTAATGGAAGACTAGAATGGAAAGCAAACATTGATTAAAAAGGGCCAATAGTGCAAAACCCCAGGATTTTACAAGAACAATTTTTTCTCAATTTTTCATAGATTATAAGCTTAAATATTTTGACTATCACACTTATTTTCCCCGTGAATTTAGATTTTTATACTTTTTGCGCTTTTAAAAAATTTACCTGTTGCACAGGCGCCGGTGTGTTGATCTGTCTCCTCAGTTTTGTATTTTCATTCGTCAAATTTAAAATCTGCTGTTGCTGCAACTCAGTCTGATAAACAGAAATGTTTACAACATGCATTTAAAATTTCCGTTTACATTTTCCTGTTTAAAATAAGCAAAACCATACCTGTTGTTTGAGCTGATTAATTTCTTTCTCATTACCATTCTCAACTTTCTGGACTTCGATATTTTGACAAGCCTATGCAGAAGGTTATAATATTAATCAAACAATAAATTATTCTAAAATAATCAGAGAAATTTCTAAAAAAAAATATATATCCGGATTTTTCCCTTTTTGGTCTTTCCATCTGAATTTCCTTGTTATTTAAAATTTCGTTTTATCTGTCGTCTAAACGTTGGAAAATCTTACCTGTAGCTGTAGGTTGAGCTTAGCAACTTCTTCAAAATTATCATTACTCAAATCAGTTTTTTCGTCAGTCAAATTTGCAACTTGCTGCTCCAACTCAAGTATACGATCGTTTGCTTGGCAGGCCTTAAAAAGTTGTATGATATATTATTCAATTATTTCAATTCGATTTAATTATTCCCACAAGATGTCGTAAAAATTTAGTAATAAATTTTATTTAAATAAATGAGATAATTTATTAAAAAAATTTAAAATTTTTTTTTAAATACGTTATATTTTCCAAATTTTTGCTTGTTAAATTTAAATTTTTCAATATTTAAAATTAAAATAACTCTTTAGCACTTCACCTTTTGGTCCGGATAGTCGTTCATATCTTTCAACTCTTTATTTTCCTTCGTCAAATTAGTTATCTGCAGGTCACAATTTTAAAATTAAAAATACATTAAAGCAAGTTTTATTTTGAAAACCATACCTCTTCGGAAAGTTTGTCGATTTCTTCAATTTGTTTTTGCCCTCTATCTTCTAAATTCACAATTTTCTGCTCCAACTCTACAATACGAACGCTAGTAGGGCAAGAAAGCTGAAAGGTTTGAAATAAAAAATTATTCAAAATTCAAATATGCAGTTTTTCAAAAATTATAATCCTCTTGTTATGAAGTGTGGAAAAAATGCAAAGTAATCCAGAAAATTTCGGTCGAAAACTGAAGTTAGTCCAGAATTCTGGCGTGTATTTAAAAATTTAAAGTGAAAAAAGAGAAAAAAATTATTTAATTATGATATTTAATTTTTATTAAAAACCCTTGCTCATCTTTTGCGCAACACATTTATGGAGATAAATATTTGAACCCAATTTAACCCTTGATATCTCTGGCTGTCTGGCAGTAAAATTGGCATACTTGCAAATGATTTTCGTTATATAATATTTAATGGAAAAATTACATTTGTTTTTGATTAGCATCATTTACCTTTTCAGTATCATCATCATCATGATAATCTATGAATCCTTGCTGTTCTGTATTTTTTTGCTGGGTGCGCTCAGTCAAAATTGGGACAAAATTTAAAATTGTGTAGTTATATTCAATTTCTTTCGCCTGATTTATCAGAATTGTATTTTCTTGTGTCAAATTTGCTACTTGCTGCTCCAACTTCAGGACATGATTGTCCTTTTCCTTTTGGCAAGCCTAAAATAAATTTAAAGTAAGTTTCACGTTGAATTAATTCAAAATTTTAGTTTTAAAATGTCTCTATTTTCTTTGATAATTAACTTAAAATTACCTTTTCCAAAATCGAAATTTGCTGCAAAATTGATTGAAACCATCCACCATCATTTCCAAAAATGTCCTTTAAAGAGTGATAACAAAATTTATTAATAAACATTTTAAATAGAAATAATAAATGTCACTTGTGCATTTTTGTTGCCACTCAATTGTTGTTCCAATTTTTCCTGCTGCGTAGCAACCATTTCCAGCTTGTTCTGCATTTGCTGCACATCTTCAATCTGAGCTTCTACCCTTTCAGCCACCTGATCTGCCTATTTTAAAACTTTTTATAAGAAGTGAAACAAGGATGACTAAATTTAGTTTGTAAAAAACTTGGATTTATAGAAAAGAAACATTTAGAAAAAAAATCACGATCAGATTATTTAGGTTTCCCTTCCCCATCACTAATAATAATTTTTTTCGAAATTATGTATTCTTTTACCTTTGATCGATGAGAAGGAAATATATTGGCCTGGACTGTGATAATCAGAAGGCCTCCGGTCAACAACCAAAGTAGGTGCATCGCGTCTTCTTATTTTTTCGCACTAATTGTTAGATCGAATGACTCTTGATAATCTTGGTTCACAAATAAGCCGACGGGCAAATCTGCCGCGCCTTTTATCTGGGCTTCACTTGTCGCCCTTTGACATCAGTTGGTAGATAATTTGGCGAGGAAAAATGAATAAAATAACAAGTTTCATTAGACGGCCGGAGACCTTTGAGATTTAAAAAGAGGAAAAACCTCTAAACAAATCTAGCACATTATTTTCGTGATTTATAAATAAGCAGACACTTGCAGTTTTTTTTCTGCCACTATGAAACTTTATAATCCTGCCTCTAAGTTTATCACCTTTTTTACCTATTCGCTTTGAATATTAAATTTAAATATTTTAATTAAGATCATAAAAGTAAAATTGACGATTCAGAATCACCTATAATCACATATTTGGACATTTTAACCTGCTTCAATTATTTTTATCTTCCTAACTTGCCCATATACCTGAAAAATTTTCAACCAAAGAAAGCTTTTTACATCAAAAATAATTTACTTTTAAGCATTTTTCACTTAAAAACACCTATTTTTAAAGCCCTAATGGAGATAATTCATTTTTTAAATTCTCTTTCTTTTTGTATCACATTCGTCATTAGAAACTGAGTTTTCCTTTAAAGTTCGTGACCTTAAATGAAGTACATGAGGACGCGTGCTGGAGGAAAAATATAGCCGCCGCCGCCGCCAGATAAAAGATTTCATTATTTTTATTGCATACATTTTATTTAAATTTTACTCTTAATATAAATGAAAAAAGCAGTTCGATTAGGTTTAAATTTGAATTTAAAGGTCTTTAGTTGTTGTTTTTTTTTTCAGTATATTAGCAAGTGAATATTTTTATTTTGAACAACAATGTTAAACTTTACTGCGCTATTAAGAATCACTAACATGAGATCGAATTGAAATTTAAATTCCAGCCAATTTAAGAACAGAGATAGAGTCAAATTAGCGTTCACTGCTCAATAGAAGTTAAATCACTTGTTCATTTTCCTCATGTCGATCGTCGTTGATTTTTACTCTGTTTGACGGCTAAGGGCAGAGTATGCGACCTCTGATAAAAATAAGACACGTGGGGATTTTCATCAACAATTCTAATTCACATTTTTGGATTGATTGCTCAGGGAATTCAAATTGCTGACTAAATTTTGGATTAAATTTGAATGCAATTTTTTTAGGGGGAACCAAACAGACCGGTTATGTTTTGACTAAAATAAAGAAACTGTTTTATATCCAGAACTTAAGCATTGCAAAAAAGGCAAAATTTTAAATTTAACACGAATTGATTTCAGAATTATAAAAAAATAAATATTCTTGATATATTCAACTTTTAAAATCTTTTCTATACTACTGTGAATTTTTTTTTTTTATTAAATTAAATTATAAGAACGGTTGCCAGAATATTAATACTAATTAGCCACGCCACATAAGTATGAAAATGTGGTATTTTTGGTTTTCCATAAATTAATTAATTTTAAACTCCTTATCTGCTTTTGGTCGTCAAAATTGAGGTTGGAGCTGCCAATAAAAGGCAGCGTTGACAACGCGAATTTCTTATTAAATTTTCGCTTCCGCTGCGTCGAAGAAAAGGCGAGATGGGCCGCCGATTTTGGTTATTGATGGGCCTCCTTTTTACGGTCCGAGCCATGAGTAACGATCTTCCGGGCAAGAAGGTATTGTAATTAGAAATCTTACTTTCAGACAAATGAAAATTATACTTCCATCACTTTTGCAATATTCTAAATGTCAATTCTTACCAAACCAAACCACGCCAAATTGACTTCGTCAAAAAAGAAGCAAAATGCAAACCATTAATTAACTGATTTTTTTTTTCATTTTCCGTTTTTATCAATTATTTGAATTGAAATTGACTTTTTATCGCACTATTTTTCTTCATTTTTGATCTTACGTTAAATGTTTCCAAGAAAAAATCTTCAGAAGAACAAATCCTGGGCCAATTAATGAGCATGTGGCACTTGATAGAGACGCAGGCAAGTGAGCTCAAAAATTTGGACGATCGAGTGAACGTGATGAACGACACCATTATTTTGATTCCGCAGCAAATTTCGGCTCTGGAGGAGGTAATCAAGTGCATCTAAAATACATAAAATTTATATTTTTGCCAATTAAAGATCGCTGAATTCAAGTAAAATTGCTAACTAAAAAAAACGCACATTATCAATAAATTCATTTTAATATATCTATTTTACAAAATATTGTTCAAAAGTACCATTTTAAAACAAAATACATTTTATTTCAAACGACTCAATTCCCAGGGTGTAGAAAACACAAAACAAAATGAGCAGCATCTCAGTCGAACAGTGGACAAGTTGGCAAAACTTGGTAATGAACAACAACAACAGGTTAATTAAAAAAATTATAATCCTATGACTAATACAGATTTTATAACATTGCAAAATTTTTCAGTTTAACGAGATCAAAGAGAAAATGTTGTGCCGTTTAGCAAGTGAGTTTTAAAATTCTAAAGGCGCTTTTCATATATTTAAATTATATCTCAGATTTGGCAAAGTTGTCGACGCTATCCAACGGTAAAAAGTACTCCTTCCATACAAAACACGTAAGACGTGCAGTTTTTCTTTAGTATTTTTTTTATTTGTCGTTTTTCCCCGTCGGATATTGATCAGGTTAAGTGGACTGTGGCGAATGAAATTTGTGAAAAACAAGGCCTGCACTTGGCGACATTAAAAAGTCCGAAAGACCTGCAACTGGTCTTCACTGAAGCTGGAAAAATTAAACCTGGTAATTTCAATTTGTCAATAAAATTGCAAGAATAAATATTAAAATTATATTATTTTAAATTTAACTTCAATAGGCCAAAGTTGGTGGCTTTCTGCAAAAAACCACGGAAAAAAAGGACAAAGCGACTTCCGGTGGCATGACCAGTCTAAATTAGAGTTAAACAGCTCTTTATGGAAGGTCAATGCGGATAAGGAAAAGGACAGTGTTTATATCTATTATACTGGAAACCTGAACAGCATGCAAAATTTATACGAAATGTATTTTATCTGCGAACTACCAGACAAATGTTATTAATCACATAATTGATTTGTTTAAATTAGGAATTTTAAAAATTCTTAATTTTTTTGATTTTTCGTTTCTTTTAAAAATAAATTTTAAAAGACATGCGTGTTTAATTAAGTTTTTATTTAGTAAAATTTAATAAACTAAAAAAAGACATAATTTTTTATTAGTTTTATTTTAAATAAAAATTAGATTTATACTATTGAAGATATTATATTTATTATCAGAAATTTAAAATAATTTTTGATTAAATATAAAAAATTGGTAAAAAAAAAATATTTAAATCATTCCTCCATGCAGATAAAAATTTTTATAAAAAATATTTCCAGACACAATTTAAATAAATAACAGTAGAAATTTTACAAGTTGATACATATATCAGCGAGAAATTACTTTTTGGTTTATAAAATGACAAAGGAAAATTGAGAATTCGCAAACTATATTTATTTAAATAAAAAGAAATTCATTTTAATTGCATTGGCCGCAAAGCACTTTTCTTGGAAGGTTAGCAAGTTCCATTATACCCCGTGGCGTATTATTTCTGAGGGTAAGTCAAATAATATTCCAAAAAATGTTTCAAATATATTCAATTATTTAACCTTATGTACTGTTATAATGTTTCACCTTTGGCAAAAATACAAAAATTCAAATTTTATATTTACCTAGTTTTATCAATTCCTTTGCAAAATATAAAAAAGCTTATGAAAGGTAGGTATTTGGAAGGAAAAAAAAACTTTTAAAATTTTTATTTTGATTTTTATTGAATTTTATATAATCTTCTACATTGACAAAAATTAAAAATACTTGTTTTTGGTAAAATAGTTAATAATTTAATCTAAATAAGTGAGAAATGCTGTTTTATATTTTGTATGTAAAAATGCATTATTGTTGTTTTCTTGCGGCTCTGTGTGCACCTGTTTATCGGAATTCCCAAAAGTTAAACAATTTTGTTTTACCTTAAAATGTATAGAATCCTAGAAACTTTCACAGCAAAACTTCCCATACATATCACAGGCGTGTCCGCGCAAATTGTGTGCCTCTTATCAGACCATTTTCGGGAGAGGAATATATTCCTTAGATTATCACTTGTGATGCTCCGGATGATGAGAAATCCATGTTTGTTTGCAAATAAATATAAGTATTTTAAACTGGGTCGGCAGTTTTGTAGTCCCTGTTGATGCTGTGGAGGAACAGGAAGGCCAGGGCCAGCAGACTGGAGCCCAGCAGGTCGCCGAGGGCTGTCAGGTAGGGGATGGTGGAGTTGTCAGGGTCGATTTTCCACCTCCACATCAGGTGGACCAGCAGATGGGCACAGTACAAAAGTAATGCAACCTGAGGAAAGGATAAAAATATTAAAAATTTTATAAAAGAAATTTAAAAAAGTGCCTCACAAACATAAATTTATAGTTGAATTTAATTTAAAAAAATTAATAAATAAATGTGCATAAATATTAAACAAATATTTCTAATTATTTTTAAGTATAGTTTAAAAATTTAAAGATTTACCTGGAGAATGCTGACAAATAGGTAGGAGGCCATGAAGGCTTCAGTCACCGTCGACTTTCCAGAGTAAATGTAGTCTGCAACAATGGCAAAGACTATGTGTCCAGGTACGGCCATTGCAAGCAGAATTCTGCTGATTTTAGCCTGGGGTGCTGAAAACAATTATAAAAATTTTAATTATGCCAAAATATTAAACACAAAATAACATTCCAATTTTTATAAACAACTTTCGAGGGCAATAAAGGGCGCGATATCCTGCACTTTTCTTCTGATGAAACCAAAACTTATTCAAGTAAATAAATTACAAATTCCCTTTTCTGATAGTTTTTGGAAATTTCTTATAAACCAAATGTAAAATTTTTCACCAAATTCATCTTAAAATTAAAAACCTACTTCCGCAGATGAGAACAGAGAAGGGGCTGATGCAAATTTTGGCTGCGTACTCGGGCAGTTGGCCCAGGAGGGAGGTCTGGTGCAAAAAGGTGGAGATTCGACTGGCCTGGACGGACACGAGGTTGCCTCCGATGCCGTTGATGATGGGTTGGAAAACGACAAAACCGGGGAAGGTGGACGCCACGGTGCCCAAAACTAGACCTCCAAGCCTACAGATAGAATATAATTAAAAATTCCAATTAATAAATTTGGAAATTTTACCCGGAAATGAAGAGAGCAGAGAGAACAGGCGTCCAGCCGGTCATGAGGACCTGTTTTGTGTGTTTCTGTTTGATCACAACGAAGATCCAGAAGGGCAGCAACAACACGTAGCCTCCGAGGATACTGGGCGTCACAAAATGAAGCGAATCTTACAAAAGTATGATTATTATTTAGGAAGGTATAAAAATTAGAATAATTAAGAATACCATGATAGGCGTATAGGAAATTGGCAACGTTGGCCAAGACAGTGATGGAAACGACGTCTCCGAAACTGGCGGCCAAAGGTGTGGCAATGTTGTCTGGGTTGATTCGTAGTCGATGAGTAACCAAAATCACAGCAATCATCACAAAATCTAAAAGTGTAAAAATGAATTTTAAGAATAAATCATTCTTTTTAAATTTATAAATTAATTATAATATTTTGTATCAAAAACTTTAATTATATTATTAAAATAAAATTTTGTATAATGTATAAAAAATTTTTGAAACAGTTTTTACTAAATATAAAATAATAATTTAAAGTCAATAAAAATTCATTTTTGAATAAATTTTACTATACAATATAAGTAAAAAAACTTAAAATAATATCATAAAAAAATAATTAAAAATGATATCTTGGGCCATAATCCTTTTTATTTAAATATTTTAAAATAAACAAATTAAATTTTGTACCTAGAACAAAGCATGAGGCGGTGGCCGTGATGATTCCGGCGGCCGCCAACAGGAGACCATGTTTCCATTCAAAGGAACCATTCATGACTATTCCAATGGTAACTGCAAAGATCGCCACCAAAAAGGCGGCCACAATTGACTGGACCTGCCGAAAAATCGAAAAATTATAATAAATTGCTTTTACTTCCAACTTATTTCGACCAAAATAACCTCAAAAGTGGAGAAGAGAGAATATAAACAAAAAAAGGGAAATTGAGAACGGCGAGAAAGCGGAGAGAAAAGGGAAATTAAATTAAAAATAATTACAGTAAAATTATAAAACTCGAACCTGGACGAGAGCGACGTTTCCAACGACCTGCGACCAGATGTCCTTGGCGCTGACCATGTTGCCGAGGTTGACCTGGGTCGAGAGTCGCGACGCCAGGCACATGTCCAGGTTGCCCTTGAGGCCCAGAAGGGCCGGCACCAGAATGAACAGTTCGGAAACTTCTTTGAAAACGGGCCAGTGCTGTAGGCAATTAAGATGAGAAAAATAAAATTTTCTGTTATTGAAAATAATAAATTAAGTAACGAGTTGAACGCAAAATAATATTAATTAATTTGTTTTTGAAAATAATAACTTTGTCGGTAAATAGAGCGATCGCCTTTCCTGAACCCAAAGTAAAACAAAACAACATTCCGCTCGGCCAAACAAAGTAAGCAGGTGACGCAAATTGCAGCGACGCTTCAACCCGAATTAATTTGCACGTGATTAGAATTAGAGCGGTGACGTATTCGTAATTTTGCAATTACACGAACGGTGGCAAGTGATTGTAAATTTGCATACACGACGTAGGTGTTAAACTGACTCTGAACCGACGGGCCCATCCAATTATTGTTTTTGAAAAGATTATCAAACACGCTTGATAAACACCGTAAACCAATAACATATACACGCGCGCGTAAATAATGTTTATTCAACATGAGAGATTTAAAACCAGTGCAAACTTGAATTATTTGACCTAATACGAAAGATTAGAGTAAAACTTTGTTCCTTCTTTATTATATAAATGGAGATGAAAAATTTAAATTCATAACACAAATATTAAATTGAATTAAAACTTTCCAGATTTATTTCGGGATGCATGATTTAAGTATGTTTTAGATTTTTGTACCAAAATCGAGAAAAGCCAATTACAATTTCTTGTTTAAAACAAACTTTTCAGCCGATCTAAACTTGTACGAGGTGGCTAAAGGGTTTTAAATAAGTCGTACTTGGAGAATTTAATTTTAATTTAAATTGTTTCATAAAGAAAAAAAAAATTAAATCTGCCCAATTAATGCATTGCATTGAACTAAATCTTCATTTCTTAAATTAATTTTCATCATAACGAGTTTTTCAACTTGACAAATGAATTGAGGTACAAAATGATGCTTGAACTTTACCTCGACCTTGCCGAGCATGAGTCCGGCGCCGATGGTGCCGGCGCCGGCGATGAAAAATGGCACCGCCACCTGCAGCGCCGTGCTCCAGCTCCGCTCGTGCTTGTGGTTATTGTGCAGATGGAGAGGATCTGCCGGCGGGTCTGGAGGCACGATGGCCACCATCGAGCCGTAAGACTCGGGCGGAATCTGAGCGGCGAAGACCACTGGGGGCAGCTGCGGCCCCCCGTCGATCGCCGCCTCCAGGTCAGGCGAAACAGGGTTGTCCGTCTCGTAGCCACCCTGCTTGCCACCCGCAAACTCGGTCGCCACCATCACGCCTGAAATCAACAGACACAAATATAAAATTAAAATTTAATTGTATTTAATTCTTATTTGGCAGAAATTAAAATCTTCAAATGATATTAAAATTAATTTCATTTGTTTTAAAATTATTTTTTGTTTGTTAATTTTAGCTTCCTAGCTCTTATTCATTTGAAATTGAATTTTAAATTGAAAGTTAAAAAAAAAACGAATAACGTAAAATACAGTGGAAAATAATTTCTTAATAGAAAAAGTTGGTCGTTTTTCTGCGTTGGTGAACAATCAAGAATTAAGTTAATTTCTGGCTGAAAATTCAATCTTTTATTTATGTGTTTCATAAATTCTAGCAATATGAGAGCAATTAAAGATTAAATAATAATTGAATTTGCAAGACTTTTAATTATAGAATATTTTGAAACTGTAGTTTTTACTATCCTTTGAATAGTATTTTTTTTTTAAATAGGGAACGCAATTATTTTTCAATCTAATTTTAGATCTAGAAGGTTAATAATAATAATTATTATTTTATTAATAGATCAGATATGAGGTCGAGAGTGAAATTGAAAACAGGAAAACGTGCAGGTCAACAGTGAGTGACGGTGGATTAGAGTAATCGAAAATGCAAATCGTTGTTTATCAATTAACTGAGATGTTTACGCGGGAGAGGATCAAGCGGATCGGAAAGAAGTGCAATCAAGCCCGGAGAGCGATCGTTTCAAGATTGAATGCAAATAATGCAATTTATTCCGCACACGCGACCTCTGCGGCCGCATTGGATGTCGTCGATGAATGAATAATTGAAAAGGAGCAGAGTAGAAAGCCCATGAGGAAAATTCCCTAGTCTGCGGTTCGTTGCTTTAATTGTAAATCGAATTTGCAATCTCGAAAGTTGAAACGAACAATATAAGATTTTGTATAAAAATCAAATGTGAAAGCTGATAAAAAAATCCTTCTTATAAAGATCGAGATGAGGATACTTTGTAGATTTGTATAATATTTAATTTTAACAAAAAGAAATCTTTTAAATTGAATCAATTATTTAAATATAATTAAATAAATTACATTTTGAAAAATTTTCAAACAAAATAATACCTGGTTGGAGGTTTCAGGGTGCCAGAAAAAGTTACGAGCCCACTTTAAAGAGAGGCAGGAATCGGAGATGGAAGGGTGTGAACGCCCATTCAAATGACAATAATTGAATAATTGACAATTGCAGATTCGTAGGATTTGCTTCCGAATACGCGTCCGATCTGGATCGCGGTTCTGTGGCAACTGTGAAGAAAAAGCGACGGTCTCCCACCTACGCCTCCTTCCACTAGGATAGGTGCGTTGGTCCGACGTCATGCAAAAGCAAGCGACTGCAGAGGCGTTTCATCAATAATATGTATGCATTCACAATTCACATAATGGGAAGCGCCAGAGTGACTCATTCATTCGCCGCCAAATCGGATCGGAAATTTGGCAAAAATTAAAACCGCTTAAACTTGACATGGGTAAGGCATTTCTTGTAAATATATATGTGATAATTTTGAGTGACTAATCAAACTTTTCAACCAAGATGAGGAAACTCATTTTAAGTTTTTTTCTATCTTTGAAATTTCACATTCTTCTCTCATCAAACTTTTAAATTTGGTTAATTTTTTGTATTTCCTCAAAGCGTAAAGTTATAAGTGTAAAAAAATTGAGAAAATGATAAATTATTTAAAAAAATTAAAATCTATTTTTTTACAAAAATTAACTTATTATTAAGAAAAAACACAAGGCTTTAATAATTAAAATTTTAAAAGCAAGTGTTATGTATATTAGATTTTAATTTACTTTATTTAAATATGGCATCTGGTAACTTTTAAAATTTTAATTTCCATTAATTCCCTTTTTTATTGTTGAAAGTTGCACTTTTTAAGGCATTTACCAATCAAACAGGATATTTATAGAATTTATATCTTAAATTCAACTTCTATCCATATTTTATCTAATGTTTACCTGTTGACGTGGTTTTGAATAAAAATTCTGTAAATAAAAATTTCTGGTAGAAATTTTCAATTCTCAAATTGAATTTTTTTTCTCCATTATTTAATAATTGCTCTTTTTTAATTACAAAAAAACGACTCACAAGAAATAAAATTGGTGATTCATGAATTTGAATAGTATATTTATTATTCACTACTTCCGATATTGTCGTTTTGGCAGCAATCCAAAGAAAGGCGCGAGGTTCGTGTTCTTGAGAGAGGCCACCGGCACCGCTCGTCTGTCTCTCAGGGTGAAAAGTCGAGGAGGATACACGGCCTGCGGTGGCCCTGAGATACGGCAATAATTTTATTAAGTTTGCTCATACAGATATATATTAATCTGTCACCGATAACATGAGCTTGTGTGAAGCACCGGCTTTGATATTGCAAGTACAAAAACGGCATTGTGTGCAAATCCGTTTGCAAAGAGGAAGGGTTGAGCGCGGAATTCGCCTCTGATTTATTTCGACTCGCACAAAGGGAACAATTGCCAATTATTTGCGGAAAAAAGAGCTCCGTGTCGCTGATAGATAAAATTTCGCAATTTAATTAAATCGCAACCTTGAATTGATACATAAATAAATAATTCATGAACAAATACGAATTCCGCAATTAGGAATAAAAATTGTATAATATTCCATTGAAGTAACTCGACGTTTATATAATGCACGTGCGCGGGAGTTTCACTTTCTATTTTGCGGCGATCACTCGAGCTGAAAACAAATTCGCGCAATCTCTCGTGTTTTTTTTTCTGAGCAGACACACAGAGCGAATCTCGGTAACAATTTCACGCTGCCTTTCTCTATTGTTGGACGGATTACGCTGCAGCCCTGCTGTGTATGAATTTTCAAATGTAACGAATCGGCGATAAATTTTATAGCCTTCTTTCAGCATGTTTGTTTGCGCATTGTAAATTAAAACTGCACTACGCACGTCACTTTCGACATGGCCGTGAGTGATAATTTGCGCTAATTCTTTAAATTAAAAACTAAGAAGCCTATGTAGGGCAAGAGAGTATTCAAAATTGAATATTAAAAAGGCAAAAATTACTGATTTAATTTGAATAGAGATTTTCATATAACTGAAACATTTTATGAGAATATGTCATACTTTTTATTCTATTTAAAAGGGGAACACTTAAAAAAGGTCAGTAGTTGCATTTTGATGATTTATTGATGATTTCTTAAAAAGAAATTAACATTTGAACTCCAATTTTATTTTTAAGTAATAATATATTACTTATATATTAAATAATATTTAAATCAAAAATTTTAATCACAAATTATCAGATCTATGTTGCAGATTAACTACATACGTGTTTGGAATATTTTCAAACATAAAATAATTTAAATACAATTTAAGTTAAAAAAAAAAATTACATATTTTTTAGTGCAGATCGACGAGAAAACTTCAAAACAGTTTATTAAATAAATTTTTTTTCCAACCTGATTAAGATCTGACAAAAAAAATTATTTTACCTGCATTTAATATAAAATATCTAATTAAATTTAATAAAATTAAGCCCATAAAATTTTCTAAAATCTAAAAAAAAAACCTCCGTTTTCAATCTGCCCTGTCACTTCATATATACGTGTGAAGAATCTTTTTCTCGTGCTCATCAATATACAGTACAAGTACTAAGTATGCGCAATTGATTGACGCACAAAGAACGCAGTTTCCTGCGTAACTCGATCCTTCGACTGTCGCGAAGTTGAATTGGCAACAAGTGCGAATTTCAGTCTTGTGACTCGCACGCAGGAAAGCAAATACTAATGTATAACTAACTAGCTCCGAGTGCGATCGTTAGCGTTCCTAGGCGCGGACGATTATTGTTGCAGTCGCAAAAAGAGCGCCTGTATTTGCCGGCACCGCATTATCGGAGCGCAAATATTTGCCACACAGAGAGAGTAAAGAGTGACGGCAAACAGAGTGAATTTTATTACAGTCAGTTGAGCTTTCAATTATTTAATTAAACAGACAGAGCAAGGATAATTGAAGGAAAATATTTAATTATATAAATGAATTAAATCACGAAAAACAATTAATGAAAGCAGATTAGAGTGAAAAAATTTAGAATTAAAAAACTGTTTAGAAAAAATATTCAATTGTTTTATCAAAACCTTCTCTAAATATAAGAGGATAATTAGCATTAAAAAAAGAGCAATTATTATTCTTTAAGTCATTTAGATGCTTATTTGTTTTCGTAAACACTTATTTTTGCGTAAAGATAAGTAGTATTAATTTTTATTTGTTATTCCTTTTATTTAAGCCAATCTGATTAGCACTTTATTTTTATTCCACATTTTTTTTTCCTTTTTGTAATTTCCTTTCAGAATTTTATCACTTCAGCTGGATTATAATTGTTAATTTTTGCTCTGGAAAATACCATACAAATATTTGGTTCCATTCTTCAATTTCAATATTTAGAATTGGAATATTTTAAAGATTTTAAAGAAATAAGGCTTGCTGTTGGATGGAAATATGAAGAAACGTGCAAAAAGAGCACCAACCGGTTTGAGGGCTTAGCGAATAATTTTACGCAACAGTTACCAGCTGCAGGTTTTATTATTGTAATAAGCTCAAAATTCAAAATTTCACGTGACTTCTTCATACTCAATATTATATTCTGTGGTCAGCGTCAGGACCAATACTCCATAAGATAAAAAATATAGAAATGGAAAAGGAGAATTTCATGAAGCCTGCACACAAGGCTTGAAAATATAAAATAATTAATCATCTTTTTACGTTTCACCCAAATGTCCTGAAATAAATCCTTTTTGAGTTAAAAATATAAATTATTTTTTATATAAAGAAAAAACACAATAAATAATAATAAGTTCTCTTCCTGTCGCAATATAGTCTCATTCTCACAACCGCAGAAAGACATGAAAAATATGCCGTATAGAAAACCGCAGTTCACCGCTTTTATTTAAAAACAAGCACAATTATTATTCGAGGACGAATATAAAATTTGGATCAACACTTACTTTTGGAAGGTCGGATTCTTTTGGTAGTATCGATTTAGATGCGAATGACCCCGCAATTATAAGATTTTTATTAGAGATTTTTCGGCGCTTCCGTCGAGATTCCTACATTCCTGACGTGTGTGCGAAAGGATCAGCGAGTGCACGAGGACTAAAAACGGCGAACGAATTTTGGTGCTGCCGGCCCTGTGGTTTCGCACCTTCCCACCCGTTTGGTGCTCGTGGAGGGCAAGGTCGAATCGTGTGGTGGGCGCACGAAATCAGCTCTCGCAGTTCCAAATGCGGGCGGAATTTCAAGCACGTTTTCCGCTTTTTAGTACACATATATTTGGAAAGCTTTAAAGTATACTTTTATATGACACCAAAATTATATATTTAGGATGCACTAAAATGTATAAAATTATTTGTAACATTTGTTAATAATAACTTTTTAATTTTTATTTTAATTATTATTGTGACAGAGTTTTTTGTGTCAATTTCTGACGTTGTTGGTATATAATTTCCTTAAAAATTATATTATTATATTTTTTTGCGTTTTAACAGAAAATGCTTAATTAAATTTGTTTTTATATTATCTAACAAGATTTTTGTCATAAAAAGCTATTCACTCCAGCAAAATTAAATTAATTATTAGTGTTTCTCCTTAATCATTTTATTAAATAGTTTTAATTGAATAAAAAAATAATAATAAATGAAACCTTGCAAAAATATGTATGTTGCATCCATGAATTATTACAGCTTGAATCAGAGATAAACATTGAGATGAACTTATGAACTTTTGTAAGCTAAAAAAAACAAGAAGCAAGCTTATTGCTCTCAAATAAAGAAATCAAAATCTGTTTATCAAACAAGGAAATTCATATGAGTACGGTGTGAGGTGTGAGTCTTATCAAAAGTTTATGCTTTTGAAAATAACGGTTTTTACAACTTTCTCAATTCATATAATAATAATAATACCTTCACTCTCTTCGTTGTTTCAAAAAGGTCGAAGATGTCCTCGGAGGTCAAAGTTTCTGATTTCACCCGTTTTCCATAACAACACCGCTGAAAAATAACTATAGAGCCACGCGCAGATTGGAGAGTTTTGCCTCGCAACTATCACAATCGACAACAAAACTGCCTCTGTTGGTGCACACGAGAGGAAGTTGCGGCCACCGGCAAAGTGACGCGTGCTCGCACAATGCGCAGCCAACTGTAAAACGCAGCCGCGCACACACAACAGTCAAAAGATAAATTACAAATTATTATATTTTCTTTTATTCGTGCCGACACGTATCAAACAATTCAATTTTTCAATTTGATAAAATAATTTTACAAATTATACTTTGAAGTTTTAGATTAATCATCTCACTTGGCACGTAATTATTATTTTAAGAAATAATTGAAAATAATTATATACATTAAATTGCATTAAATGTATTTTTATTTGATGATATCTTAAAAAATGACAAATTTATTAAAAAAAATCTTGATCTGTAAGTGTCTATTTGTTACACTAATATTTGATTTCAAAAAAATTGTTAATGTTTAACAAAAATATATATTTAATAATTATTTATTTTTATTTCTTATTGCCTTTTTTATTAATTTTTTAATTATTATTTATTATAATTCAACACAATAAAAAATTATTGATATACAACTAAATTTATACATATTTAAAAAAATAAAATTAGAAACACAAATTCTGTTAGAAACGTTTATTGTTCTGAAAATTGCTTGCGGATTAAACATTTTTATTCACATTAACCAATGCTTTCACATTGCTTAATTATGCTTCATTTTGAATTACTTCTGTTATATAGCAAGATTGTTAGAACTATCAATACAAAATTTCTACATGAGCTCCAATAATTTGTGCTATGTTGCAATAAGGCTAATTTGGGATTGAACCACAGTTTCTCCATAAAACAGTCCAGCTCGGCGAATTATAATAAATAATCAATTGAGCCGTCTTGTCGGCTATTATTTGCAAAAACAGATTACGAACAACGTAAACTAATTTATCCCAGATTCGCCACTACGGGCGATGATGAGGGAGATATAAATTAAACTTGGTAATATTTTTAGGCTGAGCTGTTAATTTAACAATCACTTTCATGTTGTGATGAGATTTTAATTGAAACTAACAAAAAAATATTTAGAGGTTATAAAAATATGCAGTAATTTCATTTAAATTGTTTAAGAACTAAAATCTTGAGTTCAATTTCTGATTGTTTTTATATAAAAACACAGCTTTAATCAAATAAAAATTAAAATATGTGGACCTAAAAAAATTGAAATTTTACCAAATTTTTAGCAAATATTTAATTGATCTGAAATAATATTCCAAAATGCTTTAGAGTGATTTAAGTATTTTAAGTAGTTTGAATTGTTCCGCTGCGAGACGCGGCAAGGTGTGTTTTGGTCGCTCTTGTTCTTCTTGTGGAGGGGGTGCGTATTCTCCGCGTCAGGGGTGCAGCAAGTAGGGAGCAAGTGGTGCGGCACGAGAGGAGGCCAGTGGTGCGCGAGGAGGCGGCCAATCTGGGCGGCCTGACAATGCTGCAGTACGAGGATTCCAAGTACACGTGCCTCTTTGAGAGTCTGACGCCCCTCACTCGATTCCTCGGAGTCTTCACCTCCGTCGGTGAGTTTTACTCTTTAATTTTTTTCAATTATCAAGTTGTGAAAAAATTAAATTTTTTCAATCATTTTTGGTAATTTAAAATCAAATTGAGCACTTTAATTTAAATTTTCTTCATTCAATTTTATTTAATTACAATTTATGATATTTTATTGGTATTGAAATATTGTAAAATTTATTTTTACAAATTAAATCAGAAAAATTTTATCTTATTTTAACTTTATTTAAAAAATTGTATCCAATAGAATAAAAATGTTTTATTCAAATTATTCTGTATTGTAAATTCTATAAATAACACTTGGAGAAAAGACAAAATGGTAAGAGACAAAATAAAGTTACATGAAATCAGTAGAAATGGAAAAGCACTCAGAGGGTCTCTTATCAATTATGCAAAAGGGCATCGCAGGGATAATCCCTTTGTGAATTCAAATGGAAGAGTTTGTTGTTTTCTGCGGCAGAGCTGGGCTCGATTCCAAAGAGCGGCGGCTCCTTGTGTCGCAGTCGAGCACGGACGAGAGCGGCAGTGACGCCCGATACGAATTTAGAACCGTCCCGAGGCCGTTTAAATAATCGGAAGTCAATTTTTGAATCTGACGATACACATCGGCCAAGTGCACCCGTTCAACATTCATAACGATGATGATATTTCCTAAAAAAAAAAGAAATTGACATATTAGCTAAAAATAATAGTTTTTCGCCTTATAAATGAATTTAAAAGTTGGATTAAGTTTGAATCGTGATTGTTAAATTGAAATCATTAAGCGTTTGCAACAGGTTTTTAACACTTTTCAAGCCAAAAAAATTTGAGCCTTTGAGGAATCGTTAATTTTATCAAATTCGTTGAAAACAGGACCTACATTCCTCAAGGTTCAAACTAATTTTTGCTGGAATCGCTGGTTCAAAGTTTTTTGTTCCTCAATTTTTTCAATTAAGGACTTCATCCTTAATAAATATTTATATTTTAGAAATTTCTCTTTATACAAATTTTCCCCGCTCGATCTTTTCAGGAAGATAAATTTATTTATTTTGTATAGTTTTCAGATTTTATTTGAAGAAATTGAAAAGATTTTTTAATTCTTGCTATACTCACATTACACATTATTATTCTAATGCGAGATGCGTGGGTTGGAAAACGTTTTTTTTTTTCTTTTTTCTACAGAAGACAAAAAGCTCCTTCTCAAATTAATGACTTTCCAAACCAAGTTCGTCGAAGGGTCACAAGGGCCAAGTTTTGTGGACGCAGTTAAAAGCCCGACGCAGATGTTTCTCACCTCCTGAGGGACGTGTGCAAACTTTTAAACCTGTAATAAAACTTTAGTAGAAATAAATAAACACACGGTGAAACCACAGTTCTCGGACTTCATGAATTAAGTTTAAGATGGGGTTTGGAAAAAGAAGAAAATTCAAACAAAATACGTAAATTTATTCTCTAAATAAATTAAAATTTATTGGAACAATCTTGTAGCTTTAATCTAGAATAAGTCATTCAATTTTCTTGTGGATTCCTTTTATTAAGAAGATTAAAAATAAACGTTTGGATTCCGTCGGGGAAATATTTGCCCACTTTGAATAGCAAACACATGCTCGAAAAAAGATATTATTCTAGAGTAGGAAAGTCGCTCGTCCTTATGTATTTTCTCTTCCCTCGTTTCTCATTCATTCGAGGTCTCCGAGGAGCTTTTCGGCAATATTGGATTTTGCAGATTTTGCGAGCGGCGGCACATCCGAGCACACACGAGCGAGTGCTATTTTATTATTGCGGGCCTCTTTCATTTGCGCGGGACGTGAATTTTTAATTTTGAATCGCACCCGGAATAAAACCGGCGCTTCCCCCAGATCTATTCGGCGCCACGCAAATTGCTTAAACCCTTTCTTGGTGATGTATCAATTTTTGACGGTTTATCGATAAAAAGATGTTCGCACAAAATTGGCACACGTCAATTTTCAGAAGATTCAGCTTATTTGAAAGCCATGATGAAAGCTTCATTAAATTTTTATTCAACAAAGAATATCAGCAGTTTAAAATTAAGTTTAAATTTGTTATTGTAATTTAAATTAGGCTGCATATTTGGACACTTGCAAAAGTTTTTTTTTAATGAAATGTAGATTATTTGAAATAAAACTTTAAAGTTTATTTAAAAAAAAAAATTATAAATAGACAAAAATTAAAATATTTTAAAATGAGTTTATTTCAATTTTTTATACTATTTTTTTTAAATTCATTATAATTTCTACTGTCTTCATTTTAAAACAAAAAATTTCTGCATTTAAAAAATAAAATTTGTAAGTATATCAACTTCCTAAGTAAATTAACTTCAATAAGATTTAGCAATTTATGTATTAATTTGACCTTTTTATGCGTCAGATTTGTTAAGCGGAAAAATTCACGAGTTGGCTTTGTTTGCGCTGGAAGAACAATCGACGAGAGGCCGCGGGTGCTCCGTCGGAATAAAATAATTCATGCGTATGCGCCTCTCGGCTCTTCTTTTTCTGCTTTTGTTTTCTCTTTCCCGTGCATTATAATTACTTTTCTTTGTGCGCGTGGCGCCGTGAATTTTTCACAAATGGCGCTTCGCTCTTCTCCTGAATTTTTCATCCGTCCACGTCTTCAACGACTTCAACCCGTTGTTTTCAGCACTTGTGCAACTTACTGCCGTCGACGACTACAAAAAACACTCGTCCCTCGCATTTGCACAAATTTCTCCCTTAATTACGAGACCAGCAACCCCTTAGAAAGGAGGAGAATGAATAATTAATCTCTTTCGCTGTTTTGAATTAGTTTTTGAAATAATAAGGGAACGGCTTTTTTTTAATTGAAGAATCGGAAACAAGAAAAGAAATTTAGGTGGACGCGTTGATGTAAAAATTAGATGAAAATTCATTAAAAAAAGTCAAATACAAACAAAAACCACAGCCTTGATTTAAATTTAAACATATTACCGTGAAAAATCTATGTTTTTGAAATTAAATGAAATATAATAAAAAGTTTTTACCTACATTTTGTAAAAGTTAATAATACACAAGACAGGTAAATTAATTTTCACGTGGAATTCCCGGGGTTCTCCGCGACCTTCATTGAAAATTTAACTAATGAAGCTGAAAAAGTCTTAAGAGGGGGCAATAAAAATATTTGCTTCAATGTTTGTTAATGAAATTTTTTATTCTTTTATAATTATAATCATTTATATATTTCAAAATTTCTAAAAAAATAATTATTGTTTCTTGTCATTTTTTTTCTATTCCTCTTATGCGGTTTCTTGAATTTTCTCTTTTTTATATTCTTCGTCCGTGCACGTCTTTCGCTTTTCAGAAGCATTTTCACTTTGAAGCTATGCAACCGGGCGTGTGTGGTGTGTGGTGCGAGTGGCCTAGCTGCAGGCGTTTCTCGTTGTCATTTCGCACCTCACTCGCTCTCTCCACGGCGCAGCTTTTGTTCTTCACAGAAAGAGACAAAGACCGACCAATTAGCGCCTCGATTCCCAAAGGAGAGTTCGTTTCCTTTTTACGTTGCAAAGCCCGATAATTGCGCCTCTTCTTTAATTGGCCATTGAAACGGTAAAGCCCAAAATGTCAATTTTTCTTGTGTGACGTTGAGCAACAGCTCCTTTTTTTGAAGAGCGCAAATTAGGTTGACCGTCGTCTATTTTCTTTTTCTCAACCACTCTGTGTATTTTCTGCACGTGAGTCGAAACAAAATGAGACCGAGTGCTGCTTTTTCGCAGGCAGCACGAATGGACCGCCATTTACTTGATGCGGTCTGATGTGGTCCCTCGATTTTGCCACACGGCAGATGTGACTGCAGAAAAAAGAACTTTTGCTCGAAAGCTTTTAAGAATATTTGCAAAAAGAAGGATCGTGACAGTTTTCTAAATGTAGAAGCTGCACAAATTTTTGAAACTTTCAATTCCATGAAAAAAATTTCCAAAGTTAATAATTTTATTTTTTCAATTAAAAGCATTAAGAATTAAATAATATAAATAAAAAAAAAAATTAAATTATGTCAAATAAAATTCCTATTCAATTAAAGGTCGTTTTAGTTTAGTTGCAAGAAATTTTTTTGATTCTCGAGATCTAATTTTTTGATTCATAGTGAACTTGATTAATTATGAAATTAGCTTTACTGAGAATTTTTTAAGTATTTTAATTCCCCTCCAGAGTACAAGTGAAGAATGTGAAAAATGTTTTAATTTTAACGTTTTTCAATATTTAATGCAACGTTTCCATTTTAATTTTATTTTGACAATTTTTTCTCTCTGAATTGTTCTCTGTGCGCGCTGAAACTGGTGTTTTTCGAGTTTTTTCGCCCTTCTCCATTCGAGTCACCCGAGGCCAAAAGAGATGAGCCCTTTCCATTTGCCAAATTGCCACAATCTCGCGCTTTAACGCATGTCCGTTTTACATCACGTAGAAACTACTGTGTCACTCCATGGCTGCCGAAAATCTCTTGTACATAACAAAATTTCTATGTATTTTTGCAGTTCTGTGCGGGGTCGGTGTCGATATTTCCTTCCACCATCACCCAATGGGTCTCTACATAATGTGAGTATATTTTTACGTAAAAATGAAAGAAGAAAAACTGTTTTTAAATTAAAACTTTCTTCAAATTCTCAAAAAAATTTATTAATTTACACGATAATAAGAACAAAGTATTATTGAAATGAAATTTAATTATGAAAACAATATTTAATAAAAATAAATTGTTACAAATATTTTTCTTTGGAAAAAAATTATTGAACTGTTAAATTTTTTCTCTTTCACTGTCTCGTCTCTCAAAATTTTAACAAAGAACTCAATTAAAACTGAAAATCTTGCGCTTTAAGGCTAAAGCTGCTTTTTTTGCTCTTCACTCTAACAGCGAGTTTTCTTTTTCGGTCTTTGGGCCACGGTGGATCTCTTTCGGTGCGTCATAAAAGTCGGCGTTTAAGTTTTATCAGCTGCTTGTCTTGGCGCAGCACGCAAGACGTAATTTTAAGCTCATTACCTGATTTGCATATTATATTGTATGCCTGCCCGCGCACCAGAGAGAAAGAAGGAATAAAAGTTGCGGCAGGGCGAGGGAAAAGTGTTCGGTGAAAAATTGTCTCGAGAGCACGTGATGAACTTTGTCTGTTTAACGAAATTGCTGCCTCAAGCGGCAAGTATTTTTACTAGTTTGATAAGTCGTAAAAATCAGAGTTTTGAATATTATAGGAAAATTTGGAGTTAAATTTATTGCGCAATAAAAATTAAATTTCCACATAGTAGAAGATTTAACTTGACGTTACTTGTTTTTGTATATTTGATGCAAAATTTTCTATAGCAGAGATTCTGTAAAATTTTAGACGCTTAATTATTTTTAATTGCATTTCCTCTGAAAAATAACAAAACCTCGGCTAAACCTGAGGATATAATCGGACACAATTCTTTGCTAAAATAGTAATTATTAATTTCCAAATGGGAAAAATATTCAATTCATTCTTTGTCACTTTGAGAAAAATAGCACGAATTGGAAGATTTTGAAAACCTAGAAAAAATTTGCAGAAGAATTTTTCTCCATCTCCTATTGCCTTTGAGGTTGACTCCTCTGTTTTTGCGTTGGAATACTGTGTTTTTCCTAATGTGGATCGAAACCACAAACACCCTGTATCAAGATCGGAGCCATGCTTGGAGCAGAACAGCACGCTCTCTCCGTTAAAAGTGAAATCGCGTTCGTTGGACCAAAATCACGTTTGGCAAGGGTCGCTCTAATTAGTTTCTACAAATCCACCACCGACCGCTGTTGCAAGGCATGAGCTGCCTTTCGTCCTTTATCGAAATACAAAATTTAATTAAATAAGCAAACACGCTCAATAAAGGAAATAAGGACAAATATTTTAACTCTTGTGAGCGCTTTTATAAATTTTGTTTATAATTTGCGTTGTTGAGTGTATTCCGTGATAGTTTTCCAATAGAAATTTGTCTTTGATTCAGAAACTGCTCAGAAATCGTAGAAAATGTCCACATTACATCTTTTAAATACACATTTATAGTCAACTACAATTCCATAATATTTTCTTTTATTTCGGACTAAATTTGAACGATATTTCACTTTGATACAAATTCAAAATCCACTAAACCAATGCGTAATTCAATTTAAAAAAGTATATTTTAACGCTTTAAAAATTTTTTTCTTCCTTCTGAGAGGAGATTTAATTCAAATTTCTTCGCATATAAACACTTCTTTATGGTTGGGCCAGAGTAGAGCAAACTCAGGCACGGCTCCTATCAAACTGGAATAAGCGACGATTGGACCAGCACTGTTCATAAACCATGATTCAAGTCGGGCAATGTAATTTGGGTGCATCATTTTCGGGTGAAATTCTGTTTTGGTTCCGCAGTCGTAGCTAAAACCGCTTGTCGCGTCGATCACAACTGCGTTGAGAATTGTATAGAAATTGATTGAGTAGCTCTCATTTGCCACTGGAGAAGAATTAATTTGTATTATAATTTTTTATCATGGTCACAATACTATATTTAAAAAAAAAACGCAATTTATATAATTAAAGTAAAAAGTAAATAAAAATGCCAATAAGCAGCGCCCTAGAAAATAATTCGAAAACATCTTTTTTTGAAGATTTTGCGTCAATGATTCAGACAAATTTTGATGGAAAAAGTAGCAAAAACGATTTAAAAAATAGAAGAATTTTCATCTCTGGAAGATTTTGTGGGTTCTTTTTTATATTTTTTACAATTTTTTACAAGAAATAAATTATAAAAAAAAAAAAACGTACGAGGTGCCTTGAGACACATGGCGGATTTCATGTAATTCAGGGCTGAAATCAATCGCATTCCACGTTCACAGCAGAACGTCGTCGCTCCATAATAATCGTAAACCTGTGGAGAATCAAAATTAATTGAAAATACTAAAATTTCCTTTTTCGCAGCGAGTCAATTTTTTAATAATGAACGTTCAATAACATGGCCGATATAAAAATTTTACTATTTATCTCTCATTTATGAGACCAATGTTTTTTAACTCTGCCAAATATTATGTACGAAAAGTAAATCAAAATTCACGATGTTTGACCTAAATTCAAAATATTTTTGAATCCTCAAATTTATGAAGTCAGAAAGAGTAAAATTTCAACAATGTTTATTTTCCAATGTCTACAAAACTCATATAAAGTATATTATTTAATTCAGAATGGCACAATTTGCAAAGATTAATTTCATTTATATGGAAAAATTGACTATAAGCGAACAAAAAGATTATGAGTTCAATTTTAACTTACAAGACCACCGCGGAAAAATACTATGTATTTCTTTGAATCGTTGCATTTGCAAAGCCAGTATCTGCTGTCAGCAAACGAACATGTTGATGCGTCTAAAAATGTTTTCATAAATAATTGAAATTTGGGTAAACGAGAAAGAAATACTCAGAGTATTTAGAACCGAGTCAATACTGTTCTTTTCAACGGCCTAAACTCAAACACATATAAATTGGGGTAAAATACAAAAAAATTCTGAGAATTGCGTTTAATTACGTTGATAGAAGAAGCATCACATGTATTCGCACAACCGTATGCCATGGAAATGAGTTCACCACTCTGAAAATTTAAAAAGAATTGATTGCAATTCGACAAAAAATTATTCTGTGATCACGTCCGCCGCTTGCAAGTCTTTAATGACTTGGTCGAAGATCACTGGTGCTTTGTCTCTGGCGCACTTGGCCAATTGATACGCCTTGTCGCAATCGTCCATTCCGTCTTGAATTTTATATAATTTTTTTCGTAATTCTTCGAATTATTTGAAAATTTACAAGTTTTATTGTTGCACTCGTCCACAATGGCCATATTTGTGATGAGCCCGATCTCGTTTTGCGTCGTCTCGAGATTTGCAAACACCTCGTTCTCCACAATCTTCCCACCCACAAGCTTATTTCCAGTTAAAAAATCAAACTGAAACACGGTTAATAAATTTAAATTTTCAATACCAGTCCTGTGGAGTCTCCAAAAAGTTTCACAAAGCACTGAAAACTTCTGATCAGTTTTCATTTAATTGTTCAACATAACAACCTGATACTTTCATTCGCGAATCAAAACTCGTCACATTTTGAAGTAAGTCAATTTCATCTTTAATTTAAAATAAAATTAATAAAAATCACGCTAAGTAATGATGTTTACGTTCAGTGACGTTGTAAACAACCGCGCATTCGTCAATTATCGCTTTCAAGCCACTCTTCGACTGCGGATTTCGTCTTATCTAAATTCCAAATGAATTTTTTATAAATTTATTGAATTAATTAAATTTAAAAAAACTTCGCAAATATATCTGAATTTGGTTTCTCCTTGATAATCAGCGAGCAACGCTTGGCCATTTTTTATTTGGACGGCCACGTAGTTTTCTTTTCCTTCTGCGTTGTCGGGTTGTCCAGGAAGCCACCGGGACTCGTTGCGGAACAACCGTTTGGCCGTACAGAAACCGAAAATCGACTCGCAGCCCTCGTCTGAACCGGAAGTCCAGAAGGTTAAATTTTGAGTCCCTAATTAATTCATAAAGCAGATTATTAGGGTTTTTTAAGTTTTTCTACCATAATTATTTTTGCCTTGTTTCAAATCTGTCGAGTCGGCATAAATGCTGGCCAGGGCTTCGTATTTGTGACTCCCATCTAAGCTCAGCAGAGACATGCCCAAAGAACAACAGGCCTTCGTCGCTTCAAAATACTAGAATCCAATTAATTAAATTTACCCAATCATGAGGAGCGAATTGATTAAAATATTTTTACAGTTCTGGAATCATTTTGAAAACTGAAGAGGTAATGACGCAGATTTCTGGAAAACCACAGGCCGTGCTGAGTGTGATCTGAAATTAAATAAATTTATAAAATTTACAACCAGATCAAAAATATTTACGTGCCTTTTAAAACCAAATATGAATTATTTGCCGAAGGGGTGAATAAAGACGGCTAATATCGTTAAAAATTTTAAATTAATCAAATGCGGAAACTATTAATTTTATGAATTTCACATTTCTCTGGCATGCGACATCTGGACAAAGAGGACCGGTGCACTTTGGAGACTTTGTTGGCGAGCTCTGAATTTAATTTTGTAATTAAGATTCAGTTTATTACTTTTGGATTCAAACTTGGCAAGCGAAAATCAATCTGTCCGAACAGCGTCTGTCCATCATCGAAATGGTGCCGTTGAATTTTGAGATTTGCATCTGAACGCAGTTCTGGCCTTTGGAAAGGTTGGCGAGGGGAGGAATTTCCTTCCATGGTACGGTTCCGTTAGCAAAGCACCACCCTAATGTGTCATTCACCGGGTCCTTCGTCCCGCCCGTCCAGTAGTTCAAATTAAACCTCCAACTCGTGGCTGTATTAAAAATTAAAAGTTTGAACTTGAATTCAAAATAGGTTTTATTTCAACCCTGCACTTTCATGCACTCGAGCTTCACTTTGCTCTCGAATGCAAAAGGCTGCATTTTCAGACTGAAGCACTTTGCCGAGTTTTCATGCCAAGTGCCCTGAAAATGTGATTATTTTAAATAAAGAGTTAATTTTATTGATAAAGGGTACCATCGACTTTCCGAGCAACAGGGTTTGGCCGCACGCATCCAACCAAAATCCGTGTAAATTTGGATCTGTTTTTATTTTCCAAAAAAAATTAGAATAAAAGATTATAATTTTCTAACCCGCGAGTGCTCCGTTTGATGCAAAAAGGGATCGCTATTTCGTTGAAATTATTTTAAAAGTTATGCTGTAATGGTTTCTAAAGGAAGTTTCAATTCCTACGTTAACAGCGGCGTTTGTTTCCGTTCTACATGTTCCAACCAACGATGGCTTCAATATGAAAAAAATAAAATGGAGTTATAATTTTTGTTAGCAAAAATGTGACGCACGTCAATGGTTGTAGTTATGGCGTTTGTCGTTAACGAAGTTGTTGTTTTGATTGAGGGGGTAATTATTGTTGTACTTGACACTGATGTGGTGTTAGAAACAGAATTTGCAATTGTGGTCCTTCCGTCTGAGTTGGTTAATGATTCACTGCTGAAAATAGTGGCAAATTTTATCGTTGAATCAACTGACGGAATTGGTGATGAAAATAATTCAGTAGTTTCTAATGTTGACGGAATATCTGAAAGCTTCAATCAAAATTAACCAATAAAAAAATTTGTATTAATCCATGATTTTCCTTAAGTGAATATACCTTTGGAGAATTTGAGTCGGAACTTATTATTGGCAAGTCAGTATCTGTCACTGCTGAGGTCGTTGGAAAATCTGAAATATCTTCGGTAAAATTTGTCTGTTCCGTGCTGAATCCTGTTGTCAATATTTCAGATTTTACTGTCACATTTTTCAATACCTATTTATTTAAATTGAAATGTTAAAATTATCATTATTTTTGTAATGGAAAATACTTGAGTGCCCAAGTTATCTGGTCTTGTTCGACTATTTGCGCGAGAACGGATGTAGACACAACTTTTCAGGCCACAACACTTGATGATATGCATGCGTTTGCTGATAACTTTAGGAAAATTATTTCGTCTTCCTAAATTTTCTCGGTATATTTTTAATAGTGAGCAAATCAAATAGAAATATCACCAAGTTTCTTTTTTGGGTTTCCCTTGTTATTAGTTTATAATTTGTTAGTTAAAAGTAAAATATAATTCCTTAGAATCTTACATTGTATTGATGGACGTGAGCAGCGATTAGAAGAAACAACAGCAAATTTGCTCGTAGTGGCATTTTTTCAATCAAAAAATTTGCTGACCGCAGCCGAAAACATGTGTTGCGTTTGTCATTTTCAACCTGTTTGACGCACGGGAGAAAACAACTTTGACGAGCATGGCGCTGCATCCGCTACCTTAAATAGGAAAATTAAAAAAGCATAAATTAATGAACATTGGTTCAGCCATATTTTTATTTTTATTTGAGGAATTTAATTACGTCATATGCATTAATCATGGAATCAGCAATATTTTTCTTTATTTAGAATTTTTTTGTAAGAAGAGTTTTCTTTAATTTTTATTACAAAAAAAAAAATACAGTATGAATTTTTATGGTGAAATAGTTTGTTATTTTTCATATCAATGTTGGTACTTCTTATTTTTTTAATAATGAAGTTTATTATTTGTTCGCAGAGTGTGTGCAGTGCTGGTTTTCTTCTTAGAAATCACGTGGACCGTCTCGTTATTCCTGCAAGTTTGCTCCCGGTAAGTTGGCGAAGAACGCATTTTTTTTTTGTAAATATGCAAACCGCTCGACACCGCGGAGATGAAATTGCCTAACTTTGGGAATGCACGCGCTTCATTTATCTCGCATGTCGTTTAAAACGAACTTTTTGCAAGAATTAAAAAGAAAGCAATTTTTTCTCTACCGCAGTGCGCTCTTCGCTCTTCTGCCTTTTTTCGCAGCCGACCAGCAATTTCCAATAAGATTTTTATATTTTCCTCCTACTTTGTGGACTTTAATTAAAGTAAACACAAGTCAATTTTGTTCCCTCGTAAAAGCAATCTCTAGTGGTGGCGCAAAAAAATTTGGCTGGAATCGCTCTTCCTTCGATATACCTGTTGGCCGGGAATTGGATTGAGAACGCCAATTTATTTGTCGATCTCTCCTCCGTTCTGGCAAAAAGCTCGAGTTTTCCCTCCAGCCTGGGGAAAAGCACCCTAAAAGCTTTTTCTTGATGAAACCCACGCGAAAGGCAAATAAACAGATCGTAATTTTGCATCGTCGCTTGGGATTTAACTTTATCTCTTTATACTGCGGTTTGGCAGTGAATGAAGTTCAAAATAAAATTCACTGAGATAAGACAAAATTATAATTTTAAAGTAAAAATATATGTAACAAAAAATATATATTATTCAATTTATCATTAAAATGCTTTTTTAAGCCTTAATTAATTTAAGACTTTTACACTAACTATTTTTATTAATTTTATTTTAAAGAATTAAAGAGAATAATTGTAGTAAAAAATATAATTATTGTAAAAGAGATTTTATTACCAATTTTATCAATATTTTCCATTTATTTTATTTTATTTATAGAATCTTTCAGAAAATCATTCAGGATATATAATTTATAAGTTGAACTAACAGTCAATGTAGGCGATTGAAGTAATTTTTTTTTCTAATTGTCACACTTGTATTTCTATAAGGTGAATTAAAGTTTTGCTTTAAAAACATAAAATTGTTGGATAAAACAGCACTACTGTCACCAAGAATTTTATTTCAATTTACAAGATTAAAAAGACCATATCCGCTCCAATTGACTCAGAGATTTAGATCAAAATAAAAATGGTAATCTAAAGACAATTTAATTCATTTATAGAATTCCAAACATCATTATAATTTTTTTTAATTTTTTTATTCAAAATAATTAAGTATTCAAAACCTAAATGAAATCAAACATGTATTTGACATGAGTGTTGAATATAAAAATAAAGAATTAAAAACGTGCAAAAGTTTCATTTTTATCTGTTTGTGTCGCATTGGACAGGGGTGAGCGGAGCTGCCTGTGCTGGCGCTGGGTGCTGTGGTTCGCCGGATGGAAAAAAAGCTTGCTGTACTGCGGAATCGCGGCCGCGCTGATTGCCTGGCCGCACCACCTCTGGCTTTCCACCGTCGCAGGTCCGTCCGTTAATTAATTAATCCTCCTCCTCTCACAACAACAAACAAATCCATTTTTGCTTCGCCGCGAGCATCGCCACGAAAATAATTTGCTGAGTAGAAAAAATCGGTGCTATGCAAAATCAACTCGGCTTGATTTATTATGAAAAAATGCTTAATTTATTCGAAAAGATCAAAAATTTCTTATACTTTTTACATAATATTGTAGCCGAAGAAAATATTTTGCTTAGAAAATAAACTGAATATTTTATGGAAATATCATCTCATATCAGCTCACCTGAAATTCTCTTTCAGAAAAATAAAAATAAACTGATAATTTTATTGAGTTAAAACTCTCATCTTTAAAATTCATAGACAGAAATTTTTTCTGTATATCAAAAAATTTGACTTTTTATTTGCAAATTATTGGTTTACCATAAGCAATCTTATTATGTTTTTTTTTTTGCACCTGAAATCCTTTTCTAGATTATCAAAATTCATCAAAATCACTAAATTTTACCAAAAGTGTAATTTTCATTTTGCAAACAGGCGGAATGTTGCTGCTGTTGGCGTCGTGTTATGCCCTCCTGTCGCTCAGTCCGACCCACCCCAGCCCCGGATCCAGACTTTTGCATGCTGAAGACAGCTGCGACAGGTATGACTAATGGAACGTGATATGCGACACGACAGGTCCAGAGCAGTTATCAACAACAAATATAATCAACAATAAATATGTATTTAGTAAAACGTGCTTTCAAAAAATGAATAATGTTCTTGCAGCTTTCTTATGATTTATATAAAAAAAATCAATTCATTTAATACAAATTTTCCAAATTTCAAAGAATAAACCTCCTCAAGAACCAATTTTTTGTATCGCGTCAGATATTAAGTGAATCCATTTTTATTTTCTCTGAAAATACAAAAAATATTAATATTTAATTAAATCTTTTCACTTGATGAATTATAAAATATAAATTAATATAGATTTGCTAGTAACGATTGTAGACATTTTTTAAAGAAGAAAAAAGGAGGCTATAAAATAGATGACATATTTAAATATAACTTGAAAAATAATAGATAAATTTAAAAATGGATTTATTAAATTTTAGTGAAAACAAGTTTATTTTTGAGTATATATTTTTTAAAAAATTACAAAAATTAATAATTTTTTAACTATTTTCATGTTTTAGATTTGACACAGACATGTTGGATGACTCGTTCTCAGCTTCGGAGTCTCCTTTGAGACATCCTCGGACGGCAGGTCGGACATCGGCGGTCATTCTGGACATCTAGCAATCCGGAGCCTCTGCGGCGCAGAAAAATACATTGTGATATTTTATTTTCAGAAGGACTGTCTACGTAGGTCGTTAATGTAAAAATTAAATTTAGGACGTTTTTAACGAAAAATAAATTGCACGCACTTTTATCAAGGACTGCAGGTTTGCGCACCGATTTTGAAATCAGGCTGCTTCAGTGCACAATTAATAACTCAAAGTAAGAAGAAGTGCTTTCTGGCCTTTAGATTTTCCCATAGGGAAAAAATAAAATAATGTTTTAAAGAATAAATTTTGTATTTGTACAAAAACAAACTTTGTTTCTTTAGCGAAAAACTCACTCAATCAACTCTTAAAAAATTCAAAAAATTAAATTAAAAAATAACAACAGCTTTGTGCTGAAATATTTTTAAATTTTTAAACAAACTGAAAAAATATTAATTATGTACAATTTAATTAAAATTCGAATCAATTAAAAATAAGCAGAAATTTTATTTCAATTTTTTAATGTGTTCTTTTAAATTAATTCACCCATTTGATTTCCTCATTTCTGGTTTGCTCTTTAGATTCCAAAAAAGGAGATCGATTGACAAAAAAAGTGTCATTTAATTAGATTTCTCTTCTCAAGCCAATTTTGGTATCAATTCAACTCAACAGTCAGCTAATTAGGGATTCTGGGTTGGGCCAGATGAAGGAAATTTTCACACGACGTCGTGCTAAATGAATCCAACAAAAGGCTTTCTAGTTCTGGTCTTGGCCTTCCACGGGTTCGGGAGCGACCTGCGCACTCGGTTGGGGAAAAGGCGCGCCGGCGCTTCGACCCACCGTTTCGTGTTGTTTTTATTACTTTTGGTCGAGCCTCGAGTTTGAGCAGCTTCGATTGAGTTCAGCAGCTGTTCTGCGGCACAATGCGGAACGGGCTGGGGACCACCTTGGCCCACAAGAAGGGCCCGGTGGGCTTTGCCAGACTGGGCGGCTCCTTCGTCGCGGGCCTCGAATCCTTCTTCTACTGGTGAGAGCCTTTTCGATTCTTATACTCTATCATGACACCGGCAAAATGTGTTGTTATGTAACAGATAAATATTTTTGTATTCCTTTTCCCACGATAAAAAAAACACACACACATATACACAAAGTTTTGATAATTCACTTTTGTTCTTACAATTTGTAGATATTCTTTTTAAAATGATTTATATAATTAAAAAACCATTATTAAAATTGCTTATAATTTATAAAAAAAATTGTAAATAATCAAATAAAATTACATTTTTAAATATTTTTGCTATTAAAAAAATATATTACTAAAAACTATTTAAATACATAAAATATTTTCTATAATTGAAAAGTAAGTATAAAAAATTTTAAATTATTATTTAAAAATAAAATTATGAGTTTTACTTAAAATTTATTGTCAATATCTTTGCAACGAATTAAATCTTCTAAAAAATTATTTTTAAATGGATTTCTTTCGCTCGAGGCAATCTAATTGATCCTTTTTGAATTGATAAATTTTTTCTCCTGTCAAGACTGCATGTAATAATCGAGATGAATTATAATTCAGTCACGTTGTTCGCCGCCGCGTATCATTTCCTCAATTATTCAAGGCCAAACTTACTAGTGGCTCTGGAATGCTCGTTTCGTGTTCGAAATCAATTACGCCAATTTACTACAAAAGCGTCATCAGCATCGTCAGCTGCATTGTTCCCATTAACTTCCAAATCTTTATAATTTCGCTTCTTCGGCATTCGTTTTTTTATTATTCACTCTATATAAATATTTGGGATTCCAAGAAAGTCCTTACTTTTTATCGATCTGAAAGGTGGTCAGGAAGGCCAGCACGAACATTCTGACAAAAGTAACGGCCTCATAATTCAAAAGATATTTTTATGATTTTTTTATACTGCCCCGGAACAAAGAGGAAAAAACTATTAAATAAGTTTGAAATAATTTTAAAGACCTCGGGCGTTCCGCATATTAAATATTAAGATTCAGGGACAATACCTTCGGAGAAACGAAATTGCTTGGTTAGAGTGCAGGCGCGAAAGTCGATTGACGAAACACACTCTCAAGGCTCGAACATCTCAACAAGAAGCATCTTTCTCATAACAATGGGAATGAATCTTAAATAATAAATTCAATAGAACAGAAAACACAGGTGCAGGAAAAATTATTAATGGAGGGCCTGGGGAAGAAATCAATCGAGTATTATTTGCCGTTCTCAACATTCTCACATTGTAAACTTGATTTTTTTCTTAATTTATTTTTAAGGAAAAGGAAAATCAAACAATTTTCCGCAATTTTCATTAATTTTTCATTCAAATTACTTTTACTCAAATTATACCTTTTTTAGTTGAGAATATTCTTTAAAATAAAAAAATCACATTCAAGTGAAAAAAAAATAGTTATTTTTATTCGTATCAAGTGTGCATTTTTTAATATTTTAATTTCGGTTTAGGTTGGGTTGTTCTATCGGCAAGCGGCCCTTTTTCGTGACCGTCGGGTGTCTGCTGATCGGAAGCCTGTTCGCCATGGGCCTGTCTAACTTCACCAAGGAGAACCGGCCAGAGAAGTTGTGGATTCCGTCCGACTCGCAGTTCGTCAGGGATTCCGAGTGGATGAGGAGCAATTTTCCCAACAACGTTCGCCCGCAGTTTGCCATTTTTGAAGCCAAAGAGAGCAACATTCTCTCCAGCCAAAGCTTATTAGAGGTTAATTCATGCAATTTAATACTTGAAAATGAAATTTTTTTTATAAATCTTCATATGTTAAGTGTCATAAATGACAGTTAAATATTTTAATTTATTCCAGATTTCATGCAAAAATTATTAGTATTGATTTTTATCAGTATTTTATTAATCTGACAAACACTGAAATCAAAATTAGTTTTTTTTTATTAAAGTCTAATAAAATTATATTTTAAAAAAATGTAATTTTTTCCCCATATAATTTCCCCTTTGGTATTTCAAATACTAAATTTATGATACAGATTTTATCAGTAATTGAGGAAGTGGCCGCCATTCAGTCCGAAGATACAACGTGGGATAAAATTTGCCTCAAGTGAGTCACTTTTATCCTTTGTTAAATTTAGCCCAAACAATAAAATGGAAGGTTTGAGCAAATTTTTGTCTATTTTCAGAATTCCCGTTGTCAACCTGGGTCAGGGTGGAGCCGCGAGGCGCAGGAGAGAAGCCACGGAAGCGCCAGAATATGACGATTTTTTCGGCAGCGACTTTGACGACGCTTTTAACGAGGATCTTTTCAAAAAAGACGACTTTGGAAAATCGTCGTTTTTGACCAATTTCGACCCAAGTGTCCACCTTGACCGGGACACGTACTGCTCATTCTTAGACCGCATGCAGGTAAATAAATTTTCTGTTTTATTGAATTAAAAATAAATTAAATTCAACTTTCTGCAACTTTCAAAAAGATTTCCTCTCTTAATCAGATTTTTTGCTCTTGTTTTTGCTTTTGTTTCTTAAACCGATCACAAAGCTACACATTTTTAAATAAAAAAAAAATTGTAGTTACTATTTTTCTTTCTAAATGTTGTTAGGAAACATGTTGGTTGAGCTCTTTATTGGAAATCTGGTCTTACGACCGAGCCAAAATCGCCACTTTGTCTTCTGAAGAAATCTCAAGCGCGATTAACGGAACCGAAGTGAGTCCTGTCTTTGGAACGCCCAGAGATTTCTCCAAATCGCTCGGCGGAATTAAATTCGGCAACAACGGAACCATCATCAGCGCTAAAACCATTTTGGTCTCTTGGTTCGTGGAGAGCGACCCGTCAAAATCGTTGCAGGGCAAGATCACCAACGACGCCGGAACTGGAGACCAAGTAAGAAAAAATTTAATTTATTTGAATTTTTCCTACAAAATTAACCTTTTTTTTAGGTGGCCAAAGATATTTTGGAATGGGAAGCGGAGTTAATCAAAGTGTTGGAAAAGGAGAGAAATGGGACGATTACAACGTTTACTTTTGCTGGAAGAAGGTTTGAAAAAAAAAATTTATTTAAAGAACCATTTAATTTGAAAGAATTTTAGCTTTGGAGATATTAGTGGAAAAACCATTCAGAATGATGCTCAAAAACTATCCGTTGGATTTATAATAATGTTCCTATATGTTCAGTTGATGCTTGGGAGATTCAATCTCGTTGAACAAAGAGTAAGAAATATGAAGAAATATTTTAAAATGATTAATTAAATATTCTCTTTAATACAAACAAGTTTGATAGATAATCTTGCTAAAAATGATTAATAAATTAAAAATTTCATTATATTTTTTATTTAATGTAGTTTATTGAAATTAAATTTCACATTTATTAAATTTCAGGCTCTCTTATCGTTGATTGGAATTGCGAGTGTTGCGATCGGTTGTGTCGTTTCATATGGGGTGTGTTCGGCCTTTTCCATTCCTTACGGCCCCGTGCACAACATCCTACCCTTCCTGATGCTGGGAATCGGCATCGACGACATGTTCGTGATTGCCCAGTGTTGGGCCACCCTGGGGCCTGAGACGCAAACCCTGAGCCTCCCTGAGCGACTGGGTCTGACCCTGAAACACGCCGGCGTCTCCATAACAATCACATCGCTCACCGACTTCACCGCTTTTGCCATCGGAGCCACAACGGTCCTGCCCTCGCTCAGGTAAAATAAATAATAACTAAAAAAAATATTAAATTGTAAGAATAAAATGAAAAATATTTTTAAAGAAATGAAAGGTAACTAAAGTTTTGTGATTTAATTGTTCATACATTTTTAGTTTATCAAACAATCAGAAAACTAGTCTTAATTCAATTTAATAAATATTGGTATTTGTTTATTTTATAAGATTAATTATTTAAAAAAAGCCCATTCAGACCTTTTTCCAGAACATATTGATGAAGAAATTTTTGTAAAATTAAATTAAATTTATATAAAAAAAAATAAGCACAAATTATGAATTTCTGGGCTAATTTATTTCCAGATCGTTTTGCATTTACGCCGCCGTGGGAATTTTGGCCACCTATATTCTGCAGGCCACCTTTTTCACAGCCTGGTTTTCATTGGACCTGCGGAGGATTGAGTCGAACAGGGACGGCTGCTTTTTCTGCATCCAGTACAAAAACTACAAGCCCAACGACTGCAGCAAAAAGGATTTCTTCAAAAGCGCCTTCGACAAAATTCTCGGCTCAATCCTCTTCAAAACACCAGTAAAGGTAAAAATAAAAAAAAAACATTAAGTTTTGTCTGAGTGAGATTATTGCAAAATTTGACATTTCCAGATTTTGGTCCTTTTGAGCACAGGAGTTTTGCTCATTGTCGGCTCTTGGGGTCTTTCGCTGCTGCGCCAAGAATTTGACCCCGTGTGGTTTTTGACACAAAGCTCGTACCTGTTCAAGTATTTTGACAAGTCCAAGCAGTACTACCCTGGTGACGGAGAGCCGGGCAATATTTTCCTCAGCGGTTTCAATCATTCCGAGCACTTGGACTCGATAGCCAATTTGATTCAGAGGCTGCAGGAGCAAAAGGACATTATCAAGGAGGTCGACGCGTGGTACCCTCCCTTTCAGACTTACAGCAATGTGCATTTCAACACAAGTGAGCAAATCCTTTTGATAAAAGACTAAATTTGGAAATTTTTAAAGAATGAAGCTTCAGTTGCACGTTTTAAAAAAAAGTATGTTTTATTAATCAATTGTTTTTTGAATTTTCCAATGAATAAAAATTCCATTTTATTTTGTGGATTTTTGCAAAAATTGGTCAGATAAAAACTAAAAAGAGGATAAAATTTAAAAACTTAAAGCAACATAAATGTCATAATTTACAATCTAACGAAAGGCAAATTGTTTAGGTTTACCTGTTGAAAAGCTGGATGATGCGAGATTTAAAGATATTTTGGGCAAATTTCTGTTCAGTCCAAGCGGTTCTAAATACAGAAGAAAATTCATGTTTTTCGGAACGCCGAGATGTAGGAAACCTGCTCCTCCAGTCAAAGTAAAATAAGGTTTATGTGTATTATAAATATCTCTGTAAAAAAATTTCTTCAGATTTCCAGCTTTGACTTCAAATTCAGGAAGTTCAAAGGCTCATTTGAGCACGTGCCTGCTATGAACAGACTTAAGAAAATTATTTCCGAGGCCGATTTTGGAAAGGGCGCCGAGGTCAAAGTCTGGGCCAGGGCTTTTGCCGGCTGGGAAACAGACGAAGTACTTTTTTCAAAGATTTAAAATATTTTTAAAATTAATTAAATTTCACCAAAGGTCATTGCGGAAGAGTTGCTGCGAAACCTCTCCTGTGCCATGGTGTGCGTTTTCTTCACCACCCTCCTCCTCATCGTGGACATAAAAGCTTGCCTTTTAGTTCTGCTCTGCGTGGTGCTCACTTTGGTAAGAATTAATTAAAAGAGTGTTATGACAATTTTAAAAATATTCATAATTTTCTACTTGAGCAATCATAATTCTTTCAAGAATTTTTTTTATTATATTGAATATTGAAAACTTTATTTGAAATCTTAATTTTTAATGTTAATTTTTTGGAAATTTTGTTATTTTTGTAACTCCCTTAATTTTTCCAAAAATAATTCTCCAAAAAAAGCTGAATTTTTGCGAAAAGATGACCAATAAAATCAGATTTAATTTTTGATTGTTTTCAAAAGTCTTTGTAATTATTCACAATATATTTTTTTTTCAGATCGATGTGAGTGGAATGATGCACTTTTGGGGACTGACAGTGGACGTCGTCTCGTGCATCGATCTAGTCCTGGCCATCGGCCTCTGCGTCGACTACGCCGCCCACATTGGCCACTCATTCATGACCTTTGCTGGGTCGAGGCAGGAAAGGGCCATCAAGACGGTCAAGCAAATCGGACCTGCTGTTTTTAACGGCGGTTTCAGCACGTTTTTGGCGTTTATCTTGCTCGCTGACTCTGACTCCCACGTTTTTTCAACTTACTTCAAGGTAAAAATATTTTTTTAAAACGTGCTATTTTTTTACAAATTAATATTAATACAAATAATATTGTAAATTTTAAAATTTAATAAATTTGAGAAAAACATCTTTTGAGGAGACGATCATGGAAGTGAAGAAAACCGGTTTAAGCATAAAAATGACATTTTGTAAATGTTTTTTTTTTATATCCATGGACTATTTGAATCAAAAACTAATTCAAAATTAAAATATTTTAAGTTATTTTTTTGTTTTCCGCTAGAGATAAAATAAATACTTTTCATTTATCAAATAATTAAAACTTTTTTCTTTTTTTTCAGATTTTCTTCTTGGTCGTGGTGTTTGGCCTTTTCCACGGCCTGGTGTTCCTGCCTGTAGTTTTGAGCTTGGTCGGTCCAGCACCGTACGCGCAGGTGGAAGAAGCGTCGTCGCCTCAAAAGCTGCCCATGAATGTGGTCGCCGCTTCTTCGGATTCGGACGAGCCACCGAAGCAAACAGAACTATCTCCTGTGATAACGCAGTGCTAATTTCCAAGGATGTGACATTCAGTATTTAATGCATGATCTCATAGTACATCCTGCCTTTGAGGATGTTTTTACTCAGATTATGAAACTGCCACAAGATATAATATTATTGTGCGTGTTGCTTCAAAAGACAATTTGGTTTCCTTCTTGTGTATATTCTGCAATTTATAAATAATAATAACTTGTGACCGCATTTGCAAATGAATCTCTAGAATTTTGATGATGCATCTGTATATGGTTTTATTATTCACATTCACACACTTTTTGTTACAACCATGGAGGCAATGAGGCTATTTTTATATTAAATATTTTTTAATGGAATCGAGTGGCTATTAGAGAGCAAAATTATGCATTTACTTTAATTTAATTATTTACATGTAAATGAATGGCACACATGAAATGAAAGGGTTTAGTAACTTTAAAAAAATCTATAGATATATTTTGATTTAAAAAATTTTCATAAAAATTTAATTGGAAACTTAGAAGACGTTATAATTTATCAATCTTGGTCCAAAAGATTAAATTCATACCTTTAAATTTCCTTATATAATTGATAGTATTTTTCAAAAGTTGGCAAACCCGGTGCTTGACTGTTTGTACAAAAGTGGTAAGAGCAGGAACTTATAAAACTTGACCAGCACAAAGATGGCTTCTTTGGGATATAAATAATTTTTTGGCACACAAACGTTCAACAAAACTCTCTCTATCGAAATCTACATCTTGGTCGGAGCGAAATTGCTGACAGAGCCTGCCTTTCCAAAAAGCGCCATGATGGAGTTCCTGATGCCGCCTCCGGCCGCTGCGAGCAGACCCTTGTGCCTCCGTTCCGCCCCCAGGGGCAGACTGGTCAGCTCCTCTGTGCTGACGTTGGCGTCCTGCCGCTCTCGGGGCGGCGCGCGCCCCCTTCGGAGGCGCCTTCGTTCTCCTCCGAGGCGCTCAACTGAGCCGAACTTGCGCAGGGCCAGACCGCCAGGGTCCGACCTGTACTTGATCTGCGGCAACGGAGGGTTCAGGATTTGGTGGGTGGCCCGTCTGTCCGTCTTTTTGGCCACAGGGGTGACCGTGTCGAGGTCAAAGTTGCGGCCGAACTCCATCAGGGACAACATGCTCATTCGGTGCCTCTCGATTTGCGGCAGGTTCAGGTCTTCTCCAAACGACCTGCCAAAATTGCAGAATTGAAAATTGTTTTAAGTAAAAAGAAAGGATGAAATAATACAAACGGAAAAATATACAAGTAAATTGTTGAAAATTGAAATTATTAATAATTTATTTTATTTTTAAATATTAATTCATAGTAAAATTGTTAGTTTATAAAAATTCCAATGGTGTTTAAAATATCTTTTTTGGATATCAAAATTATGTTTTAAAAGACAAAATAAAATATGGAAAGTTTGAACTAAATTTTATCAATTATATTGACTAAAATAAAGAAATGAAAATAAAACATTAAAAAGACAATTTTTTTTTTTAAACTTGGCTTTTCCTGAAGCTTTACCTGGAGATGGTTTTGAGTGAGGTGTTGGAAATGGCGTCGGTGTCTGTGACGATGACCCGGACGTGACCCGAGAGCCTGCCGTTCTCGTCCTGCAGCGAGACGACGAAGGCGCCGCTTTCAGTGCGGATGTTCCTCGGCTCGCCGTTCTCGTCGTACAGAACGATGGGAATGGCCTCGTCGTCGTCCTGCGTGGCCATCAGACACGCGTCCTCTTCCTCTTCGGGCGGCAACGTGTGGAAACTGCACACCCGCTCCAGCTCGTCCTGCTCGCAGTGACCCATCAGGTCGAGCCCCGAGGTCAGCGTCGGCAGCAGACACGTGTCCGTATCGAACCGGCGCATCGGCGGCCGATGCCGATTTTGCTGCGCAAATAAAACCTGCAGGTCGGGCGCCGACGGCGACGACTTGAGCACGCCGATCCGCTGCGAGCGGTGCTTCAGGTGGTTCAGCACCGCTTTCGCAACAATTCCTGAATTTAATTAAATTCAATTAAAATTTGATTAAAATAAATTAAATGGTAAATTGAAAGTTGTTCAGTAGAATATCCGAGCTTGTATCTGTAGTTTTTTTTTTACCTATGAAATATTCATTTAAATTTTCAATATTTTTAAGCACTTTAATATAATATGGAAATTTTGGAAATGCATAAGAAATATCAAAATTGCATAAATATCCATTTAAACCAAAATTTTCTTTCTGCTTAAAATATGCACAAATATGAGATTTAGAACAAATTAGTCTTCTCAACATAAAATTTTATTTCATTCCTTGCAATGAAAATTATTTTGAGATTTTTTCATTTAATTTAATTATCAAATATCGATAATCCATATTTTTCAGCTCTAAACTAAGCAAGATGATCTGTATTTAAACTTTTGTGTAGAAAAATAAAACAATCTGAAATTAATTATTCATTATTCACCATCAATACAATTAAATTTGTGTAAACAAGGAATATGTTAATTTTATTCCAAATCAGAGAGCTAACCTGAGTTGGGAAGTAGAGAGTGTCGAACCGAAACCTCATTCAATTTGCTAGGGTGCGTTTCCAAATTGAGCCTTGCGAAGCAGTTATTCTTTTTGAAGCCATCTAATCACCGGAGAAAAAAAATTTACTTCAAAAGACCAATTAAAACAATTCACCTCTTTATAAGCAAATTTTCAAGCGTGCAGAAAAGTTATTCGAGTTTTTATATATTTTTGCAGAATGAGAAAAAATTACCTGAAAGAGCGAAAGCCTTTTTACACAAAAGCATATATTTTTCTAGAGTTGCTGCATTTCGAGTTCGAAATCAGTGGAGGGCACATCTTCGACCAGCACCGCTGGATTCCAAATTCCTGCTCAAAAGTGCGTGGGTTAAAACTTGGAAGAGAGAGAGAAAAGTTTTGCTCGTGTTGTTAATTGAAGCGGAAAACCAGAGAGTGAGATTGGCAAAGTTCAAGTAATTGCATTCGATTGCGAATTAGTTTTGTACCTCTGGGGGTTTTTCGTGAGTACTGCGAGAGGTACGTGCGTTGCGAGGCGGTTTTGGTTTTCCCGCTGGCCGATCCGCTGTAGAAACTGCCTGGAAAACCGTGCAAAAGGTTATTTTAGAGGCACTCGGAGCGGCCATAATGCGCCGAGTTTTTTATAACTACAAAATATTATTGTTTTTTTTCTAATCTTCACATTCTTGATTACCAGGCATGGCGGGTCCAATAGTATTTTGTTCTGGCCAAGTGCAGCAGGAAAAAACACGAGAGATTTTTTGTGGTTAGATAATAAACAATAAAAACCCTTTTATCAACAAAATTATCTTTATAATAAAAGTGGATTTTTTTAAGTTTCTAAATTAACAGTGCAAGTTTTCACATGTTTTATCCATTTCATGTTTAAATAATTTAATATTCTGATTACTAATATCAATTTTAATATTTATAATTAAATTATTTAATTGAATTGTTAATTAAAAAACAACAATTCAAAATAAATTTGAGGTCTTTTAAATCAGTAATTTGTAAATTTATAAAATGAAATATATGTTTTATTATAAACTTAAAAGTCAATTGAATAGCTCCATTGAAAAATATTATAAAAATGAAAAATGACTCGTATATAAAGTTAGCATAAAAACCATGCTTAAATCAATCTGATTGTGAGTATTATTTTACCAAACCAAACTTCATGTAAAAAGATTATATCTAATTAAATGAGAAATATTAATATATTATTATTTGTTATACCAAGACCAAGCCTGCCATCCTTGCCTCTTCTGCAGAGGATTTCAAGATAACCCTGTCGGAAGCTGGGGCTGCGGAAGGCGTAGATGATCGGGTTGCACGCAGAATTCAAGTATCCGCACCAATACACCTTGAAAATAATTATTTACAACCTAAAAAGAGTAAAAAAGTGGAGGATTACGACTGGGTTGAGGTACAGGGGCACCTTCGTCTTGTCGGAGAGCGAGAGAAGCAGGCAGGAGTAGACAATGTAGGGCAGCCAACAGGCCAGGAAACAAACCATCACGATCACCAGGGTCACCGTGATGTGTTTCTGCTGCAGAACCGAGTTTTCATAGTTCACGTTCGAGCAGGCCCGCATCCTAAGAAAACAATTAAAAATTATAAAAACCATCGAAAATCCCAATTAAAAAAAAAAAATAAATTAATAAATATGGCGCTTAATAAAAATTGATTTCAATTATGATTCTTATGAAATATTTGCTGAAAATTGAAAATTACTCCTAAATTAATTTTGACAAATTAGCATCGTCAAAATAACATTAAAACTTGGCCTTTGAGATTTAATATTTTCTAATTCTAATTTGTAGAGGGTTGACTCAACGTATGTTTGAACTGAAATTCGCCTTTTCCTTGAGGGGTTGTTAGGATCGTTTATTGATTTGCAAAAGAAAAAGAAACAATATATCCTCTGCTCTACATGTTTGGGCTTTGAGGCTGGAACTATAATTCATGAGCTTTTCTCGGCAGACGTTGAGAGAAGATTGTTTCTTCGAAACAATAAACGACTCCAAACACCCGATTGAGGAAAAACCGAATTCAAATAAAAAATTTGAAAAAAACGACCTCTTATTTTGCTTATGTTAAATCTTCTTGACTTCAATTTTCTCTCCAATTTATGGAATTTCAAGTTTTGAATTTGATAGTTTTTTTTTTAACCTTGATGATTGCCTTGTTGAAAACAAATAAACTTTGCTTAATTTGCAAATTATAAACAAATATAAATAGCAAAAATTGTATTAAAATGTTTAATATAAAGTTTTACTTATATTGGAAAAAGAGTAAAACGAAATACTGATTAGTATCTAATCTAATTGTCATATTTTACATAGAGCTTATTGGAGGCTTTATAATATTTAGTATGTTTTTCTTTCTGAATGCAACTTTTTTAATTTCGCTCATTATCCACTTCTTGTGCTATCATTTTTGTTATTTCAATAAGTAAAAATTTTCAAGTTTTTTGTGTGTGTTTGTCTCACAATGAAATTTGATGAGCTCTTTTGCAAAATGGTGTTCATTATTTAAAAATTCCGACAAATTTTCCATCAATCCCTCCAATTATGTTCATTTGAGCTCTGTGGTCGTAAACATTTGTCCGAATTCCAACGCAAACGAAACCCATTCACAATTAATCCTGGTGTCCCGACGAAATGTACGCGCCCTTGCAATGCAAACACGCTCGAAAATCGCGAAACACTTTATTTGCTTCTAGACACACGTTAGCTTTTCGCGCAAGATTATTTATCTTTGGAGCTGGAATACGCGCGCCGAGATATTTCAAACCTCTCTATTCCCAGCCTCGAACAAATCATAACACCAATTTTGTGTGAGAGGAAGTCGAGCTAAAGATAAAACGCACGGCTTTTAACTCTGCACTTTTAGTGGTTTTACCAACAGGCACATTTGTGGTTTTTCGCTTTTACTTACATAAAAAATGGTCTAAAAAATAAATTAACTGAAAGTTATGTAGAAATTTGCTCTATATTTTTTTTAAATGGAGTGTATTGTAAGCTATTTCAATGAATATTTAAATTATGAAAAAAAATGATTAGAATAAATTAAATCGTTTCTCCAGACAAGCAAAATCATATGTTATTAAATTGGTATGGTTTTAGAAAAGCAATGAAGAACAACAACTTTGGAACAGAAATTATTTTTTAAATTATCTTACATCAGCTAAAATCTTAGTGCATATTTTTTATTATTATTCAGGATGGCGAATATTTCACATCAAAGAAAGACATTGCACATTGAACAGAGAAAATAAATACGAAAAAAATTACACCAAAATTTATTAAATTCCAGATATTATAAATTAAAAAATAAATAAAAGTAAAAATCGGTAAAAATTAAGGAATAAATAAAGAGCTTTTATTAAAAAGTTTTTGCGAATCAAAATTACAAAGTATTGTAATTAACTGTAATCAAACATTTTTTAGCTCATTGTCATGGCCTGACGCCTGACTTTTCAAACATTTCAAACTTTTTTTTTTATTTTTTAAAGTTCCTCTAGGGTCATATTTAATAGCCAACAATTAATGTTTCTGAAGTTTTTTATCTTTTATTGCAGATTTTGTTTTTAGAGATTTTCATGTTTCTTTTATGGAAAAGGGGAAACATTAAATAAATAAATAACTGATTTTTACAATTATTTTTAAAAGCTTCTATGATTTTTTTGTCCTTCGCATAAAGAAATACCGATTATTTATTGTTTTTAAGTAGCCTCTGTTGTAAAGTGTAAAAAATGCTGTAAAACATTAAGTTTGCCATTCAACGAACCACAGGCGATTTCCTTTGAGCGAGGCTTTGAACCATAAAATAAATGACATGCGCTTCAGCAAAAATGACGTCGAGTTTTGCATTGAACTTTTCAGAGTAAATAAACAGAGCGCCGAGTGTGAGTCAGAGAGCGGCTCGTAAAACATATATTGCTTGCTCAAAAAATCACCCTTCTGTCTCGTCCAATAAAGAGATAAAAAGCAGAAGGGTTGTAAACTGGCAAAATAAATATATATGGGTACAAATTTTGGATATACGCAACAAGTGGGTTAAAAAATAAGTAGATCACAGTCGTAAATCACTCGGGAAAAACACCTGCGCTTGCATTTAGCGCTCAGAGAGACCACCAGGGAGAAAAAGATTAGATTGAAGATAAATTAACTTTATGCAGATTATTTTTAGATACAAGTTTTATGGGTTTTGGAAATAGAGAGCGTTTTGAAATTTTGTAATAATCCCGAAGGGCCAAAATAGTTAATGAAAAGTTAATTCCATTATTTGTTTTCTCAAATCCTAAATTTTCAAATTAAAAATTTATTTTCTGTTTGCTTTTGCTAAAAAATTCTAAAAAAAAAAACAAAAAAAAAACAATGAAGAAGAACAACAATTTTTGAATATCGTAGAAATAAAAATATCCTCAGTCAAAAAGTAATTTGATTTTTGAAGATCATTAATTTAACCTCTTATAGATTAATTGAAAATTAACTGACCTTCCCATGTGGTCGCGGACAGCACTGGAAATTTTGAAGTTGCAGAAGGACATGACGATCAGGGGCAGTCCAAAGTTGACCAAGGTGTTGATCATCGAGTGAATCTTTTCGGAGCGTTCGCACGGAATGATTGGGCCGCACTGCGTTGCACCCAACTTGTAAACTTAAATTTAATTTATAAAAATAAATGAAGTAATTAAATACTAAAATATTACCGTTGCTGGTCATGCCGAAGAGGGGCAGCGAGTTGTAGAAAGTTCCCCACAACCAGACGCTGGCCGCCATCAGGGAGATCCGCAACGGGGTCATTGCCCTGCTGAAGGGTCGGGTCATCGAGATGTATTTGTGGATGCTGCAAATATGCAAAAAAAAAAAACTGGATGCTAGACAAAATTTTGCACACTATAAAATTATTTGATCCGGTCTTTCGTTCTTCACAAGCGTGGTCAGCCTATTTTTAGTAAAGGACGCTTGGCTCTTGAAAAAATTTATAGAAAAATTCGCCCTCGTAAAAGTAAAGAGACTCTTGGCAATGAACTGTAAACTGCTCTCAAGAAGAATTTAGACGAACGAACTGCTGAAGTAAAAAATTACTTAGTTCTGTTATTAAAAGACTAAAAGTAACGTGGTGAAATTGAACGTGATGTTTGTGGTTTTAGTGAATTTGTAAAGCATTTAAAGTGTCTGCCAAGAAATTAATGCTCATTTTTAATTCTACAACATTGTGTTTTAGATTGAAATGCGGAAAAAAATACACCACCAGACTATGATCTTTTACATTAAGTTTAATTAATTATATCTGTAGATAAAAAAAATTCATCAAGCGCTTGACACCTAATTAATAAGAACGGTGGCAACTTAAATTAGAGTCTACTGACATCATTTCCCACGCGTGCACCATCCATCCAACGCGTTCCCGCGAGCAATAAAGGTCAACGGGCTCATTTGCGGTGGGGTGACGAGCAAGCAACCCCCAGACGACCGCCCACTCTGTGACAGCTCGTTTTCCCAAAGCACCCGGCTCAAGACGAAAATATTGGTCGGGTTAAGGACCGGCAATTTGCGCCGTGGAAAGAGAAAAAAAATTGAGCCAGGACGCCTTGAGTGCCATGGAGGCGGTAAACGCTTTCTGAATTAATTATTTGGAGCAGCTTTTGCTGTCAACAAAGTGAGAATGAAATTGAATTCCAATGAACGCTTTTTGCAAACAAACAGACGAGCTTTTTACATGAATTGTGAGAAGTGCTAAAGATGCGCGGCTATTCTTATAACACTTCATTAAAAAAAGTGTTGATAAATACTTAAATTTTTGTTTTTAGTAAATTAAATATCAATATTTAATTTCAATCAATTATAATAAAATGAAAAGTAAAATACTGTGTAATAGTTTTAAAACCTAAAAGTAAAATATTTTTATTTAGTAAAAATACTAATTATTATAGTTAAATGTTTCTTTATTATAATTATTATTCTACTCTCCTTTTTTTATTGATATTAAATTTAAATTATTATGTAAAATCAGCATAATCATTTTGATGATGAATAATTTAAATTCAATTTCCTCTAAACTTTTCAACCCGAATGAGATGCAAAATGCACATCTTTTCACAATGTCTGTCTCATGTCAGTGTCTGGCCGTACATTACGGTTTTGATTTCTGCACAAACTCACAAATGAAGATTGCAGCTAGAGGCAAACTGTGTTTGTAAAAAGAATCAAGGCCGATTCTATTTGTGCTCGCTGAAGATTACACAAAAATTCCGTGTGTTACTCTCAAGCTTGAAATTAAACATCTAACAATGAGAGCGGAGATAAATTCTTTATTGCAATTCCCAATTTCAGCCTTTCAAATTGATCAGAAAATTTTCAATTAATTGAAAAGAATATGAGAAGTCAGAAACTGGCTTTGGAAAAAATAGCTTAAAATCTTGAATAAAATTTTTGTGAGCCAGTGTTTCAGTTAATTCAGTAAATTATTTAATTCACTTTCTAATTGTAAAAGTTATAAATTCTGAAATTCCAAAAAATTGAATTTTTTTTAGAGAATTTGGGCAGAATCGTCATTCTTAACCCACGCCTTGGGGTATTCCCAAAAGAGTCAAAAGTAATTCGTGACCTCTTGCAGTTTGCCCAGTTTGTGGTCGCACCACCATAAGTCTTGATGTTTTGCACTAAAGGAGCAATCAAGAGGCGGGGTAGTTTGCTCAAATGAAAAAAGTTGCTACTGTGCGCGCGCCCTCGCAAACACGACAAGACGAGGAAAACGTCAGTTGAAAATACGCACACGTGTCTTACGTCAAAGTGACGAGAGCAATAAAGTTTCCTCCAATTATAGGTCCTGACCAAAAATATTCTTAATCATAATTTCGAATGAGAGATGAACTTTTGTCATGGTGTATAGAAGACACAAAAACTTGGCTTTCGACTTTATGAAAACAGATCGAGTTATTTTTCAACACACATCTCTCTTTCGCGAACTTTTTCTTACTTATTTATAACTCGGCGGCGAAAGAAGAAAAAACTATTTGCGTATATCAATTTCATTTTTCTTCAGCACGTGCAAGAAAGAGTGACTTTAGATTAAGAACGTATCAAATTCTGAAAACATTTTTCTAAACTTTCGGTAATTTCCGCGGGAATTCAAATTAAATCAATCTGATTTCAAGGATCTGCTTTGGGGTATGCATATTAAATATTGTTTTTTTGGCTTACTTTCGACCAATCGATGCGCGTTCAGCCACCTGTCGTGAGTTTATGTTTTATTTTCACCCTCTTTTGTTCATGTTTACGTTTCCGGCACGCAAGTTCGCGTGCGTCAGGCGTTGTAAAAACAATTGTAATTAAGGAATGAGTGCGAATGAAAAATGGGCAGCGTCGTTTTTCAGCGTGCGCGTCACGCGGCAAGAGTTATTGAGACTCGCAGAGTGGACACGCGGGCAGCTGCGCGCCAGACCAAAATATTGGCGACTTATTCCATTAACCGTTAGGACGAGAGGATTTTCTGCACGGTCAAAGAATTTTATGTTTATTTGATATTGAGCAAGTAGTATTTTTAAGTCACCTCTCAACCTTGCTCCTTAGAGCGCAAGTGGAAGAGTAAAAATATAGAAAAATTATGTAATTATGTAATTTGTTGAAATCATCGAGAAACTAAAAATTGCCAAAACTAAAACAATTTGAATAAAAACATTATAAAAAGAAAAAAAAATTAAAATGAATAAATAAAAACTGTATGAGGAATTCTCAGCAGCAATATTTTTAGAGTATAGATTTAATAATTTAATCTGTTTTTTTTTTAAATTAACAGATTGATTTCTTTTGCATTGTAAGCTAACTTTTGAAACATAAAAATTACACTAATCATAATCAAAAATTTATTTGCACCAGAAGATAAATTATATTATGAAACCTTTATATCAAATCTTTACGACAATGGTGGCTAAAATCTACTATTGTTCTCCAAAAATGGCCTCTATTGTTTTAAACACCCCGTCCAGAAAAATTGAATGAAAGTTTTTGCTTATAAAAAATATTAAATTGCACTAATAATTTTTATATTTTCTTCTAAAATTTCAAATTTATGCACATTTCTCAATGGAGCAGAATGATCAGATAAAATTAATTAGCTATAAATTTTCTTAATAAACTTCTAAATTAACCCTAAACTACCCTAATTATAATATAAACAGATAAAGTATAAAACATACTATTTTTATCATAGAATCATTTGCATTTTCTTGCTACTCGTAGAGAGCAAAAATTTTATTATATAATTGAGATTAAAAAGTGCTTATTTTAATTTAATTACCTGATGAACATGAGGGTGTGGATGGAAGCCATGAGGGCGAGGCCGGTGGTGAAGGCGTTGAACTGGCAGAAGTTCTTGCCGAACACCCACCTGCCCTTGACGAGGGCGATGAGCGAAAAGGGCATGTCGACGGCGCCGACCAGGATGTCGGCGGCCGCCAGGTTGGCCAACAACAGGTTGGTGCGCGTCCGCATGCCGCGGTGCCGCATGATGGTGGCCACCACCAGTCCGTTGCCCACCACCGACGCCAGGCTCACCTACAAATCGAGATAAAAAAAAAAAATGTCTTTATTCTGCTCATGTAAAAAGCGAGACAAGAAGAAATTGCGTAATTTATATTCATTACTCTGGGGAAAAGGAAGATCAAGATTATATTTTATGTCTGTGTAGAAAGCTATTCTTTTGAAGAAGGAATAACTTTGTTTGTTTTTATTTATTTCCTGTAATTATTGTATCATTTTTTTTTTTTATCAATTTTTTTATCTTTTCTTTCAATACATATGTTTATAAGTCAGGCAGTAATAATTGCAGTTTTTCAAAATCAAAAGCTTTTAATTTTTCGCAAAGAAAAGGAATTGTGTATTTAAATAAGCAGATTTTTCTAAATTTAATTTAAATCAAACAACTCAAGCACTTGAGAGCAGACAAATCGGCTATGATGTCATTGAAAAATTTATTTTATTAGTTCATCGAGCAATACTTTTATCATGTATTAGGATTGCAGATCGTGCGACCAAAAAGTCTTTTTTATTTTATGAAATTTCTTTCACGAGCAAAAAAAAACCCGTCTTTTCACTTCATCGATTTTAATATTCTAAATTTATTAGACATCCTCGCTGCCACACTCTCTGCTTTACCACAACTCGTTCACGATTTGCATTTTCAACAAAAGTATGTTGTAAGTAATTAAGCTATAAAAGCAGAGAGCAAGAAGCCATTTGGAAATTAAAGCCGCCTTTTAAAATCAGCGTTATCGGAGTAAATTGACACGTTTAAACACGCGACCCGCACAATTAGCTGAAGTGGAATTTTTTTATCTCAAAAAACATATTTCCTTCTCTGAGTTTAGAGACGGTTATGACTGAAATTTAAATTCAAGCGAAAGCTCGTAAACCTCAAATCAACCACGTCCAAAACTTCAAGGTATAATTAAATTTCTTTTCTATTTCTACAGTTTCCTTTTATAAATTACATTTATTTACATAAGCTATATCCGAGACTAAAATTATTCAAATATTTTTATAAATAAAATTAAAATTTGAAAGCATTTATAACAATTATGCTTTATGCTTATTAGTTGGCATGATACCTATTTTTACTATTTTACATTAACTTCTTAAATAAAATTAGTCGTTTGTTGTTCTATTTTCAATCAAAAGTTAAAAAATTCAAATGGAAGCAAAATTAAATATGAAGCAAGGATTAACAATTCTTGATTCCGAATTCCAATTCAATTTTGTAATTTAAATTTGATCTAGAAAAGAGTTCTTCACTGGCTCAATAATTGTAAATCCTTTTAAAAATTTATAAATAAATTTAAACATTTTATTATATTTTACTCAAATTGAAATATTTGAGAACCAAAAAAGCACTTTTTATGTCGTTTTTCAAGTTAAAGTTAAAGAGACGTGTACTTAGTAAATCACTCAAACTAAAGTTGTAGAATCTGATCTAACGTTGGCAAAAATAATGTACACGACTCGGTGAGACCTTGAAAGTAAAAAGCTTGCGTGGAATTGCTCGCCTCGGCAAGTACTGCTATTTGGTGATATGGGGCCGCCGTCGCCAAAATTTATGGAGAGGGAAAAAAGCTTTTCCGATTTTTTCCATCCAATTAGGTATCAAAAGGCCAGCTAGAGATAAATTCGCTCTTCACACCAATTCCTATGTAGTCTTTTTGTCTGCTGCTGAATTATTGAAAGGAATGAAAGAAGAACAAATTGGAGTTTTGGTCAAATGGAGCATTACTTTTAATATAGATTTCCCAGTCAATTATGTAAACAAATTAAATTCTTAAAAAAAAAATATGTAAACCTTTTAATAAAAGAAATGTAATATATTGGCAAAAAGAAAAGTTTTTATAATAATAAAAAATTCTAGTTTTTTATTGATAGAAAATTCTGTATTGTAAAATTTTACTGAAAAAATCGATGAAAATTCAACAAAAATGAGCTGCAAACTTTTTTTAATTGAATAATTATATAATGTGTGATTAAAAAAAAATTGCGAATCTCTCTATTTAAACATAATTTAATTAATAAAAAAATGTTTTTTACTGTAAAAAATACTTTTTTAATTGGTCAAAAAATTTACAATATAATGGATCTGACATTATAAATTAATTGAAATGAAATTTTAAAGTGTAATTTCTACCCAGCATGAAATTTGGCACTTATATGGGAAAATAATGCTTTTGCCCAGCTCGTAAAAATGACAGGCCGCCGCTCTCATTCTAATAAAAGTGACAAGTCCATCATAAACAATATTATTTAATCCTTCGGCGAAAACATTATATCCGCTCAATAAAATTCTCTATCGTTCGTACATTGTATTTACACAGATAACAAACATTCAAACACATGAGCGGTATAAAAGTTTGTCAGTCCATTACAGCGATCCGCGCGCAGAGTAATTATATTTGCAGGAGAAGGAGTGTAAGAAGAAAAACCGCGCGCGAGGGTGTGGTGTCGGTTGGAGCGAAAAGTAGCTCGTTCATCACACCTAATGCACTATGGCTTAATTTCCTCTTTCCGTTTATATGCGCGCATCACAAATTATCTAAAAAAAATAAACTCACTGCAGCCATAAAAAATGACTAATGAATATGTTTCAATTTTTTTCTTACATTCTTAAATAAAAACTTATATTGTGATAAAATTAGCTGACTGGAAACTTTTATTTTGGTTATTTAATTTTGTTTATAAATTATTAACAACATAATTTCATACTTTCATTTAATACGAATTTCATACATCAATTAATTAAAATTATTCACTCTTTATATTTATATTTATTTAAATTAATAGATCCTACAGATTTTTTCTTTTAATGTGTAGCGGAATTCATAATGCAAACTGGTAAAATGAAAAAAAAAAAATACGAAAATATCAATTTATACTTTACAATTATTAAATTCAAATTTCCTTATAGATAACCTTGACTGAATTTTCGCGTTTTTTTCCAACATTTAATTTAACTCTACGGTGACGTCATGATTGCTGAAGAGTTTTAATTTAAAACGTCCGATGATCATTGCGTTAAATTAAATTTTCAAAGCCATGACGGCGTTGAAGGGCTTTTTGGAAGTTATAGCGAGAGCGAGTAAAAAATACAGCGAACGGAAATAATTTACGCTTATCGCTGTGTTACGTTTATGATAAAATTCCTTTATCGTAAAGAATGTGATTAAGGAGAAAATTATGTAATCGTACCAAGGTCGGAAGTAGTTTCAGTTAGATTCATTACGATTTCCAACTTTTCGTGTCAAAAATTAATACAAATATCGTTTATAATTTTTGAAATTTGATCTTCAATTTGATATGAGAATCTTTAAAAGTTATAAAATTAAATAGCATTTTTGTTGCAAAAAAAATTGTTTACAAAGAATAGTGAACATAAAAACTATGATCTTTTTTAGGTTCCCAAAACCTCTCAAATTATTTTAACAGTAGAAACAAATTTTATGGCGATTATTGAGGGACAATTAAAAATTGTTTCTAACATTATTGTTTTATAAAGTGTTAATTGGACTATAATTAATTAATTAATTTGTAGGATTCCAAAAAACGCGACTATCAAGTTTTTCCTAATTTTTTTTATTTTTTATTAATTTGCTGCATTTTTTTAATTTTTATTATTATTAATTTTAATTCAAGACTCACCACCGCGAGAATGAAGGCCATGGGAATGACGAAGAGCATCGGGTATTCGTGGTGGATGCTGGATCCTCTTTCTCCATAGTCGAAAGGGAGCTGGCTGTGGATGACGCTGCAGTTGGGCTTGAGGCTCTCCGGGGCCACGGTGGACCCCAGGTCGAGGAGGTCCACATCGACCGATGACATAGTCAGATTGTCGTCCATCGTCTTTCCTCGTCTTGTGGTCTCACCTCAGGAAACCTTTGAAAACATCCGGCCGGAAAACTGCTGCAGACACATATAAAAGTCACCATGATAACACCAAGAATATTACTTTTCAAGAGATAAATATAATTGACGCAAACCTTGAAATTAAACTTTTTTTATTCTACTCATGAGATGCAATTTTCACATAAAAAAATTGCGGCTGAATTAAATATTCAGGAGAAATTTCGGATTTTTTAATAAAAATTATCTTTTCAAATAAACATACCTCTCTGGGATTTTTCTCTGTCAAAGCTTCCTCATCATGTTTATTTGGTGTTTTTTTGTCACTGTCGTTTTCTGCACAGACCGCGAGCGTCCCTCATCCTTGGAAACCGCGAACCAACTGGCAACTGGGGCCAGTGGAAATTTTGTTGAACTCAGAACGGCGTCGCCCGCCTCCTTTTTTACAATCGCTTGCGCACTACAGCTCACCAGACATGATTACAGAAAGAATGGAACGGCGATCCAACTCAATTGGGGTGAAATTAATCGCTTCTTTCTTTGAAGACTTCCATGGTATATATCAATTGCTACGACTATTTGACTTCCTAATTGATAAAGAAAGGTGGAAATTTTAAAAATGTTTAATATACAAGGACAGGACAAAAATTCGTTTCTTTTTAAGATTTCAATTTATACTTTTTTGGTTATGCATATTTTGCAAAAACAATCTATATTCTTATCAATTTCCTGAAGATGCCTATAGAATTAAATAATAAATAATATTAAAAGTTGCATACTATTTAAATTGTAACAACAAAAATTATCGGAAGTGAAGAACTCTGGTGTATTTTACGAGGAGAAAAGCCCAAGTTCTTCACTTCCATGATCATCTCCTCGAGTATTAAATTTCTTCGAACGTTATTTTTTTATAGAAATTTACCTTATTATAAGAAGTTTTACAAATATTGGAATATAATTTTAGAATTAATAATCTTACTGTATAAAATTATTTGAATTTGATCTCTGATAAGAAAAAAAGTTTTTGCATGCTAATATTTGCTTACAATTCGAGTTGGGCACTGAATTTTAAGCGACTTATGAATTCACAGAGCGCTCGCTTGTTTTCAGGAATGTTATTTTCCCAAATCTCCACCTACGTGTGTACACTTTTCATTATTGTAAACTCCATTTTTAAGTCCCAAAAACTGCCCATTTAGCTAATCCCTACCACATTGTGACATAAATTATAATTATTCTTTTTTTATATTCTACTCTTTTAATTTAATTTTGTTAGCTACAAAGATAAAATTTAATGCGTAAAACACGTCGTATAATTAATAAAAAAATTATCAAATAATTTCGCCCCATATTTATTCAACCACTTAAATGAAAAAAAAATTGCATCAGAAATGATGAAAATTAAATATTCTTAGCTTCTAGCTGATGAACTAATTCCTGCATGACTGTCCTCCTATTTTATAATGCATATTGCTTTTTTGTGTGCATAAAATGATTGAAAAGCTTGAGCCATGCAAACAAGTTCATCAGTTCACATGCAAGGATAAAAATAATTAATTATAATTAAAAGTGGTCTATTCAGGTTTTTATTAAAAATTCAGTTTTTATTCTATTCTTGTTACACATTTTTGTCGATCGCTCTCAAAGAGAGAAATCCTACAACATTTCTCTGTTAGCCTTTTTCAGTTTTTTTTCTGCGAAGAATTCACTCAATTAATTTACTCTTTCTCTCCCATTTTCTCACGCTTATTCTTCATCAACGTGTTTTTGTTTTTTATTTAACTCTGCTAACACAATTCAATTTTATTGAGTTTCCGCACAAAACTAGTATATTTCTCTTTTTTCATATGTGGCACTGAAAATCCGACAACAACAAACAGAACAAGAAACTTCAAGAAACACACGCGTTCACACACCACAAAAACGGAAGTAGCGCCGGGACTTGCTACTTTTCTTCAATTTTCAACAGACATTTTTTTTATGTGCAACTCTCTCGGTAAAGCTTGCTTTTTATTTTTCATTTTGGGCAGGATTGTGTGCGGAGTGGGCGGATTTCCATCAATTTAACTCTCCGGGGGACGTTTTCAAGAAAATTTAGTTCTACTCACAAGTAAATGTTCACGTGAGTTAAAAAGTAAAAATAATAGGAAGCGTAAACAAAAGGAAATAATAAATTTTAATAGGAATAGCAAGTCGGACTAAAATGGTTCCAATATTATATAATATAATCACGAGAAATTGAACTCGAACGCATTTCAGAAAATGGCACGATTAGTTAGCTCTCTCAATCTAACTCCGAAAACTAGACATCAATTAATTGTTAATCTAGAAAACCTTTTTCAGGGGGCGAGGTGCAAATATTCGATAAATTTCAATTATTCATGATTTGTTTTATTGTCGGTTTGCACCTGCCCCATAACTTCATCAGCACATCAAATAACCAGAGATTAAAATTCTACGAATTTGTAAAAAAGTGCGCGTTTTAAGTTTCACTCTTTGCTGGAAACAGAAAAATAAAATGTAATAAAAAAAATGCCAATCTGATTGTCGACAAGAGAAAAATACTAAAAAAAAGGGGGAATTCTTGGTGTTTTTGGCACACAACTCGGAAAATTCACTAACATCACACTTCTTCTTCTTCTTCTTTATTACGAGTTCTCTTCTTCTTGCTTTTCATTTCCGATTTTTATTTATATCACTTCTTCGCTAAGAACGGAACAGAGGGATGAAAATGCACAAGTCAGGCGAGTTTGTTTCTTTCAAAGTCAGTTTTCTTCCTTTTCTACCTTAGGCTTGGCACGAGAAATCAAAACCTTGCTTTCACAGGGCCATGCTTTGGCGCCGCGCTTTGGACGAGCTCGAGTTTTTGCCGAGACCGGACGATCGGTAGCCAGGGTCTTTGCTCAACTGGATGTTGGGCAGGGTGAAAATTGACACAACTGGAACAAATAAACAAAGTTGAAATTTGTTTGAATAAGAATCGATCAAACTCACTGTCAGGAAGTTTGTGGACGTTTGGACCCATTGTACGGAAATAGGGTTGTTTCATGGCATCTGTCGCCGAAATTCTCTTTTTGGCTTCGTACTGGAAAAAGATTTATTATTAATTTTATGAATAAATGCAAAAATTTAGATGAATTTTTTTAAACAAATATTAATTTCAGACCCTAATTTTTAGAAATTAGATAACAATTGACTGAAGTAAGTTTTTGCTAATAAATTTCTCAGGATATTTTATTTAAAAGGTTTCACACCCTTTAAATAATAAGTTTTTGTGTTTTAACTTTTATACTTACACAGAGGAACTTAGTGAGCAGGTCGATTCCATCGTGGTCAAGACGGGGCGCTCGGGAGACGAGGGGCTCTGGGTTTTTGGGCATTTTGGGGGGACCGTGTGTCTCAAGGTACTGTGTAAGACCAGGCCACGAAGCGTCTGTTGGCGATCCGAGGCACCGGAAGATCAACTCCAGCTCTTCTTCGACTGTGGCGCCGGGGAAAAGCGGCCGACCACACGCCATCTCGTAAAAAATGCATCCAACACCCCTTTGAAGAGAGAAAATGATCAGTTAATTTATTGAAATAGCCAAAGTGAAAGTTAAAGAGAAAAGATTCAGTGTTCAAAAAAATTTCATTGAAAAAGAGAGACTAAATTATTTAGCTTTTTCCTCAATGAAGATTATCATAATAAATTAAATTAATTGTCTTTTATTCCAAAAAATATGATCACGATTATAAATTTTCTATTAGTTTTTGATACATTTTAACAAAGTAGAGAACTAGATATTTTTCTAATGATTTTGTTAAAAAAGAGAGAAGAATTAATTTGATTTCAATAGTTTTAGAATTTGATAGGAAAATTAATTCATGATATTAGGATTGGCGCATTCAATAAATTCAATTGGATTAATCAAACCTACCACATGTCTATTTGTGTTGAATACTCTGTAGAGCCAAGGAGAACGTCAGGTGGTCGGTACCAAAGGGTGACCACCTCGTTTGAGTAAGTCTTGGTGGGAACAGACTTGGCCCGAGCCAGTCCAAAATCAGCCAACTGAAAATACAAACTTAGTCTAGTTCAACTGAAAATTGTTTACACTCACTTTCAACTCTCCCTTTTCATTGATGAGGAGGTTTTGGGGTTTCAAATCACGGTGCAAGATCCTTCTTCGATGACAGTACGCAAGGCCACGCAGTAATTGAAAGAGGAAGAGCTGATGGGAAAGAAAATTTGAGTCATTTGACACCTTTTGTTAATATTTTTTTAAACGCACCTTGACATTGTTCATGCTGAGAATATTACCACAGTCATCCATATACTGCTTGAGATCCTTCTCTAGGTACTCGAATACCAAAGTTAATGACTTCTCGGTGTGCACTATGTCATGCAATGTCACTGCAGAAAAGAAACAAAATTTAGGGATTTATTGGTTAACTTATAAAAAAAATTATAAATTTTAACAATTTATACAAAGCGATAGAATAAAGAGATTGTTTTGTCTCATTTTACATAAAACATCACAAAAGATTTGCTTTTGAGGGTGATGATTTGAAAAGTGAAAAGAGGAAGGAAAAATTTGTACCAATATTTGCATGGCGCAACTCTTTGAGGAGGGAGACTTCTCTTATGGCGGTGCAGGGGGCGCCCTCCTCATGCTCCAGCCTTATCTCTTTCAGTGCCACCAGATTATCTGTCAGCCGAGATCTGCCTTTGAACACAGTGGCATAGGTACCCTAAAATCCACACAAGTTGATCAATGAAACTGTCGAATTGTAAAATATGACGAGAAAATTACCTGTCCAAGTCTATCTAGTTTTGTGTAGGTTTCCATTCTGCCGAAACCGATTTCGGAGAGCGACTGCCGCCTGGACGCCCTTGAGAGGGGCCCCTCGATGGTCGGGCTGATATTCTGCTTGGCCACAAAGGACTCGGGCAGGTGCAGGTCGACGGGCAGAGATAACCGCTTGTTGATGTCCTGCTGCAAGTCAAACGAGTTTCATGAGAAAAATTTAGATTTTTAAATGCAATCATAAAAAAATAAAAAATAAATATTTAGCCTGAATCACTTTAAAAAAAATCAATTAATTATAAATAAAAAGGAAATCTGAAAATTTGATGAGTCTAGTGGAAAGTTCAAGTTTTGAAGTTAAAAGAGAATTTATTTATATCATAAGCTGCACCCAATAAAGTTCTCAGGAAATCAGCTGCAAAAATGTTCTTTCCGTTCTTTTCAATGGATTTTTTATTGAATCATATCCTGCACGGATAAGATTAAACATGTGAGCAATGCACTATTGGCTAGCTGAGGTCAGGAGGGATTGATTGGTCAACTGAGTGAGGCTCACTGCAGCGGATATATTCTGGTCTTCGTAATCTCCAAAGTAATAGCAAAAGTGTCCAACAATTCAATGTTTCCCGCCCAAATTGATTTCAATGTTTAAAAAATTAAACAGTTGGAAAAATAAACGAAAACTGTAATAAAGAGATTGCAAAGGTCAGCCAATGGATGTTTAAGGAGACAACAATTGTAGGAGTTTATTAATTTCATTGGTCTAAAAGGTTCCCTTACCACAACGTTGATATTGATTCAAAATATAATGTGTGACTTGTCATTGGAAAGGTCAGGGCATGAGTAATATATTTTTGATCAAAAACCTTCGATCGCCACATTTATTAAAGAAAAAAAATTTGATTTATATTATTTAATAAAAATATCTCATAAATTCAAAACTGATTGACTTAAGGACTTCTTATTGATATAGTCAAATCAAGTCTTTACAACAATGGTTTGTTAAATTTACAATAATTGCCAAAAATTGCTTCTATTGTTGTAAAGACTTGATTTGACTATATCAATAAGGAGTCCTTAAAACTTCCTTCATCACTCTTATGGAAACCTGACAATAAGAAACATCTTGAGGATTTTTTTTCCAGTTAATTAGTATCCACTTGAAATTAAAATAAAAATATATTTGGAGTATTTCTTATTTTTTGCAAAATATTTTATTTGAGATGTTTTAAGTTTTTATAAAAAAGGAGAATAATTTTATTTTTATTTGAAGTGAAACAATATGTATTTGGCAACGCAATTACTATGAAAATGTCAAAGTTATATGTAATTTATTTTGCCTTCCAATTATATACTAGATCGCCATTAAATTAGGCTATATTATTTGTTTTTGTTCCTACAAAAAAACTGAACATTTGCCAAAAATTAAAAGCAATATAACCTAATAATTACCAATTTGCAACCAAAATATTTTGCAATGTATTTAATTAAATGAATAAATGTTCACCTCGCTGTATCTTCTGCTCTTGGGACGCAGCTTGACTGGCGTGATGATGTCGTCGGACGCGCCGGACGCCTCCTCGGACTCGCCGTCTGAGCCGAATCGCGCATTTTCGTGCACCACACCTGCAACAAAACGGAAAAGGGATTTAAATTTTGCAAAAATGACACACTCAAGTTCAAGTGAGACTCGTTATAGTTAGGGGCGGACTATCTGCCTGAGTCATGAGAAGAAGAAGTGTTTGTTCCGCAATAAAAAGTCCCCCAAGGAATAAAAAGAGCGCGCTTTGTCATAATAAAAACAACAACATGCATTGTATCGAGTGCAGCCAAGGGAATGAATGATCAGCTGCACCACTTCACGGCGCACATGAGAAGAGGAAAGAAAACGAGATCTCTCCTCCAAGGTCGCAGCTTGCGAACAAGAAGAAGAAGAAGTCGATCACTGCGCTGAGAAACTGTTAAGATGAATCACCTTTGGCTGGTCGAGTTTCCATCCAGCCTGTTGCTGACCATTTTATTGTGCCAAAGGAATTTTATCCAAAGTTATACAGATTTGAATTCAATTCTTTCTCTCAAATTAGATTGTGAGGAGCCAATTTATTGTAAGAAATTACTTTAAATAAAATTTATTCTAATAATTGCTATTTAGTTTATTATTGTTATTATTATTATTAAAAATATTTTTTTGAAGCTCCTTTCAACTTGCATGAATCTGAATAAAAAATTATGACAATTCTAGATGTTTGGTCAAATTGACTGGCAATTTTAAATGTTCATTTAAATGACATTATAAATTATTAAACGAATTAAAATGGTTAAGGGCTATTTCAATGTAATTTAATTAGACTTTTAACTCTCTGGTGATTGTTTAATTATTTGTTTACTGTAAAATAATTTTCTCGACAACAAATCTGGAAACATTTCAAACATTTCCTTACAAAAAATATCTATAAGTAGATAGTTGGCAAGAATAAATTATCAAAAAACCTTGCTTCTTATAATTATAAAAATTTAGGTAGTTAAAAAGTTGTGGGAATAATTTAAATCTTGGCATTTCAGCTTCATGATCTATTTTTATTATTTATTCTACACTAGTGAAAGCTTGAAACGACTTGAGATCTTTTTCTAATTGCAAGTAAAAGTTTTTCTACAAAAAAAATTTAAAAAAACTCTGGTTTAGAACAATAAATTGGTGAAATTTATTTTTAATCTCTAATTCCTTGTTTTTTCTTGAAAGGACTGTTTCTTCAAGTGACTAAAATAATTGGTAATGTTATAGTACGCGCGACGTGTTTTTTCATAAGTTGGCAGCACTTAATCTCCCATGTAAAAGTATCACGTCGCGCGTTCGATAGTGGTTTTACGTCGCGCATACAATAATGGCTTTACGTCGCGCGTACAATACTGGTGGCGGTGTAATTTTTAAGGAAACCGATTTTATTTCCCGATTACCACGGAAACCTCTATAGCACGCGTGACGCAATTCTTTTCCTACAATCTTAATTAAGGGGACTGCTAGGAAGAATATGGGCCCTTGGGATGGGTTCAGAATGGGGCAAGACGACCTCTGGAGGGCCGTGCGCACCCTTATAGCAGGCGCGACGTATCACTATGGGACGCGCGACGGTCGAAAAGCGAACTCCGGAGGGCGCTTTTCACCATCGTCAGAGGCGCGACGCACGGTTATAGTACGCGCGACGCATGCTTATAGTACGCGCGACGCATGCTTATAGTACGCGCGACGCACGGTTATAGTACGCGCGACACGCGCGGCAAATTAATTAAAAGGTGTTGCACGCGGCCGGAGTTGTGGGCGCCCCACGAACCGGCAACTCGGAGGTGGGCAACCCCCAAGATTAATTTTTGCAGAAGCCGCGAGCGAGGGGTGGAGGCGCAGCGAGGTCGAGGACGTGGGGAAGGCCGTGCGGAGGGCGAGGACAAAAGGGCGGCTGTGTTCATGAGGGGGCTCCGCAGGAGCCCCCTCACGAACCCCGCCCTTTTGTCCCGCCCGGAGCCGGCCTTCACCACGTTCTCGGGCGAGCGCGCCTCCAGCCCGAAGCTCGCAAACCCACAACGGAGTTGCTTACAAAAGGAATTGTCTGCAAAAAGGGCTTAGAAAGCAAAAAGTGTGGTGCCCACAACTCCCTTTGCAGACAAAACCTTTTGTGGGCAACTCCGTTGTGAGCTTGCGAGCTTCGGGCTGGAGGCGCGCTCGCCCGAGAACGTGGTGAAGGCCGGCTCCGGGCGGGACAAAAGGGCGGGGTTCGTGAGGGGGCTCCTGCGGAGCCCCCTCATGAACACAGCCGCCCTTTTGTCCTCGCCCTCCGCACGGCCTTCCCCACGTCCTCGACCTCGCTGCGCCTCCACCCCTCGCTCGCGGCTTCTGCAAAAATTAATCTTGGGGGTTGCCCACCTCCGAGTTGCCGGTTAGTGGGGCGCCCTCAACTCCGGCCGCGTGCAACACCTTTTAATTAATTTGCCGTGCGTCGCGCGTACTATAACCGTGCGTCGCGCGTTCTATAAGCATACGTCGCGCGTCCTATAACCATGCGTCGCGCCTCTGACGATGGTGAAAAGCGCCCTCCGGAGTTCGCTTTTCGACGGTCGCGCGTCCCATAGTGATACGTCGCGCCTGCTATAAGGGTGCGCACGGCCCTCCAGAGGTCGTCTTGCCCCATTCTGAACCCATCCCAAGGGCCCATATTCTTCCTAGCAGTCCCCTTAATTAAGATTGTAGGAAAAGAATTGCGTCGCGTGCTATACATGTTGCCGAGGTATCGATGGAATAATCGGTTTCCTTAACAATTTCACCGCCACCAGTATTGAGCGCGCGACGTAAAACCATTATAGTATGCGCGACGTAAAACCACTATTAAACGCGCGACGTAATGCAAGTGATGCCAACTGAAATCAGGGATTTTGGGAAACACGTCGCGCGTACTATAACATTACCAAATAATTATTTTAAAAATATTTATGATTCATTCATTCATTCCTTCATTGAATCAGTGAAGAGTTGTTTTGAAAAGCAACAGTCAATGATTCTAGGAAGGCTCAGAGGGGATCAGAAAAGGGGTCTTTTGTAGAGACCGGAAGTGCTGGGGAGAAATTTTTAAATGCCCCGACAACTGCTGGGAGCAACGAAAAATAACAATAATTCACAGCGAGCAAGCACGTGTTGGCTCTCTTTGCATCAAGTGGCGAGCAGATGAACTCCTCGAAATTTCACACTCGCTCAAAATGAACCGGCGAGGCCTTGGGAACAATTAGTTTTACGAGCCGCTCTTAAGATGTGTACGCAACTGCTTCTTCACTTTCGCTTCAGAATTCGTTCAGAATAAATATACACAGAATTAAGGAAGAAAGCTTATTCATCGGCGTGGAATTCTTTTCGTTCCGAGTTATATCTCACGACGGCACGCAGTGAAATAATAAAAATCTTTATCAGTTTGCCCCGCTTGCGCTGACAAAGTCATTTCTTTTTCTTATCTAGAGCCGACGCGGACTCATCTCCAATAAACGACTCTTGACAAAAACGCGCCGAGAATCAGAACAACTGGTCGACAATCATGCAAATAGGTACTTAATGATCTTAATGTGGTATCTTTCGATTTGTAATTTGTAGAAGACTTTTATCAAATGGGTTTGTTACTTATTATTTTTCTACTGCTATTCAGGCTGGCCAACCGCACTTTTTGATTGGCTTTGTAACTTAAGAACATATCAGAAGATCTTTTTCGTTGAGATTTGTATATTATGAAAATTGGTACGTTATTTGAAAAAATTTTGGAGTTGAAAAACTGTAGAAAATGAGTCAATTTCATGTAAAAAATAATTAAATCGTCACGCAAATACAGGATCAACAATGCGTATGATTTAAATATTTTAACCTTTAATGGACCTTAAACATGGCTAGGAAAATAAACCAATAAAAGAAATTCGAAATGATTCCAATTAAATTAAATTTACTTAATATTTAGGTGAATTTATGAAATTGCAGATAAACGGGTGCATTTGAATTTCGTAGAAAACAAAAATTGCTGGATGTATTTAGGTTTTTCTCTGAATTCTGAAGGAATTTGCCACAAAAAAACGCAATTCTCGTCAAGGCTTAACTCATTTTGTTTCGGTTTTTGAGGTTAGTTCTGTTGATTTTTCGGAGCACACTAGAGAAATGACAGAGATAGCAAAACACATCCTCGCCGCAGAGAGCAAAATAAACGCGAATACATTTTATATGTAAAAAAAATTATACATCCGAAGCGATTAGATTGCGGCAGAAAAATACAAATGTGCGTCATAGGCGAGCGACGCACACGGATTATCGCTGATATTCCATTCTCGGAATGCCAACGAGGAAAAATCGGCAAATATTTTGGTCAATTTTTATACCTTGGTATCGGTCGCCGAGGCCGACGGCCCTGCGAATGGTGGCCAGCGCGGGTGCGGGTTGCTGGTCGTCGGTCATTGTCGACGGGCACCACTCAACTGCAAAGCCCGCCGCGGATCAACTGACTGAGAAGTCGCACGAATGCTTCCCGAAATTCCGGTGCACGCAATTTTGTGATCGGATTTTTCTTGCCGAGGAAGCCAAGAAACGAGCTAATTACGTTGCGGAAGGCACTTGTGGTCATGAAAAGCGATTAACACTCGTAACCGGTATCAAACTGACCTCATTTATCTGATCAAAAAGGCTGTTTTTTGTAAGCAAAATTTTTATGGAAAATTAGCAGAGAAATGTTTGTTTTGATAAAATCAATAAAAACCTTATCTCTTTACTTTGCAAAAATTATAAAATAATTTAAAAAAAAATGCCCAGTTTGTTAAAATTTGGTAGCATAAATAATCAGTGGGTATTTTGGGGATGTCCAGGTTAAAATAAAAAAATAATGTAATATGACTAATATCCAAACATAATTAATTAAAAATTAAAAAATTTCGAATAAATTGTTGTTGGTTGACAAAATTATTTCATTTTATTTTATCGCAATTTAATTCCAACACAATAAAAATTGATATGTAGATAACATAATTATGTTTGAAATTAACTTTAATATTTATAATTGCTGCTGAAAAAAAAAATAATTTTTCAAGAAGAATAATTGCTAGAAATTCAACAATTG